AACTGCTGTGCGAAAGATGAGGTTATTTGGATGAGGATTCAAAATATTGTTGTTAGTGAAAGTGGGAGGTTGGTGGTGGCGGTGAGGCATTTTTATTGTTTCGCATGGGGGGGTGTTTCGGAAGTGGGTACGTTGACTTATGGGATGTCTGCATGCATTACGATGAGTGTGAAATCATATTTGTAGGAAATCCCCTCCGTGAAGTTGCCTAGAAAGCCACCTCAAATCTGAAATCTTCTCGAATTCACATTTTTTTCTCCCCCCAACGCTACATTGCCTCTGCAATCGCAATCACGGATTTTCCGATTCTTAAACCAGTACAGCATGGTGAGGCCCATAACCAACACCATTGTTCCCGAGTACAGACCGATGATGCCTAAGAAACCACGTGTATACCTCGGTGCATCGTCGTCTCGAAAGAGTTGTTGTCCGGCGAGACCACCCAAATTAGCTGCCATAACAATGAGAGCTTGGCCAACTGCAAGATCCTTCGGGTTCTTGACATTAGAAGCTAGCCATGCACTATTTACTCCCTGGAATGTCGCGTTACCCGCCATGAACATGACGAAAACAGCATATTTGCCCCATTTGTCCGTGCTTAGAACCATGGAATATTGCACGCCGGCAAATACAAGTGCGTAAATCGTGCAGGCCCCACACACCGGACCTCGAAGCTGCGACCAATCTGATATTCGCGCTGCGAAGACCGAGAGTAAGATGAGAGCGTAATTTGATACCGAAGCAAGCAAGTTAGCGGTGATCTTGTCGAAGCCGAGGTTCTTGATTATTGTAGGTGCATAGAGTAGGAGTCCACCTTTGGGAACAAGGGAGATCAAAGCCACGAGCGAGTGTAGCCATATGTAATAGTTGGTGCAGAGTGCTCGGAGAGCATCTCGCGGGTTGATGGGGGATAGTTCGGCTGATCGACTCGTGTCTTCGAGTGCGATGCGACGAGTCATGATGTCCCGTTCGCGTTGGGTGAAGATATCAAAGGCGGCAATGCCAACCACGGGCCGCGTCCATCTTGGGCTTTTCGGTAGGAGAAACATAAAAAGTAGAGCGACGATCATCGTAAAACCTCCGTCGATGATGAACAGCCACTTGTTAGGTTAGTTCGAATCCTGTCATCTCAAACGAACTGGTTGACCTTACCTGCCAATCGTGGAAGCCACCCAGACGGTCCATCTTAAACACGCCCGCCGCAATGAGAGTACTTGTTCCAGCAGCAAGATAATTGGCGGTGTATAGCGCAGTCATTCTCATTGCCACCTCCGTCTTGGTATAAAACATACCGATGACGACTAGAGATCCGGCCAAATACCCAGCTTCGAAGGTTCCGAGCAGAAATCGGGTAGCGAAAAAGGATGCTTTGTTCGTTATGAAAGCTTGGAAGGTAGCGACTAGGCCCCACGCAAGACATTCGATAGTCAACCACAAAGGAGCACCAAGCCTGGACAATATCATGTTGGATGGAATTTCGAAAATAACGATGGCGGCAAGTGAAAGCTGGTTCCCGCTGTTGACGATGTTATTTGTGATTTCGATATCATGAATGAAGTCGGTCGTTATAGCGCTGCTGATGTTGGTTTTGTCGAGTTGAAGAGCAAAGAACCCGAGCATGAGTGTGGTGATGAGCACGATGTCCAACCTGTCAACCAAAATGTCAATGCGAGCCGTCAATAGAATCAGTGAATGTGCCGTACTTCAACTTCACCTTGCGTTCTTCTGCACTCGACCAATCCCTGGATATCTGTTCCTCTTCCATACCGTTGTGTTCCGTAGTGTCAATGTGTTGACTCAAAGTGACCAAATTTCCCCGAGAAAGTGACGGACTCGGGCGACGAGGTTCCATTAGGGGCAGGTGGAGTAATAAACAATCAAATAATGGCCAAAAGTCTTGGTTGAACTCTGAGTCCAAATATGTAAACATTATCTCACACTGCTCATCGCTCTCCTGGCGAGACGCCATGGCTTTACATACTCATGCATGTCGCTCACGCTGATCCTCCTGATTGGGAAGTGGCAGCCCATCCGGCCTGGCTCGCTTGACAACATCCGGGGGAGGTATTGCGTGCGTGTGAAGTATGGTTAAGAGACAAATCATATCAAGGGATGTCGTCATGCTGGGCCTAGGTAGAATAACTACGTAGACGGCAGGATTCGAGAGGGTCCTCTACAAGGTGGGCCAATTTGGGTCAACTCCATGAAGCATTTTGGCCACAGACCTTCCTCCAAAGCTTAGCCTGGACATGAACTTGACTTTGACAGTTTAGCGGCGATACAGATAGACACATCACTACAAAACTCAACGACATCAGGTTTCGGTGACATTGGATGCCTCAACTTGATCGCAACACCGCCAAAAACAAGATAATGATACTATGCACGTGTTGAGTATCGATAAATGAAGGAGGTCCCACCGAGTCATATTAGGATGGCGATGTCCCACAGTCCGAGGCGGTTCAGCGTGCTTCTATGCCGAAGGAGGCAGATCCCGGCGCCGGCGGGCCGAGTACAGCCGGGTACAGCCGGACCCGCAAGAGATGGCCCCACAACGGCCCGTGACAGGATGCTCGTCCGGTGCAAGTATTATGGCCTACCTTTGAACCTACATACATCTTTCTTGACACTTCAGAATTCACGTGGTATTCAGCTTTTTTCCCTCATGATCTCTTCACTCCAGTAACAAGGCTCGACGTTTACGAGGCAAAATCGGGATGAGGTTAGCACAATGGCTGGCACTGGCCACTCTAGTGCAGGCCAAGCGGCCCAATATCCTCTTCATTTTGACCGATGACCAAGACCTGCACATGGAAAGTGTTCAGTACATGCAATACTTGAAGGTACTATTGAACACTGCTGCTGCTGCCAAGCGTGGAATCATGCAAGCTGACAAGGTATCGCCAGTCTGATATCGTGGAAAAGGGCACGGCATTTACTCAACACTACTGTACCGTTGCTCTCTGCTGTCCTTCTCGTGCCACTCTCTGGACGGGGAAAGCTGCGCACAACCACAACATCACAAACGTTTCCCCTCCGCATGGTGGCTACCCTAAGGTCGCGGAAACAGGTCTCAACGACAATTACTTGTTTCTGTGGATGCAGGAAGCAGGGTACAATACCTACTACTCAGGAAAGCTCTGGAACTTCCACGGCGTGTCGAATTATGACCGGCCATTCGCGAGAGGCTTCAATGCGTCCGACTTTCTACTCGACCCCTACACTTATCGATATTGGGATACGAAAATGACACATAATGGTGAACCGCCCGTCAGCTACGCCGGGAAGTACAATACGGATGTTGTAGCTGACAAAGCCTATGCTCTGTTGGAACAAGCACTCAACCGCGATGAGCCTTGGTTTCTTACAGTTGCGCCCATTGCACCACATTCCAATTGGGTGTTTGACGAGAGAACGAACACAACCTACTTGTCGACGCCGCAAAGCGCATATCGACATGAGCACTTATTCCATGATTACAAGATTCCCCGCGGAAAGTCCTTCAATCGGCAAATAAGCGGTGCGGCGAGCTGGCCCGGCCGTCTTGAAGCGCTCAATGAGAGCGTTCTCGCATATAACGACCATTACCAGCGCCAACGTCTGCGGGCCCTACAAGCTGTTGACGAGATGGTTCATGAGCTCGTCGAAAGACTCGAAGTTGCCGGCGAGATTGAGAATACCTACATTTTCTACTCAACGGATAATGGATATCACATTAGTCAACATCGAATGCATCCTGGAAAAGAATGCGGTTACGACACTGACATTCACATACCCATGTTCGTTCGTGGACCTGGCCTTGTGGCTGGTGGTGAAGTCGACTCTGCAACCTCGCACACCGACATCGCTCCAACAATTCTCAAGATCGCGGGAGCAGAACGACAGCTTGATGGAGAAGCTATGCCCTGGGCAGGTGAAGTGGCCCAAACCAGGAATGAACATGCCGCCATTGAGTTCTGGGGCTGGGGAGCTCCCGAAGGCCACTATGGATCGCGCAGTGATGAGCACTTTGAGTCTGGCAAGCTAGAAGGTTTGTACCTCAACAACACGTATAAAGGTCTCCGTCTGGTTGGGAAAAGCTTCAATCTTTACTATTCGGTGTGGTGTACAGGAGAGCGGGAACTTTTCAATCTGAAGGTAAGTCATCGTCCCACCAATCTTAGACATCTATTTGCTGAACAGGGACACAGGATGACCCCGAGCAAACCGTCAACCTGCTTTCCGACACATCTCAGGCTTTGATCCTGGTTGAAAACTTTGAATTTTCTGGCAGAGGAGCTTCCGAGGTCGTTCATCGCCTTGATGCTGTCATCATGGCTCTCAAAGATTGTGAGGGCCGACGTTGTTCCCGGCCTTGGTCAGCTTTGCACCCCGACGGAGACATCGTGTCTCTCGAGCAAGCTTTGGATACTAAGTACGACGACTTTTACAAGGCGCAACCTAAAATGTATTTCGAAAGTTGCGAGGCAGCCTTCATCAAGGAGAGAGAAAGCAATGAGCCTGTCAACCAATACGGCGGTGACGCTCGGCCTGAGTATGATTATGGCGATGAGTGGATCCTAGCCATTTAGAATGAGGGTTACCCTATTTTGTACTGATATAAAATTGGTTACGATTTGATAATTCATATCAAGTACTACACTAGACGTCCTCAACGCCAGAATTCGTACCAAAGTGCCACGAGGCTTTCGAAAATTCTGTTCATTCTTCATTGAGTGTCGTCTTGAAACCATGATGCTTCCAGATTTGTTGTCGCCGGTATCAAGGCGTCATCCATAGATAGTTGGGTATTCGCATCTTCAATCCATCCGAGGTTCAGGCATTGCCAGGGATTCAGGTCATTAAACTCGACCTGTCCAAATGCGTCTTTGGGCGAAAGTGGCGGGCCGAGTAATGTCCCATGATATGTTGACCCCATTGATGCTTCCGCGTCGTAGTCCGCGGAGAAGTCCGAGGTATCAAATTGTTCAAATTGGTTCATAGCATCTTCAAGGCCAGCAAAGCCTAGATCTGTGGCTTTCGACGTTACGCTTGTATCCCACGATTGCCCCGAGTGGCTTCCGAGAATCATTCGCATATCGCTTCGGTCTCGTTCGTTGAGCTGAAAGACCGCTCGTACCGAGATAGCTGACTCCATCTGTGCCTTCTGGAGAACTACATCCAGATATGCAAGGGTGACCTCTGTTGCAGGATAGAGATCCCTCAGCTTGTCTAGGACTCTCATACAGACCCGAAAGCCTGACACAGCGGCATGCCTCGAGCCTTGGTTTCGGTTCTTCATGTTGATGAGGTGCGTAGAGATTGCGGGACATAGTATCGTGATTGCCCCAATAGGGAGATACGGATCCATTTGCCCTTGGTGAAGATCGGCTGCAAGCCGAGTGATGTTGTCTGCACATTCGGACACGATGCGCTTTGATGTCTCCAAAGACTCAACCGGTCTTTGGAAATAAGGTTCTTTCCGCTGCGCGTTGCGTTCATGGTGTAATGTATGTCGAGCAAAACTGTAAGCCATGTGCAAAAGATGCCGCCGCGATCGAATGGAGGTCTGAATGCTGGTGGTCCGCAACCTCATAGGTAGTGGCTGAATCTGACAAGAAACTGGTAATTCTCTGACCCAAGCTGAGAGGTCTGTCTCAATTGCCTCCACTGTGTCTTCCAGCGATGAATTCTGCCGACTCTCGGGGCTTTGTTGAAGCTGCAGCGTTCGATGCATGAGCATCGACAGTCTGGTCTTCTCGACACACAACTCAGCAGATTCCGTCATGTCGACATGATCGTACGGCCCTAATTGGATACGCCCGAATATTGTTCTTTCGGTCTTCAGAGCTTCCAAGTCCATGTCATGTATGCTGAGCATGGCGGTACTATGGTCCTCATCTTTGATTCTGCTTGGCTTGCTCATCCCAAGGGCCAGAATCTTGTCGCGGACATAGCAGCACCACCACAGTCGCCGTCGTAACTTGATTTCTGAAGTATCGAATGCTTTCAGAGAGGGTTCCTTGTTCAAGCCAATATCAAGCGCCAGCGTGACGGCGGTGTTCATCCAGTGCCATGAGTCTTTCCGGTCTAGTTGCGAATCTTGCGATATACCTCGGAAGGTCAGAAGCAGAGCCACCTGTACAAGGGCGAGATGGTCTTGTGGACCTCCCAAGTCGAATAGCAACTACTTAATTTTGTTATGTTGAATGCTGTTTAGTGGAAACTGGCGTCTTACCTCTGCACGCTGATATAGTGTCTTCCTCAGACTCAGCTTATCAGAAAATTCGGTACCAGCCAAGTCAGCCTGTTTGACATGTGCGGAACCGGCGAAGAGAATAGCTTGATACAGCAAGAGGCTGAAGTCTTTTGTGCCTCCATCATAGGATTTGATGGCTTCGCATAGCTTGGTCAAGTTGAGCAACGGCATGCGTGGGTAGACGAACTCGATGAAGGCTTTCAAGAGTGCGCTTTGTAAGGACAGACTGGGGAGGCGAAAAGCCCCCTGCTTCTCGAGAAACTCGACATATCCTTCCCTGCAAAACCTTAGAGGCTCAATGAACCCTGGGAATGGTCTGGACGTTGAGAAGCTTGTGGACGTATTGCTAGATGATGCCCGTGGGGTATTCTCCGCCGGCTGAAAGCTAGACCCAACAGCCACTGAGTCCAGATCGACAGCATCGCGGAAGATCTGAGTAGCCGTTTCATCGACCATACTCATGTCGGTAGAAGAACCTCCATGGCCCGAGAACTGGCTTGTCGGGACATCGGCAGCAGGTCTATGTGCCCCAACAAAGATTTTCCTCCCTGCGTTAACACTTTACTACCTTGGAGTCTCGATGACACGAACTTACCTACTTCGACGGCTTCGAGGGACCACGCATTCGACATTGTCCCACTCGCAATTGCTACAGGGACTACGCTCGACGGCGTCGCAACGAACCTTTCTGGCGCGACAACCGAGACAGGCACGTCCCGCTCGACGAAGCTTGCTGGCGCGTTGTTCCGAGCGGTGCCGTTCGGGCTCTCCCTCCATGCCGGGTGCAATCATCAAAGACTCATCATTTGGCATTTTGCCGGGCAATCTCGAACGTCCACTCGGGTTGTTCCGTGAGAAAAACGCGGGGCAACAGCGAGTCTCACCGAGAAGGTGTTTTCTCCAACATTGAGTGCTTCGACGATGTGGGGCAGCGGAAATCGTCTCCCATCACGTCATCTAGGTCTTCCCAGATTGGTTGCCGATGTCGCGTCATCCTAAGCACCAAGCAATTATGCGATTTCAACACCATGAGGTATGCCAGTTGTGAGTGAGTGTTCAAGACTTTTGATATGTTATCCCGAACAGCAATGAGGGCGATCCATATGTGGTCAGCTCGTCGTCTGTTTGGGGAAAGGCCGAGGAGACTTGTGCCAAAAGGAGATCGATTTCTCTTTGAATTGTGATGCCGTGGCAAATTGCAACTTTCATGATGAACTGTTCTAGTGCCAGTCCCAGTGCAGCAGGAGACTCCGAGAACATTCGTTATCGAAAAGTATGACGACTCTCGAAGATGCCAAGTACTGGCACGGTTGAGCAGCTTCAGATCTACGAGCTCGCGGGTGTCCATAGATTTGGCATAGAATTCCGTTGAGGAGTAAAGCTGTATGGGGTTTGCCATGATGCTCTAAGAATGGCATGAGCCTGGTTCAGATAGGATCTCAACAAGTGCGTTCCCTTTTCCACATTTAGGTAGAGCCAGGCTGAAGACCTCCATGTGACTGGTCATCAGATATTACGGGTGAATACCCAGCTGCGTGATGCTCAAACCCTGCACCTTCCTTGCCGTCCCTTTCCCGCTCCTTCCTACTTCTACGGCACAATCTCACCTCCACAGATTTAGCTCCTGTCAACTTCGCCTTGAATCGTTTATTTAATCCCACCTCACAACCCACCCATCTGTCAAACTTCAACCACTTCACAACCCCTTCACATCTCCGAATTCCCTTTCGCCATTCTACTTTTACATCGCCATCTTCAACTTCGATCATATCTCCAATAAAGTCCCATCGAGTGTCACCATCCATTCAGCAGGCCGCACATTGTGCGCTCTCGAGCCGGTTGCAGCATGTCAGGGGCCGCGACTGCTTTTACAGCAGCAAACTTCGACGGTTCCGCCTTCCACTACCGCGATTCGTCGTTCACACTTAGCCCGCGATTCTCATCCTCCGACGGGCTCTCTCCCACCGATCGCGACGTCTACCTGCTTGCAGCGCTCGACTCTGCTGACCTCGACGACCAGGAGACCCCAGACCCCCCTTTCGAAGTGGCTTGGGACCAAGATTCACAGCCTACTTCCACCCAGATCCGTCAGCTTAACGATCAGCCCTATTACGAGCAAAACAACAGCCCCGCCGTGGACGAAGACTCCGAAGGCATCCCAGAGCACGTGTTCGCCGAACTCTTTGAGGAAGGTGACGGCGAGCAGCAAACCTATGTCCAGCAGGCGAGTTCTGAGACTTTTCACAAGGTCGCTTTCGAGACTCGTCCCTCGAGCCCTGCGCGCGAAACCACCCAAGTTGTCGCATCCTCGACGGCTCAGGTCAACAACCAACCTCGCCACCAGGCTTCCCTCGCACAGTCAGCGGCCGATCGAGCTCCTACTCAAGTTATCGACGTTGACGAGCAAATGACTAACAACACCATCGCGCGGCCCCCCGCCAGAAAATCTACTGAGACTTCCACCCAGAGCCCCCAGCAGACCTGGCAAGAGACACCCTCACCTCAAGGCACTTCTGCTTCCTCACCCAAGAAAGCCAAGATGGGACCTTCCGCTGCCATGGTACAGCAGTTCAACGACAAGGACGAGGCCACCGGCCGTCCTCGCTTGCAACAGTCGTGGATTGACTACACCGCACGCGTTTTCGAAAAGGACTACGCGCACGAGATTTGGCATCCCGAGTTGCAAGGCAAGATCATGGCAGACCTCCAACGACCTGTCAGCATCAACAACTTCTATGTTGCTCGCCATACGGCTTACAGGAACTTCACCAGGTTCGTCCTTCCTTCTTCCTCTCTAACCTTTTTCCACAGTTTGCCGCTTGTGGGTACACCTTTTTGGCTGCCGTATGATTAACGGGGAAATATTCAACAGGTTCGTGAAAGGTGAGAAGACGCCTTACAACGAGGTGGATATATGGGCCATCTTCTTCCGCAATGAGAACGGTCTTCCCGACATCTGGGCGAGTGGTATCAACTCTGATCAAGCCTACCTATTTTCGGACGTCATTAACGCTGCCGTCGGAAATGAGTCATATGACTGCGTCAAGTCCGCCTACAACAAGACGCGAGGATTGAAGGGTATCACCTACTTCAAGCCTTCCGGATCGGCCGGTCAGCGCAAGGTCAACCCGACGACCCCAAAGAAGCGCAAGATGGAGGTGGAATCAGACCAATCTGATTCAGAGGTGGAGTGTCTGGAGTACATCTCTACGAAGAAACCCAAACTCGACAAACGCGATGATGCTGACGGCGGAGGAGGAGCCAGAGGAGGAGTCATTCAGGGCAGCAAGACTACCAAGAGCACCAAGGACGCCGCTGGAGCCAAGAATACGGCGGTGGGAAATCAGGAGTTGAAGGAGAACAAGAAGGCTGTCGGCAACAGCCTCTCGCAGAAGAAGCTTCATGACGACTTCGATGCCGAGGCAGAGAGTGATACGGAAAGCGTCATGAGCGACAGCACCATCGTGAAGAAGCCGGAGTCTGACACCGACAATGACGAGGATGACGATGGCCTCGATGATGACGAGCCGGTTGACTCCTGGATTCTTGAGATGAAGGCGAAGATGGAAGAGCCTGAGGAGGAGACCGAAGAGAAGCCCAACTTCACCGTTAAGGAGAAGGTCAACCAGCGCGATGCCTTCTTCAATACCCTTGGGACCGTCCCGCCGGAATTCCAAGACAAGGTCTTCCGAACCATCATGTTGGACGTTATTCAAGATATGGGGATCGATCCCAACGAGAAGCTTGCGAAGCAAGTGAAGCCGTTCAAGAAGTTGATCAAGATGGAGGGAAAGAAGAAATGATGGTGTGGCTGACAGACGTGGCTTGCTTTTTGCATGAGCACTTTGGAGGATCGCGATAATGCAGTGCGCTTTTGATTTGGACCGGAAAGTTGGTGGTTAGAGAAAGTTGGCATTGCGAAGTATCATTGGTTTTGCTTTACGGACTGGAGTCGTTCTTGCTTTACGGTATCTTGAGAGGAGAGCTTGATTTTCATGCAACATGGCGCCAGCAGGGCGCGGTTGTATACTAGGCATGAAGCTCCCAAGAACATAGGTAGATGGACGATCTACTTGCGATATTCTCAGATCTTTTTGCGTCGAGGCTTGCGTGAACTTGGACTCCATGGTGTGATATTTGAGGCCATCGTTTTGACCAAGAAAATACCAAGTAAGGAGTTCCCCTTCTTTGGCTTCTGCATACGATGGTGAAGCCCCGGTCATACTCGGGCCGCTTCGGCCGTGGCTCCCATGAAAGACCGGTTCACGGAGGAACTGATCGACATCAGATTCCCAGATTGAGCAGGTCTGTGGTTCTTTGATAATAGATTCGGATGCCAGCGGGCCGGACGCCTTGGCACGACTGCAGCGGTGGATGGAAAAACCGATGTCTTCGAGGCCGCATGATCACCCAAGAACAGGGTCGAAATGAGAGTGCCTGCGGTCTCGTCCCAAGAACTAAATATCATCTAGCGCCGGGGCCAAATCATCCAAACAACGTGTGTCAATAACGTTAGCTGATAAGGTTAAACAGAAGCCGAGCCAATCTAGAGCAAACGACTGAGCGGAAGGCCGATCCAGGAACGGAAGTCGGATTTAGGGTGTGCGGGGGAGCGTTGCAAGTTAATCACTGCCTCTGCCGGCCACCAGGGGCTTCGGAACGGGCCAAGACGCTCTATTCAGAGGCCAGCGTCGCATCAATGGATCTCGAGTAGTTCGGGGGCTAAGCGAGACGCCACGGACAAATTAATCCGACCCTTTTATCTCGTCAAAAATGTCCCGATGGCACGCTCGGGGGCTCTGGCCGCCCCGTTTTGGTGGATATCGTCGGACGATTTGCCGGCCATGAGAAAACGCGTTCAACGACCATGTCCGGAAGAGGCAAGTATTGATGGGCTGGCCTGTCAGGAGATCACAGTTCGGACGAGATGCGATGCTTGGGTTGAAGCAAGGGATCCTGATCTGCCGAAGGTACAAAAGCGCCGACACCTCTGCATCGTCCGAACTGTTCTCGTACAGCACGTCGACTACTCCTCTAATACCCAGCGTCTCCATTGCCTCTCTCGTTCTTGTTCTTCGCAGAGACTAGACTGCCCTTACGATCGTTCCACATCACCCAGCCCGCAATCTCCAGAGCAACATGAAGTTCTCCATCCTCACCGTCGTCGCGGCCTACGCCGCCGCCGCCCAGGGTGCCATCACTTGGACCCTCGAGAAGGCCGCAAACCCCACCGCCGACCAGACCGACGCATACACCAAGATCGAGGCCGCAATGCGTCTCGCCGTGGCTCGCCACTCCCGTCTCGGAACAGCCTCCAAGACCCTGCGCGTCTACTACGCCCCCGGCGTACCGACCGCCGAGGCCAACTACAACGGCGACGTCCGCTTCGGCTCGAACCGATCATACATGAACGAGCGCACCGCTCTGCACGAGATCTCCCACACGCTTGGTGTCGGCCAGACCGCCGCCTTCGACAGCAAGTGCGCTTCCGGTAATTGGGCCACCGCCCTCCCGCTTCTGCGCTCGTGGGATGGTGCCAGCGCGACCATCAGCTGTGGCGGCTCGCACTTCTGGCCGTACGGGTTGAACTACGACAACGAGTGGAGCGAGACGAATGCGAACCGTCATGTGCAGATTGTCAACGCCATGATCAAGGACGGCATGTGAAGCAGGAGATGAGAGAGTTTGGGATACCAGTTCTTGTAGATATTTACGCTGTCTAATATGACGCTCGTACATGGATATTTCTTCGATGATTGGAGCCTTGTGTATGGTGTTGCAAGTGATTCCGATGTTACCCATGTCTGAATTCCATGTTTGGTCATCAGAAGATGGTGATATGAGTCGAGTACCTTAAACCGTTATGTATCGCGCCTGTAATCTGCGATTCATGCCCGCAGAGTGAGTGACCGGCACAGGGTCGACGAAAGACATTTTGATACCTCCAGGTGTGCCATTGGGCGATGTTGCAAAGTAGTTGGTAGCGGGAGGTTCGGATGCTGTGATAATACCACAGAATGAGTTGAAAAAACCGACAGGTGTCACCAGCTGCAACCAGATGCAATGGCATCAAGTCTAATGCATCGGGAAAATGTAACGTGTGATGTAACGTGTGATTGAAAACGTATGAGAACCCACTTTTTAAGTAGTAATACTACTATTACTACTACTATTAGTAGTTATAATAGAAGTAAAAGCTAACTTAAAATAGCTAGAATAGTAGTACTACTAGCTAAAAGTAGTTAAATTTAATATAAACTAATTAAAAGTTATTATTATTATTATTATTATAAGTTATTATTAATACTTACTAAGTATATAGGCTAAACTACTTAGAGAAAGTCTAAAACCCATATAAACCTACTTACTTTTCTAGGTTACTTCTATACTTTTCTTCTTTACTTATCACTTTATTTAAACTTATAGCCCTTTAAGTAGAATATCAAATCTTACGTCCTCTACCTTAGTCTTCGGTACGGTATCTAGGTAGCCTACCTTCTAAACATTCTCACTATGGCCCAGCAGCAGTCCTCACCTATCGCTTCTATGTCGCAGATGATGTTGCAGGCAGACATTCGCCGCGGGATGCTCATTTTGATCAGTGCGCTTCTTCTTCTTCTTCTTCTTCTTCTTCTTCTTCTTCCCTTTTCCAATTGATTGCACTTTCTCATGTCCTACACTGCAACTCGCATTTTTTGTCATTTGGAATTCCCTAACTTATTCTTTCCGTAGAGCAAGCCGTACAGCAGCTGGTGAACGCATCCGTCCCGGATCCCCGACATGCCCGGACGACCCGCGCTACAGAGCATGCCCGCATCGCCGCTCACAATGCGCACCTGAAAGAGCGCGAGCTGAGGTTTTGGAAGGGCATCGGGGCCCTGATTCAGCGCCTTTCGCCCGCCCAACTCCCTAAAGCTCTGCGCATCGTTGGCTCGAACTCTAAGCTCACAAACCAGCAGCGCCAGTCATTGAATAAAATCATCTTTGCCGCCCGTAAATTTGCAATTGACCAGCGAAAGGCGCGGCAGCCCCAAGCTGATGTTGCTCGTGCGGTCTTGCAAGCTCTCCGGCAGGTCATGCCACAGGCCCTCCAGGCCAGGGACGCAGCGCTGCGCCAGAGAATCTCTGAATGGCAACGCACATCTGGACAAATTCGTGTCGTCCGTCACGAATTTTCGTAGGAGTAGCCACTTGTGACGAAGTGATGTCGTAAAACAGATCTTACGATGCTATCCGGTAGCACAAAGTGTGCACCTGGCCACACCGCCATTTACCTACTGGAGCGCCCCAATTTAGTGACTGCATTGTCCCAGCGTCCACTGTTGGCTCGACATCTGAAATCTCACGTCAATCTTGGAAGGGAAGTGCACAAGATGCATTCGCGGGATTTAATAACGGAAAAGGGGGGGAAAAACAAAAAAAACAAACGGGAAAGAAAGTACAAAAAAAAAAGGAAATAGCGATGAAGATTGGAAATATCACCCTTTCGGAAAGACAGTTTGGTTTCGCTTGCGAGTGTCTGGTTTAGTGCTCAGTTATGGTTCCTATCACAGTAGTGGGTTTCCACCACCTCAGTGAGCGAACATGCTCAAATTCAGACCCTTCTTGAACTCACCTCCGACTCAGCTGTATGTGACTCGGCTGACGATTAATACGAGCGCAACATTCTTTTTAAAATTAAAATAAAATAGAATAAATCTTTCTTTCCCAAGTCTATTGAAGTGGCTCGTTTGTGAAGTGAATTGTGTCGCTTGAGTGACGGCCTGCGATGGGAGCCAGGCCTTAACAGGCCGTCCAGGAAATGCAACATGCTGCAAGAGGAAATCATGCCCTGTTATCGAAGAAGACTTTTCTCATCCTTCTGATTGATTTCCCAAAGTGTTCTATCATCTGCAAATAGTCGCTGCCTCATTGAAATTATCCACAAAAGACACGATGAGTCCCAAGCATCATCCTCCCAAACCTCGTGATGTGGCGGCGTAGGATTACCTCATCTGTGGTATGCAGCAAGTCAGACACGAGTCGCTGGCGCATCGACTCCCTACATCCCTCACCAAAAATCGGCAGCATCTTCGCACTTGCTTCATTGACGAGCATCACTACTCCAGGTGTTGTGACCACGAGATGACTTCTGAGCAGGTCGCACCCCGTCACGTCCCAGATGAAACGCCGCATACGACCACAGCGGAGCGGCGGCCTTGGTTTCCCCCAGAAATAATCGACGCCATCATCGACCAGATCGATAATCATGTCGACCTCCTGTCCATGGCTCGTCTCGGTCGCCAGTACACTGAATACTCGCTGAGCGCATACTACCAGCGGCACTTCCAGTCTCACGGCTTGCCCTGGATATCTCGCCTTCTCTGGCCCGCGGTTCACTACGACGACCCCATGAAAGACGAGCCCAGCCCCGAGGGAGAGGCGCACGCCCTCCGAATGATGAAGCGGGCAGCACCTTTCTGCAAGCCGGACGAGATGAAATACCACCCACCACCGACTGCCTCCGATCTCAGCTACCTGTATTTCCACTGGAAAGGCGGCATCGGGACCGGCTACTTCTACGGCGAGTACCCCATCCTGCACCTGGCAGCATACTCGGGCCTCTACGACATTGTCGAGCACTTGGTCAAGAACGGGGCCGACATCAACGCGACTCCGCTACAGTATCCGAGCGAGGAAGATGTCCCCTTGGAACATCTGACGCCTCTTTTCATGGCTTCGCACAGCGGCTCGTTGGAATGCACACGGCTTTTATTGGACCACGGCGCTCGGGTCGACATGAGCTGGGCGGCGGCCCTCGGAAGCGGGAATGCAGACCTGGTGCAGCTCATGATCGACAGGAACCCCGCGCTGGTCCACGAAGACGTTGAAGTTCATCGTCTCACGATGAATCCCTTTAGCGCTGCGGTGGATTTTCATAACGGTGACCCGCTCCCCGTCATCAAGATTCTGCTGCTCAACGGCGCGGACACGACGTACATGAATGCCTTCAACCGCAATGTGAGATGCCTCAAGCAACGAGAACATCTGCAAGGTGTTGCAAAGTGCTAACAAGAAGCTGCTTTAGGTGCATGAAGAATCTGGATACATCCATCGCCTGCAGAAATACATCGAGCAATTCCGTGCGGCGAGAGAGCAGGAGGGAAACGCCACACCCGCATCGTTGATCTTTTAATGCCAGCGTAGATATCGTACAATATTAATTCGGAACCAACGGAGAACCACCATCCTCAGTGGCATGCCTTGCCAAACTTCCTCAGCCTGTGGTAATTATAGGGCAGAGGTGTGAGGAAACCAGCAGCCACAGAGACGGCCGCAGCACCCCAAAAAGCCGGGTCATCCAGCTGCACGATGCCCCCCGTGAGGTGGTAATCCACGGCGTTCTCGGCCAACTCCATCGTGATCATGGATATCATGCTCATGCCAGCTGCAGTCTTGGCCGCGATAGGCCACGACAACCTGTCTTTTCCAAATTTGAGGAGGACAGTCTCAAGGAGCAGCGACGTTGACAGACCGCTCGCCACTGCGCCAGATCAGTCGGTATGCCTTTGATGCCTCTCGGCGACGATGCGAGACCTACTCGAAATGCCCATGACGGCCTCCATCGCCATCTCCGGATGAAAGGCCTGGAGGTACCACATGGCGGAGAAATCACCGAGAGTGCAGCCCACGAGACACCGAAAGGTATTGACACCAGCGCGACGCCATGTTGGGCTGGCAGACCAGAAGTCTAGTGAGAGAACCGACGGGGGCGGAGGTGGTGGCGGAGACGCTTCCTTGGATTTGCTGCAGCAAGACGACGGTCGCGAATTGGCAAGCGGCGTGGATACCGACAAAGCTGACTGAAAAGCTGGCGTATTCGATCGTCTCAATGCGAATTTGGCGTCATATAGGTGCCGGCGCAAGAGCCGCCCGGCAAAGCTGAGCCTGGGTTGGATCATGTCGCCTGCGTCTCGCAGAATCGCGTGCGTTTGCAGGCGGATGGATCACGGGTGAAACCTTTTTTTCCCGCAGCAGTTCCCGATCACGTAAGATGGAAGGATGCGGCGCCGGTTCTTTGGGGCTCACAATTGTACCGTCCTTTGGTTGCCTCACGGCATCAAACGGAGAAGCGCTTCAACAACGGTTTTTTTCTTCCGGCGCTTGCCGTCTCGTTTCGGAATTGCTGATTGTTGTGGTCACTTTCGATCTTTTCTAGCAGCGTCTCGCACCCGTGGAACCAATCGCTCAGCAACCTGTTTCAGTCAGCGCCAGCGCATTCAGACGGACATGCTGCCGTCGCCCTCTCGAGCACCTCGACACGGCCGATGTCGCCACCCTCGACCAGAACCTACACGACATTGACGAAGCCTTGCGCCACATACAAGATGATTGGCCCGTCAAGGGTTTCTACGTCGGCTCGCAATTCATTGAGACCGTTGTCGTCCCTCCGCAAGAGCAGCATGCCTACTCCTACGAGGAGGGCCTCTCGGATTTTGAGGATGAAATGAGGGCTGCCCACGACTGGTACGATTCACAAGACGACGACGACGACGACGACGACGACGATTTCAACGATGTTGACGGCCTGGGCCAGCCCATTTCCAGTGATGAGGACGACGACGTTGACGGCCTAGGTCAGCCCAACGTCGATAATGCGGTCGAGGCTGCGGATGGCCAGGAGTCGCATCACAACGCCAATGGCGCGTTTCAGCCTGAGCACGAACATGAAGCGCATCACGAGGCCGATTTTGACGAAGAGGAGGAACCCACCCGCCCCTTCGATCCCAAACCTTACTCTCTGAATGCCGAGGAGTACCAAGCCAGGTTCCACGTCGACCTCGCCAAACGGCTGCTCCAACGCTGTAAGCACATCCGGGGAATCGTTCGGACTCGGTCTCGGAAGCATATGCGACCTCTAAACCTCGGCGACATGCCGCACGACATTCTCGCACGTATTCTCGCTCCCGAGGAAAATCAGACCATCGTCCAGAAGGGATATTGCCCGCCAGAGTACCTCCGAAACAAGGAAGAGCTGAACCTGATGAAGTCTCTACGCCTTACTTGTCGATCTCTTGCGGGCATGATTGCCCCGCTACTTTTTTCCTTCCTCACTGTGCGTCTGACGGACGAATCTCTTACCAAACTTGTTTACATCTCTCGTCACCCGAGTCTAGGGAGGGGCATCAAGACCATTCGTATCGCCGCCCCTTACCAAGATGCCTTCATTGCAGAGAATCCCGCGCACTTCGTCGACCACGTTCTTTATATCATGGTACAACGTTTTATGATCACCGATGAGGCGACTGGGAGAAGTCAATGGTGCGGCGGCTTGCCAGCAGAAGAACAAGCTTATCACGAGTTCATGAACGGCGTCAGACATTTCCACAGCCTCGATCGCGATGAGGGTTTCAATGCTCGGGTGCCGGGAGGCGATTGGTATGCCAGGTTCTCACAACACACGTTTCTCTTTCACTGCTGGAACGCCTATCGCAACAAGTTAGCTGAGGAATTTCGCGTCCTGGATGGCATCTACAATGAGGGAGACAACTTTGTCCGATTAGTTGCAGACACCATCGCCCGGATGCCCAACGTCGAGACCCTGACCTTCTCGGATCACTCCCATGACCAGCCTTGGGTCCTCAAATACCGTGACACACGCAACAAATTCACTGGCGAGCCGCTCTTTGATCTCTTCACGCGGGGGAGCAACTGGGATAATGCGAGGAACCTCCCCTCGGGCGGATCGCAGAATCGGTGTCTGTCGATGTTAGTAAGCCTCTTATCGACGATAGGAAGTCGCAACATCCAGCTCAAGCATCTCGAAATCAATGTCACCGCACCTAATACGCTCACCGGGTTCAGCGTCACACCCGATGCCAGGGAGAGCTTCCAGCGGGCTATGCGAAACGTGGAGTTTCTCAAATTCCACATCTCACACGACCCATTTAACAGGACGCCCATGACAGGGAATTACCCCCCAAGAGAACCCGAAGAACTAGACAGCCTGGATGAGTTCCTCGACTGTCTCCTATCGTCGAATAACCTTCGCGAGCTCGACCTGAGCTTCGAGTCGTTGCGGGAAGAGAACGTGGACGACCCCGTGAGATATTATCTTCAATCCCTTTGGAAAGCTAGGCCCTGGCCGCACCTACGCAAAACCACTTTGAACAGCGTTTGCATGGACTCCAGGAAGCTCAAGGGCTTACTCGGCAACAGACCCCTGTGGATTACGGAGTTACACAAGCCACACATGTCCTTCGGCACCTGGACGGAAGCCCTTGATGTCATGCGCGAGAAGTACGACACCGAATGGTCGCGACCTAATAAATGGGGCAAAGTGGATGATAAACTGAAAGGTTTGAACATTGGCGGACGTCTCTGGGAGGCCAGCGGCGCTGAGTGCTCGACGATGACACGGATGGCCTATGCCAGGGCCTTTTCGATCCCGCCCGGCGGATGGCCAAAGATCAATGGCAAATACTCACATGAGGGGTTCTGGCAAGCACAACATTATATCTCCCATGAGCAGGACGTCAACCCTTGTCGAGACGTCTGAGTTCTCCATTCCTTTGGCTGTTGTATTCCTATTAGAAGTCCTTCGGGTCCATGAACGTACTCAATGCATGCCTTGTCGGAGCGCCGGGAAAGTGCGAGAGAGAGGGTTCTTCCAAGACATCAATGGGACATTCTACCATTGCTTCCAGTCATTCAGCAACATTCTAGCACATGCAATCCATCTCAAATGTTCGTGGTCCACGGCACATGCCGGGTACGCCGATGAAACCATCATTTGAACCAGTCACTCATGCGGCCCTTGATAGCAGCCTTGTACTTCTCCTCCCAGCCGTACTCCGTTCGGGGGAATATTCTCATCTCCCTGTGTAATGCAAGTCAGCCATGCGTTGAGCGTGCGAGGCGAACAAAGAGCGGACTAGCCTGCAAAACTTCCTCCAGTCCTCAGCGAAATGCGTAGGGTGATGCACGTCGCCGCTTTCGGCAGCCATCTTCACCATCGACTCGCGAAGGGCGTCGTTGTAGAATAAATCGATCTTGTCGAGGTCGTCGTATTTGTGAGGAATGTCATCCGTCACCTTATAGTGGAGCGCGACGTGGGCGTCGAGGCAAGACCTGTTGAAGTCAAAGTAGTTGAAAAAGATGTTGGGAATCTCGCACCAGGCGACTGCCAGCAGGCCATCGAGGAACTGCGGGACCGATAGCTTCTGCTGCGCCGGCTTTCCGAGATCTTCGAGGCAGCTCTTGACGTGCTTTTCAACCTTGGGAGGGAGAATGCCGTCGTTGATCGTGAAGCGCTTGAGGGCGAGATCGTTGTTGACAAAGACGCCGAACAGGATAGGAGTCGGATGGAGCTCTCGTCGGTAGCCGAGTTTGTTCCTCCGGGCGAGGAATCGTATCATACGATCGTTCTCGATGGGATTGCCATCTCGGAGCTCCTTGCAACTGGCGATCGGACGAGGAAACGATAGAGCCTTCATCTCGTCATAAATGAATGCCTTCTGCTTCCTCAGCTGGGTGATGTGGCCAGGCTTCCCGCCCATCGCCAGCCAGTACCGGGTCTCGCACTGCGGGCCATCGGTAGGCCGCTGAGACGTGAAGATCTCCTGTCCCTGCATTGTAATGATGGTCTCCATGTCATCCCACTTCCCTACCTTGGTGCCCACCACGCGTCCGTAGTTGTAGGCGTGGGCCATCGGCATCAAAGCCCAGCCGTTGGTCACGGTCTGTACCAATGCGTTGAGTGTTCGTTCCCAGCAGAAGAAGACGGTGAGGCCGGCAAACATGGGGTTGATCTTGAAGTATTCCTTGCCCTCGAAGTTGTTATCCGGGTCCATCCAGGCCAAGAACTTGACGAGGTTGCGCTTGTTCCACATTTGGTACTCAGAGTCTCCCGTGTCGATGCCGTAGTAGTCTTGGGGGTACCTCTTTGCGAAGCGGTCGTAGTCCTCTTCGACCATCTTGAGCAGCCCGGGCATGCGCATCAGATCCAAGTAGACATTGACCATGGCTGCCACGTTCAGATGGATGCGCTTTTCGCGCTGTCCATGCCCCAGGGACCGCATCAAGCGATCCGCTCGCCACACGTGTCCGAACTGTTCATGGCACATCGAACCCGCCTCCAGCCGTCGGAGGCGTTGGTAGTCGAGGTCACACGCAGACCGCCGCTTACTACAGGGGTGGCTGGTGTCGTCTCTGGCCAATTCAAGAAGCATGTTGTACTCCGGAGCGAGCATCAAGTCCATCACCTCGTCGATGAATGGGGTGTTGTCGAGGCGAAGCATGTAGCGCCTGCCATTGGAGTCCTTGGCCTCAACGAAGAACCCCTCTCTCAGCAAGCGGATGTCGACAAGGTGTGGGGGCCATTTCGACTTCCAGCCACTGGTGATGCAACCGATCATCTGGCGCAGACCGTTGAGGTGGCTGTGCTGCTGGCAGAAATTCTCGTTCATGATCTCCATGGACTCGAAGGCTGCTTCCGTGACGAGGCTGGCGGTGACGAGATCGACCTTGCCAGCGACATATTCCGACCAGATGCTCTTGACGTAGCGCCGGATGTCACGAATTTCAATCAGCAAGCACCAGAGTTCGATTCGGGGATCGTCGACTAGGTCGAGCAGCTGGTTGCTCACGCGAGCAGCAGGCCTCTGTGTCGGAGGAGGCGAGGGGCACTCATCGGCAGGCTCATTGACAAGTGATTCGGGATGAATGTCATCGTGTCCTTCGACATCGAGAACGCTGAACTGGTTGATGAAGCTTTCGTCCATATCAGGGATGGGCGCCGAGTCGGTAGCGGGACGAGCGACAGGCGTAGGTGCCGGAAAGAGGTCGAGAATGCGTTGAAGACAGTCAGTGAAGAATCGATGGCTGTCGTCGGCGTCAGAGGTAGCCGCCGAGCCACCCGCAACGTAGTGTGCTCCGACTTTGCGACGAAGGCTGACTGCTCGTTCGAGGAAAGAGCGCTGCATGGCAGGCATAATGATGGAAGCCTTCTTGCAGGCTTGGGCCATCGGGAGCAGATGCTGGGAGGATAGGTCTGCGGACTGGGAAGGAAGGGATCCGGCTTTCATGACCTTCTTGGCCTGTCCGAAAAGCCAGTTGACAAAGGAGGTGGTGTTCTCCTTGTACCGGACATACTGACTATGGACAGAGGGTGGAAGCATGATGATGGATCATGGAAAAATGAGTTTGTAGTTGATTGAAGTGGTTGAAAACACGCAACAATACTTGGGAAAGTTTGTTTGGTGACAGAAACGGGCAATTGAGGTCGGAAGTGTACCTAGGAGAGGTTGAGAAGGCGTCCCAGAGCGGAGGATCGCAGAGTTTAATCTCTGTCACCCGCTACACCGACTAGGCTGCTGCATAGACAGTTGCATGACGGATTTTGCAGATTGTACGTCAGTCTGGCCGTCGAATTTGTTGAGTCCGATCTCCAAGAACTGAATGAGGGAAAGATGCTCGTCCATCGGGTGCTTGCATACATGTTTGCAAACTTGCAGATAGGCGATGGGCCAACAACAGCCAACAGGCAACTGTAGGATGGTAATTGAGAACACTTTCAAGTTATGAACCTGAAAAGCCGTCTCAGGAAAAGGGAAAAAAGAAAAGAAATGAGATTGCCACAAGTTCAGTTCAGTGTAGCGTTTGGATCCAAGGCCCAGGGTTTGTTAGTCCCTCTAAAACATGAACCAAGCTGTGCTGTGTTCACACATGGGAGAGACAAGATGGCGATGGTTATACAACATGAGGGGCGGACAACCCCACCAATGCTGCATCACTTGCTCCTGATTAGTTAGTCTTATGGCTGCTGGCAGGCGGAAGATCACGACACCCACGGTTCACCAGGTCCAGCCTTATTCCAAAATGCATGCAAGCGTTGCATAAAGTAATGCACATGCCTCATTATGTGCTGGCTCATGGAGCTTGGGAGCTGTTACTACTTGGCTTGACTGGGACATTATCAGGGCCTCAATCTGTCCTCGTTGCAGGTTTCCGGCCAAGGATCGGTCAAAACATCACGAGACTTCGGCCATACAAGGGATCATGACAGTAACCTCTCTGGCGATGCATAAGTGAAGTATAATTGAGTATCTGATGGTGACAATGTTGACTCAACTTCCATAAGCGGCGTAGCCATCACGACCCTTGGAGTAAAATCGAACACAGGAGGCAGTTCCTCCGTTGCATTGACTCTTGGCAGGAGCACGACTCAAACACGGCTCTGGTACAATGGGATTAGTCTCCCAGACTTACCATGCATCACGAGGAGAAAGTCTGGGCTTAGTAGCTTCATCACACGCTGACGACGCTACTTCACCTCAGCCCTCAGTTCAACGAGCACGGCTTCGAAAAGGTATAAAGCCGGGACATTATTTTGTTCTGGAGTCTCAGTTGTCTCGCATTTCGCAAAGATTTCAAGGAATCCAGAACTTCTATTTCTCAGAACACTACGGGGTATTACGAAACATCAGTATCCCAACATGCATTCGCTCCAGCTTCGCAAGGCTTCATCAGCACTACTGGCTTCTCTGGCCGTGACCAGTTCGGTAACCACCCGACAGTCACCCTCACTCTCTTTAATTGGGCCGATCAACCTTGGAATACCGAGCATTGATATCAGCTCTATTTCCATATCATTTGTCACCTTCGCCGACGAAGTCATCGACATCTCCGGCATATCGATCTTTGGAAACGTCAACGATGGCACAGTCAACTGTACAGCAAACACAGACGAGACTGACACTGCAGTTGTAGGTCCAGTCTCTGTCCCAGCTGAAGGTGCAACCCAGATCAACCTGTCGTTGATTACGTTTGGAGATGAAGTTATAGACTTCTCAAACGTTGCGATTTTTGGAGATGTGAACGATGTGGGATGTGACTAGATTCTGGATCTGTTTCCAATGAATATTTGCGATGTGTAGCTACGAGAGGCGGGTTTCTTGCTGTAGATGATCACGTGTAGAGAATTGAAAATGAGTTGACCAATGTGTACTGCTTGATGCAACATCAACGGTGAACCATCGGCGGAGCAGTCCGTGACTAGACGGTGCCGAACCCACCTTCGGTGTCGGCCGGCAGGGGGCTGCGAGTTGGAAGCCGGAAGGGGACGTCTTGTGAACTCTGGCATGAATGTGAGAAGTGATGCAGGCGAGATACCAGCTCTTGGCAACTTGGGCATTGTGACTCAGACCAAAGACATCACTTGAATGACATTTCGAGCGGCCGGCTCCATAGCCCAAAGCCCAGCTTCGCAAACGGACGCAGCGCTACCCAACGGGTCCTCAGAGGAGTCGAATCGCACGATGGCGCTCAATCATCGCAAGATCTCATACTGTCAGTAAAGTCTCGATGCTGCGGGTTGCTGCGGTTTGCTGACGTGCCATGTGCATGGCATTCTCCCAATTCGGAGACTGGTGTGAAAGAGGACGATGAAGAGGCCGCAAAGTTGCCGGCATTTTCTTGGCGACGGCAGCCAAGCTGGCTACAGTGACAATAGCGCTGCAAGATGCCCAGCATAGTAATGCAAGACGCAGCCCCCAGCGCCGCTTGGATTTGGAACGCCAGTAGTATCCCGCCGGATGTGCGCCCGCGGACGTCTTGCAGAGGACCCCCAAAACTCTTGCGCCATGCCCAAAATGCGGGTGATGAAAGATGCATGATGGCGCAAGCAAACGGAGCGAATTGAGTTTTGGTGGGCAGTGCGCCGAGCCTACGCCTCCAATGCACCTTCAGCTCCTCATCTCACGGCTACTGCGGATGCAGGGCTAGACAGCCTGTAACGAATCAACTACTCACGCCGAGACCCAAGGGTTTGTTCGGTTTTGATAGCGTGTCCAGGTTGTTCCTCACAAGCAATCACTGACGCAGGCTCGGGCCGTTGCCGGTGTCGCTGTGGAAGGTATCACGGCTAGCCTGAATAGGAACCGATGCACCGAGCCTGTCATCCGTCTTTACTTGCGCACAAAATAACTCGAATCATAGCCGATCTTGAATAATGTATTCGGTATAGACACTCATCGTAGGAAACGAGGAAAACCGTCTTCGATTTATTACGCCGACTCGGTCAGTCATGGTTAGGCTCAATGACGGTGTAAGATCTCCAACCCCCATTTTTGCGTGCATGCTCCACGGCATCCTCGTGGCCATCTAAACCGAAAGTCGTGATTTCTGTTCCACTTTCCTGGCCAATTCTCAACTGCTCCTGAGTAATCATATTGATGACCTGATCAAGCGTCTGACGCTCATACATCCATTTGCCGATCAGTTGGATGTTTTTCAAGATAAGAAGCCCGTATGGAAGGCGGCATTTGTCTCCCGCTCCTCCACTCAATACGATCCTTCCACTCTGCTTCATGGCCAAGACCGCAGCTGAGAGGTATAGCGGCGTTGCCAGCTCCCCTGGAGTCCAATCGTTGAAGACATCGGCGCCCCTGTTGTTTGGCGTTGCCATCAGTATGGCTGCGGCGTCAACTTGGTCGTCTCCAGTCATGACGACGGTTTTCAGGCGAGGGTTTGCAAGCTTTTCCCGCATCGCTGCCAATTTACCTTCACTCCGGCCCAACGCGATCACCTCAGCACCAACAGCGAGAGCGATCTCGACCGCTGAACCACCAAATGAACCACCAGAAGGTCCGACAACGACGACCTCAGCAGTCTTGACTCGAGCGGCTTCTAATAAAGCGCCGGCAGCCACGGTATAGTGCGCAATGGTGTGGAGGACAGCTGCGTTGTAGCCCAAGTCGCCGCAGAGACGCTTCTCATCAAGTAGAAAGCAGGTCTCCAGCGGAACCTTTTGATATTGTTGCCAGGAACCGTCTCGCCAAACCCCTCTCATGAGCTTCTGGGCGTTTAAATGACCTCCAGTCATATGACCGGGCATGAGGGCGACATTCGCGTCGTCTCTAGCCCTGATCAAGCCGTCGACGAATACGAGATCACCCTTTTTGAGACGAACGGCATCCGGTCCAACGTCGTGAATGCGTCCTATGCCGGATGGATTTGGGACGAGCGGTGGCGTCAGGTTGAGAGCAGGAAGTTTGCCTGAATGGATCAGGTGGGTATAGGGAGCAACGCCAGTGGCTAGAATCTTGACCACCGCGGTTCCTACGTCCGCATTTGGCACAGGGAGATCCACGACGGAGAGGGGTTTCGAGAAGGAAGAGAGCCAAACGGCACGATTGGTAAGATCAGCAGCCGGCATTTTGTCTTACTGTACAAGTGAAGGCCACGGCGAGAGAGGGAAGCTTCAAAGTAATCTCGAGAGCTTCAGTCTCAGGAAACAGAGTTATGCTGTGCTTAAGTAAATATTCACTCTGAGCATTTCAATTGACCCGGAATCTCGGCAACGAGCTGGGTTCCTCTCGGGGAAGGTTTGGTGTGTCTCGGGCCGTGTCAGAAACCCGATTTCCTGGCCGCGATCGGTTCAAGAGGCCGAGTTCATAACGCAAGGTTCTACTGCGTAAACTTAAATTGTCTTCAGGAAATCTGAGATAGGAGCCTCATTATTATCTGCAGAGCTTCACCTACAAAACTTATCTTCATCATACAAGGCGCGAATTAATTGAGAATATTGGGCAGAAAGGGCACGAGGTAATTCATACATCCTTTCAAAGTCAGTAGACTATATATCTGCGAATTCTCGCACGGTTGTGTATGCATGACAATTCTTCTCGGTCAATTGATGATCACTTCCAATACCAAACTTTTGCACTTTGCTACGAGCTATGGTCCCACCTGCTACTGCCACGGAGGCTACGCAACCAATCGACACGCAAAACGGAAACCTCAGATATCTCCTCCTTTGGCGGCGAAGAGACCACCTACTTGCCGCGCAACTTGGAGTAGATGCTCGTCACGAAACCTCGATGTGACGAGGGATAGCCCCACAGGCATGTCATCCTCACCCTTAAATCCGGGAACATTGATGACGGGCATATGAAGGGCCTGTACATGTTAATGAGGACGACAACTTCGACGAGATACAGGTAGACTTACCGTCCACATGGCGTTGAAGTCTGAGCTACCGGTCCCCGTCCCTTTAGGCGCCACGTCTATGGCACTGGGTGTGACAATCGCCGTGTACCGGTCAGCGATCTCGTCCATCTTTGGTCTCAGCGCCGCAATTTTGTCCAGAGCTCTCAAGTATGCTTTCTTCGACCCTGTGTGAGCAGTCTGTGCAATACTTGCGAGATATTCGCTGATCTGGTCTCGCGAGGTGCTATATTCTCTGTGGAAAGCTACACCAATTTCGGCCTCCAGTATCCCGTTCTGCAGAGAGATTATGTCGTCAAACTCATGAGGTAACGTGACTTCAACAATATGCGCGCCGGCCTTTATGAGGATATTGGCGGCTTGTTGCAGAGCCGCAACGGTACCGGGCCCGGCACTTGGCCATATTGGCGACTTCACGAAAGCAAAAGTTGCCTTATTCAATGATATTTGCCGAGGTGGCTCATCATCACGAAGCCCAAGCACTTTGCTTACTTGTTGAAGGTCAGCAATGCTGCGCGCCATGACGGCAAAAGTATCCAGCGTTAATGACGACATCTTTTGGCCTTCGGGTGAAATGGCGTTCCATGTTGGCTTGAAGGCGAAGACTCCTGTGAATGATGCTGGTCTGATAGTGCTTCCAACCGTCTGAGTGCAAAGAGCAATCGGGACTTGCATATCTGCAACCGCGGCGGCTGAGCCGGAGGAGGAGCCGCCGGGTGTCCTCGAAGTGTCGTGTGGGTTTCTTGTGCCTGGTCCCTCAAAGGTTGCTGTGAATTCCGTGGTGGTTGTTTTTCCTGTGGGCATCGTCAGCGCTTGTTCGGTTGAAGGGACCCTTATCACTTGGTCACTTGCCTAGAATCAGCGCCCCGTTCCGTCTCAATACAGCGACTGACGCTGCATCGCAGAGGGGGGCATCGTTGGCATGGATCGGTGACCCATGGCGGGTGGGGAAATCTGCGTGCGGAGTATTTAAACCCGAAGTCTCCTATCATGAGCAAGAATGGATCTTACCCTCTGTTAGAATGGCGTCTTTGACGCCAATGACGAATCCATGTAGTGGCCCTCTTTGTTCCCGTGGGATCCGGTCAAGCAGTCGAGCTTGTCGAAGGGCCCTGTCTGGCTCGATATGTGCCCAAGCTTTGATATCTCTATCGCGTTCTTGGTATCTCTCAAGAAGCGAGCTGACATATCTTTCCAATGTTTCTTCATCTGCATCGATAAGACGCCGCACTTCGGTGGCCGTCATCCTGAGGTGAGCGGAGCGGTGTACCGGAGATGTCTCCATTGCAATAGCTGAAGAGCAGACCGCGAATGACTGTCTGAAGTTCACTTTGTCAGAGATGGTCTGATATTGTTGAAGGTGTCTGTTTGGTAGATGGCGCTACTTATATATGTTGACTGCCCTTCATTCATCTACCGGATTACATGCCTTCTACATACTGGTATAGAACACCCACCCAATCCTGCCGGTCTATCAGCATTAATGCATCTCCGTGACTGCCATCCGATTTATGGCCGATGAAAACGTGATAAGACTTGTTGGTGCCCACCATTCATGCATTTTCCAAAATGGGACATATGTGACATGATTGTGCATGCGCATGCAGCAACCAACGTGGCAGTCCCACGTTGAATGTCAGCATCAAGCCGGGATCTTGCAATGCTTGCGGGGCTTTGGGGACCAAACATTGGCGACAACAAATTGTTGTGTCAATGCAGCAGCGGAAAACCGTTTGCGAGGATTATTTTCAGAGCAAGGGGTGATGGTTACCCGGAAGAAACATCTCTCTGGAGTCAACGGGTGACATCGCATCCTCAGTATTCACAAGAAAAAACACCTTTCAAGATAGCACCCTGGACAACGCATTGCTTTTGACGCGCTTTTGCTTCGGTACAACCCATTCAATTGTGCAGACCCTCATCCGCGTGAAGGAGATTCATGCTTTAGTATTCTCCGAAATTGCCCTGGCTTGCAAATCAGTCTGCCTATTACTCTACTATATGCTTTTGCTCAGTCATTAGCATGGAAAATCACAGCAACTTTGACGCTTTCTGTTCGTCATACATTTGTTTTGTAGCTTGGGCTACCGGACATTTGGAGACGAAGGGACTTCCTGCCCGGCATTACTATCAAGTAGTCTTAAAGGGAGCAACCCTGGAAGAGAGAATGACTCACATGCAATTTGAGATATATCCGTTTGGATCCATAAATCAATTGCAAGATTGTGACTAAACGAAGTACTAGCACGATTCAGTGTAACCATTCATGTGGACGGCCATGGTGTTTCTAAGCTACTATCATTTGAAAACACTCGCCCGGGGTCAAAGAGCCTAATGCAATCTTTCTAAAGATATCTCCAACCTTGCTTGCAGAAAAGCATCGCTGCGTCTGTTCGTAACTGGATTTCTGTCGCCAAACTGAGGCAGCGATGGACCGTGGTGATGAATCCCATAGACTAAATGAGGAAGAATTCGGAGATGGGAATCAACAGGCTATAGAAGAGCCGTATTAGTGACTGATTCCCGCCCACCCAACCTCTATGCATTCAATTCTGCGCTGGAATTCGAGACACTATATCCCGAAAGGCGTTCCTGCGAAGGACAAGATGACCACCCTTCACCGAAATCAGAACCAAGAGCTCCGCTTTCAGTAAAGTTCTATCAAATTCTAGGCAGTGATAGAGTGATGAAACCATGTCTTGCACTTTGGTCACTCATTCCTCAAACATGATTGGGCATGAAAGAGTAATCCGGCTGCCGCCGCATGGCACAGCCTGGTGCGCCGTAAGCGACGAACGATGCTTCGCACTCTCGAATCCCAGAAAACCTTCGCCTCCACCAGATCCTAGGCTTCCTTTGACGGGTTCGCTGACGGCAGGCCAAGGCGGGATCTGACATGGGTCTCGCGCCCTGGATCGGTCTGGGTCAGCACAAAAGAGCCTTTTCCCGCACTCTTTTAGCATAAGGGAAGCAGGTCCCTCGGCACATCGACGATGCTGACATCAGCACGGAGAATCCTTCGCCTGGAGTGACCGGGGGTGATGACCCGACTGGACAGCGATCCACGACATGTCTTGCCTATTTCGGTGGCTGAGAGGTTGCGCTCGCCTTCCGACGAACTACTAAAACATGGGGGTTGACTGGGGTTGGGTAGTCATCTGATAGGGCTGTTCGGTTGGTAATCCTGAGCTGGGAGACATAAGTTCTTTCCATCAAAACAGCGTGTCGCAGTATGCAGAAATGATTTAAACCGGAGTGGTCCGTCTTGCTTCGGTGTCTCGTCGGTTCAAGACTTCGATAATCTTTCAACCTTGGCTCTCATGGCTCCAGACAAGTTAAACACAACCCAATCAGCTCCAGGACGAGTACCGACTTACCATAAACACTCGTTCAAAAGGCAGCCTCACGTCCTAATGCCGCAAACAAGAGGTCACCGCAAAGTGTATCTAGGCCCTCCCATATACGTAAGAAAACTGCCGGTGATGGAACCTCGGTATTATGGACCAAATTCGGACTTTAGAGGTATGCAGCGTTGGTTTCTGAAGTACAGGCGACAGACTGACTGGCTCATAGCTTTGCAAAAGTTGAAACCAAGATTTCTGGCAGTACCAGAACAGCCTAGTAATACACGGTACTCGGTCCAATTCTCTGAACAACATTCAAGTGCCACTTCATCGTCTTCATCCGTCCGAAGCAATTGCGAAGATGAATGCAGCACAAGTGACAATAGCGATTTGGACACGACGGCCGAAAACACGGCGAGCAACCACTTCAAAAATAAGGGCATTAGTCGGCGGAGTACACCACAAGTTAAAGAATAATAGTACGCATGGCGATATCGCCATTCAGATACCAAGAAAAGGCCAATGGAGCCAATAAAATACGTACATCATCCCTTTTATCCTGCAAGTAGACCAGCATCATACCACACCATCCAAACATGCGGGACAACTTAACCGTTGCCGCTGTTCCTCGCACAGCTTTCCCGAACCTGATGTCTGCAAAACAGCTGTCTTCACCAATGCATCCATACATGTAGTGGCTGTGCGCTAGTCCCGGATATCCTCATTCCGTATCATCGGAGCATACTCTCAACCGTTGTCCCTCCTGTAGCAAGCAAGCTCATGCAGCATATCAACCATGGCTCAAGCCTCGTATATGCACTCTTTGCTTAAAGCTCATGATCATCCATCAATTCTGGCTCGCTTTATGCACTGTGAGCAAGTGCAATGATTGTCGTCTCTGTGCATGTCGCTGGCGTCCGTCTCGTCGATGACTCTCTTCAACGGCCGAGTCGGGGCATCCCATACCAGATCTAGAGATGCTCCCTGGTCTTCTCTGCCGTCATCATCGGAAAGTAATTCAACATAAGTGATCGAAACAGCTGGATCGTTCAACTGGTCTTCGTGAGAGTTAACTGTCTCGCCGGGGAAATCTTCATCGAATCTTTCAGTAGCCAGCTGCAGCAGCTTCTGCCGGAGGTGCATCATATCGGCCTCTTCCGGGAGAGGGTTTTCTTCGATCAGGTAGCTCAAGGCATCAAGGACGTAGACACCGCAGCTGGTGGCATCAGGTTGACGGGGGCCGGTCTGGGAGGTGCCGGTCAGCCAAGAGCAACAATGCCAAAGGACACGAGTTGGAGTCAAGACTTACCAGGTCCTCCATCATGAAAGCATCGCCGGTCAAATCCTCCAGCCAAGGCAGGACATGTTGGCAAATTTTGTAGATCATCTCCGCATCGCCCATCGGGTCGTAGTGTCTGAAAGTGTGCGCAGCGAGGTCGATCTCACCAAGGGTCCAGTGCAGGGGATTGTCGTGGTGCATGACAGCGAAGACGCGCCTCGCCTTGAAAGCGGCCCTGGGAAGTCTGGAAGGCAAGTCGTCATCAATCTTTAGCCATAGGGGGTGCATGAGTAGAGCGTTATTGGCAGCTTCAGAACGATCAAGAGCAGAATCCGCGATGAGCTCTTGCATCAGCTCAATAGTGTCACCCGTCAAGCGCTCTCTGGGTCCTTGCAGCTGAAATATGGCTTCTTCGAATTGCCAGTAGCGCTGTTGTACCAACTTGTCCTCTGCAACTCCCAGATCGGAGCAGTCAGAGCCTTCGAGGTCCAGATGGAGGGGCTCGACTGCATGCTGTCTGTCGTGGTCAACGTGGTCAAGGTCAACGTCCTCGTCCTGAAGGTAGAAGGGTTCATCTTCTCTCAAGCCAAAAGTCTGCTCCTCAGCGAAAAATCCGGGGTTCTCCATTTCAGTAGTGCAGGCTTCGTCATAATGAACGTTGTTCCTGTCCAGGATGCCTTGTATTTCGGCTGTGCCCAACCCACCCTCTTCGCTCAATGAAATGCTATCACCTTCAGTGGGGATAAGATAATTATCAGATCTGCGCATGTTGCTCGTCAGCTGATCGTCTCATTAACATTTTGTGTGGCACCTCACTCGTTGGAATCGTGATTTCCGGATGAGTCGTCATGTTGGGCACGTCTCATCTCGGCAGAAGCAGCGATGCTGGTGTCCCCAAGAAGCTCCGAGGCATTCTCGAAAGAATTCACCTGGTACAGAGCGGAATCTTCTGCCATCTTTGCTGCAGTGCTGAATTTGGTGCTGGATTTGATAGTCCTAGTGGTTCAGTCGCTGTTTTCACTGAGGAATATTCGGGCTGTGACGGCGGCGTGGAACGAGGCGGTCCCTGGCAAACGAAGGAAATCCAAGCCAAAAAGAAGCAGGTCCGACTGACGAGAAAGAAGGAGTTGGTAAACGAGCGAAAGATGAGCGTGGTGCGGAATCGACGTCGAAGTCCCGACTTCCGGGCTCCCAGGCGATCCGTCGAAGTGAGGGACCCGGGTTGGATGGGGTTAAGATGGAGAAGCAGCAACCGATGGTGAGAAGAAACAGCTCCTTCCAAGAATCAAAACAAAACGAGCAAGAGGCAGGATCTGTTAGCTTCATCACTGCTGCCATCGAGACGTCTCCCGTCCCGAAGGAAGATCTTTGTTTGCTTGGCTCAATAAAGGGTGGGGGTTGGCGATGTTATTGAATACTGGTGAAAGGATGAACCCACTAGGATGCATCAGCCTGAAAATCGCAGATACACTCATGATGCCCTCAATTGACCCAAAGTCAAAGGTAACAGCTTCCACAGACTCGTGGCTTTGGCTTGCTGCACACTTGCGCGCACGTATCGGGTATGACTTTCACATCAAAGTTGGGATTCTCTGATTTGAGCCTGGGTGTTGTGGGATGGGGACATGGCACTGGCGGGTTGCAGTTGTTCAGAGTCTATCTGACTAGAATTTACTGTGCAAAGGGACACCGTGAGAAACCGAGAGTACTGTACATTGACCAAACCGAGCCATTCCCGCAACCAAATCCTCCTCAAATTCTCTTCAAACGCCGCGATATTTCACCTTGTCTACCATCTTACAAACCCGAGTGAGCTGGAACGTATTCATCGGCCGTCTCCTCCAATCTCTCCAGGCCAGGAAGGCCTTGGGGCGGGACGAAGGCAGCAAATGCTTCCTCAATTCTTTGTCTTTTGGACTCGCGGCCAGTAATCTCCATCTCGATCAAGCGCTTCTGGCGGGTAATGTCCTTCAGCTTGGCTTCAATATCGGCAAAGCTGTCACTGCTGGCTGGAGTGGGAGTGCCGGAAGCCTTCGACGCCTCACGATCGCGAGGGTCGGATGCTTGGGACTGGATCTTCTCCCAAGATCGTTGCATGCCAGTGCGAAGCTCCTCGATGGCGAGGTCGGCCTCACTCATGCGGTCGTAGGCATCCGACAGCTGGTCGTCAGAGTGACGCAGGAGTTCGATGACGGTGGCGATTCGATCAGCAATTCCAGTAAGCTGAGTGACCTGAGCTTGAGTGGCCTGGACGTGGGGTCTAGAGACGGTCTGGGCTTCATCAGACTGCGCAGCTTGTTCGGAAAGGTTGAAGTCCGTTCCCTGGAAAGGTCGACGGGGGTACGCGCCACCGGCATTGACAGCTTCCAACTGACTTCCTGTGTGATGAACTTCTCCGATGTGACCGGTAGAGTCATCAAAGGCATGGCAGGGACGCTTCAGCAGCTTTTCCTCGTACTTGTCGAAAGCGGCAGAGCTGGGAGTTCGAGACATGAAATCGAACAGAACCCGCTTGCGGGGATCCTTCGCGGCAACGTCGCAGTACGAGGCGGACGCTTCGTTCGGGTTGGGCTCGCGGCCCTTGATCTGCGTAATCTCAACGTCGGACTTCTCGTCTCGGTGGACGCTCGAGTTGTGGAAGACATAGTCTGTCTCTGTGCTCAAAGTCAGCATCACAGTAACACCAACAAAAAGGACAGTCGTGGCGAGCCGGAGGAGTGCAAGAGGGATCCTACCAGGATCACCTTCGCGTCGGAAGGTGCGCTGAGCATGGTCATAGTGGATGATCTGCGGCTCGTGCTGGATAAGTCCTAAGCCCGGAATCTGCTGCTGGGAACAAGTGCCAATGTGAGGAAGCTGCAAGTCGCTGGTTGGGCATTGCGCGATGCTCTCCCTGGAAGGATCGCCGGTGCTGGGAGGCGACGAGAAATCCATTTTTGTGAATGCGAGGAAGGATCTTGAGGGAATGTTTTGTTGCTTTTTCGACACGAGACAGCCGCAGCAACTGCCAGAATGTTCTGGGCGAGTAAATTGCGTGTCAACTCTGGTAGTCAGGCTGCAGACACCGTGGCTGAAAGCAAGGCAAGAGACGTCGGAGTCGACGTCTTGGTGCTCGAATTTCCCCGATTCCCAGGAAAGTGGCTTCACAACCACGGATGTTGAAGGAAGGAAGAAAGTTTCAAACGGAAAATTCGAGGTCTGGAAAGAACTGGAACGCGTCGAGGGGCAGGAAAGGAAGGCCAGTGCCATCGACACCTGCCTTTGACATGAGCAGCACCTTCCCCGAGATTGCAATGGACCCGCATGGGCTGAGGCTCTCGTCACAGCCAGGCAGGTACTGTCTCGGCAGCATATGGAAGGCGAGGACACTGAGACGAGACCTCTCGAGCGAACCCTCCAAAATCATTTAGAAGTGCAGTTTGAAAGAATCGCTGCGTTGGTCATGATAGCATCTTTGTGCATGATGATTCTTTGACCTTGATGAGTGAATGAGAACCAAGAGAACAGAACGTATGGAAACAAATCGAGATTTCAAAGCAATAAATCTGGAAGAGCCTTAAGACTGATGCATTGAAGCGGAAAGACCCTTGCTTGAATAGAGGCTGGAAATATGGAAATAGGGTCAACGTGGCCATCCAAAACACTCAGTGAAGAGTCGAAAAGGCAGAGTTTCATAACTCTGAAGTCTCGATGGGTGATATCAACCTGTCAGAAGCAATAGAGTTCGGGCCGAGCTTCGATGAGAGTGATGTTAAGGCCATAAGCCTTTCGCAATACGCGGGAGGTGATACATGTTATACTTGAGCCGAAGATTGCCATGTCCACTACTGATACCGGCCACAGCGATGGATGGTCGGCCAGCAAGTGTGGCGCCGACTGCCACAAGGACCGAGTAGAATTGGCTACAGACACTCCAGGGTCGAAGATGCCCGCTACTTAGCCTCAGCAACACCTTCCTGAGAACTTGACACGTACTAAAGACTCGGTTGGCTTGACTTTCAGCGAAGGGGCAGTAAACTTTGGGTACCTCACATGCAATGGCGCCTCATATCATTTGATGAAGAAAGATTAGATAGCTTGCGTTGACTGTGAGGAAGACTTCCCCTCGTCAATGTTTCGAGCTCTAGAACTTGAAGACTGTTATCCTGATTCATCGTAATTTCAGAAATCAGGCTCGTGATCTGTTCATGATACTCATGAACTGCGAACTCATACTGAATGTTCTTTGAATGCTTGTTGCCTGAGAGTTCATTGCTTCCATTTCGACGAATCATTTTCATGCAAAGGTCTCCAGCAAAATAGCTTCTTAGGTCTTATCGTCCATCCAGGGCCGGGTAGTGGACCGATGCGGGGTAAATCTGCCGGCAGGTCATCCGGACGGCCGGTAAACCGGTGGTCTCATTTAACCTTTCGAATCTGGCATAGTGTTGATTATCTATCCACTCGGTGGCGGGGCACCGATCGCGGCGACACTAGTCACGTCGAAGATAACAGCCGTCAACAGAGCACATTTTGGTCTCATTTAAGCTTCTATTCTCTGCCTGCTCGTCTCCAGTGCATCATGGTATTTTACACGGGGCGCTTTAGGCATTTACCTGCGAAATCATGCCCCGGAAGCCCCGTCCGTACCGGCCCAAGACAAGAGGTCCGATTGAACTCCACCCCCGGGTACACCCCTATCCCCAGATTTGAACTAATCCCAGGCTTTACTTCGACCACAGGCTGCTTTGAGTGCTCAAAACGTAGGATAAGCTGCGATCGTACGGAGCCGGAATGCGAGAAATGCCAATCCAAAGGCCTAAAGTGCAGTGGGCTCGGCATTCGACATCGCTTCAGCGATGGTATCGCTGCCCGGGGCTTCTGGGTAGGCAAGACAATCCAGGAAGTATTCGAGGGGTGCGTGATACCAGCATACTTCTTTCAGCAACCCGTTTCTACTTTCTAACAGCGGTTAGACGAGATGCCGAACGACAAGTAAAAGCGTCATCCCTGGAGCGGATATCAAAGCCATGCCCAAACAGCGCAAAGCTGTGTGAAGAACTTGGCAGTGAGGAACATTTCCCACAAGACAACGATCAAGTGCTGGGTCATGCGGATATCCCGGCGTCTCCCAGCGAAGTTACTGTTGATGACAACGTTGAGTCTGTGGTAGATTCATCAAACAATCAACCTCTCCTCCAGTTGCAAAGACCGCAGGAATTCGCTCAGACGAGAAACATGGCAACAGCGGGGATAGCACGGAAGCATGGCTGCTTAAGGGTTCAGCCGCCACCTGCCAAAGTCGCATCATGGGCGCTACCTCTTATTCGTCATTGTACGTCTCGTCAAAATCTCTTCATGCCAGTGTTCCTCAAGTTGCTCAACCTGTTGACTGTCTTCTTAGTCTCCGATCATATCGCCGGGGAAATGGTGGCGATAGATGGCTTGCACAACGGGTGGAGGCATCTGGTCCTGCCAATTGCCCATCTAGATCAATTGGTACTAAACTCAGTGTTGACAGTCGCCTCTTTCCATCGATACGGGCAACGCTTATCTCAATCAAAGAGCCTGGATTTCCGTGAGGACTCCCTTCCAGCACCGCCGGGCCTGTCATCTCAGCTATCTGCAAACGCCAATCCTTCAGCATCTCAGCTGTACGCCTGCACAATTGCAGATCTGCAACGCCGAGATCTCGGACACAGCGACCAATCCTCTAGACTTTCCATCTTACTCGCCATCCTAGTGCTGTTGGTGGCAGTCATGGTCACAGGTTCAGATGACTTCCCGCTACTATTTCGCTTACTTGAGTCCGCACTCGAAGCCATTGGGGGAGAAGACAGCCTGGGCGAAGATGAGCTGTCACGTTTTATCGTCCGCCAAGTTCACAAGTAAGTGTTTGTGGATCTTCGCCGCTGGAGAGATTCCGCCTTTTCCGCACCAACAGTTACCTTGCGCCGTCAGGGCTCCAGAGGTCTAAGCTCTGATCACAGCTAACTTTTCCACTTCCAGAATGCGGGTATATGCTGCACCGCTGATCAACGAGCAGTGGGGTATCACAACACTGAGCACTCGCCAGAACATCACGCAGGCGTTTGAATGCATCAAGCACTGCTCTCAGCATCAGCCAGAGCACTATCCGATTACGTCGTTGGTCATGAGTCTCATCCAGCAATCCTACGACATATATCTCGATCAAGCGCGTCGCGATATACTGTCGGTAGCTTCCGTTAGCGACAGCTTTCCACAGTTCGCCGAGTCTATCTGCCGGGTTCAACGATTCAAGGAGACGTTTGAATCTTTCCCTGCTGGCTCGCCCGGTAAACAAGTCCTCATCTGGGCAACCTTTATGGCGGCTTCCGACAGTGTTCTGGAAGAGCATAAATCATTCTTCCGGGAGGTATTCGCATCTTTCTACAAGCGCAGCGGCTTTGAGAATCTTCGCAAAGGCATGGATCAACTTGAACGAGTCTGGAAAAGAAGAACACTGGGCGATAGATGGATCTCATTACTACCACAAGCTAAGGTATTCATCATGTGATCAATGTGAGCCCGATTGCTCTATGACATAAAGCACCATATTCTCGGAGGGTTTTCCTGATTGATCGAGCCATAGGAAGGGAAACCTTTCTTGGGCTACTTGACATTCCTAATAGTGCAAGTAGAACTTTCTCAAACAGCTGATAAACATGGCTTTTCCGGCCGCATATCGTCCATGACGGCCTTGGCAGCTCTGGTACCTTCCTCCATAGCGCAATCAATGAATCCCCTCCATCCTAAGGCCCAGTCCCCACTGGCAAATAGTACATTGCCTTGGCTTTTTCGGAGATCTTCGAGATACTTGAAACTGTAGCCTGGTGGAAAATTGCACCATGTTCCTCGTGATAATGAGTTGGCAAGCCAATTGTGCCAAACCTGGATAAATATTAGTAAAAGCCCAGCTCAGTCCGCCATAGCGAATATCTACGCAATGGGGACATACCACTTGCTTGACATTCATTTCTTGAACTCCTTGAGCGTCGGACAAGAAGTCACAAACATCGTCTTTCGGGTTGGAAAAGTCTCTGTTAGACCCGAAGAACACTCAGGCAGTGATGATGACTTACGATTCTTAGTCTGCCCTGCATACCTTGGATAATCGATACCCTCAAGTACACAGCCGGGAGCATAGCCTTCATAACCGTGACAATCGTGTCACTCAAGTAAGTTATCATTTGCTGATGACATCATCAATATGTATGTGGCTGCTGACGGGAATTCTGTTTCACAGCTTCTTGATCATAATGGGCATCAACAACGCTCCGTCACGACTGGCTTAGGGACTAGCCAGGGACAATGCCCTGCCATTTTCTATCGCTTTGCTCCGGATCAAGTCCAGTTTCCGGGCACCGATCAACGCTATTTTCCTTCATTGTGGCGGCGGAAATGGCGATAGGTACACACAGTCCTCTTTACAACATGCGACAGTCTGGCTTGTCCGCAGGATTGGTAGTCTTTGGGAGTGACCACGCTTGAGCAATCGTTTGTCTCGGCGATGTAGCTTTCCAGATTGAATACTTCATTCCTGTGATAATGTTATGCAATCCAATGCGAGGGATCTAGCTGGCTCTCCATGGTACTGACGCTAGGGTGACAGCTTCTGGTGAGTGGGCGCGATTGCTTGCCCGACAATCGTGCATTCAGCCTTGTTAGGTTTGGTAAACCTATTAACATTGCGTCGGCTATTTGGTCGTCCTTGGTTATAATCATGTTGTGGTAAGATCTGCGCTTTTTCGGTCAAGAGCGTTGGTTATTAATATTGTCCTGCTGATGCAGCTTTCCTCTCTATGTCCCCATAACAGCCAGTAGCATTTGTAAGTGTCTACCTCTGAAGATGATTCCATCAACCTTTCGATTACATGTAACTAATAATACAAAGTGAATATGAATTGGGCTGTGTTAATCATCGGAGCGTTGGTGCTCATTAATTTGGTTGACTGGGTGGCTCGGGGCAGAATTTACTACTCCCTGTGAGCAACCTCTTTCCATACAGTCGGATCGTCTTCATTTCAAGAAATTCACTTCTTAATGATACGACCTTTTCAAACAATGTTTCGCTATTTCAGATTCATTCGGTATGCGTTTGACCAGCTGAGGTACCTCAACTTAATCAAGATCACACCCTTGACATGGCTCAACTTCTGATTCGTCTATCGCCATGCCATGACGAAAGCAAGCAAATCAGCTATTTATCTACAATACCAAGACAATTTTAATGTCCACTTCATCCCAAAATTCATTCAAACTTCCAACTCGTGATCAAGCGGCGTCTCCTGAGCTCTTGCGGATCCAGGCCGATAAGATTCGGCATCGTGGTTGAACCCGACTGCCGGCGGAACTAACCCACCAGGTCAAAACCCTCGCATCACTCTCACAGGGGTTTCACAGAAGTTCTGAATGCCCTCTCAAAAATCATTCATGGAATGCAGGCTTGATGACAATCTTGACGCGCATCGCCTATTTCATGCAGATGTTCGCGTTCGGATTACACACGAAGCATCAAAAGGCTTAGAACCAGAATCTTTCTTCAGAACAAGGTGTAATCTCGGCTCTTGAAACATGTTGCTCACTTAGTAGGACTATTGGTGGCCGTGATGTCTTGCCTCTCGGTGTGCTATTTTGCGTCATGTCCAAATCGCGATCCATTAGCAAAAGTCACATGCGTCCGACACTACTCAACTCGATTCGGGTATCCCATAACCTATGCCAAATGACTCATGGTTCAACCCTAGTGTCCTCCAATTGACAGGGTATCTTTTTGTGTTGCTCCGAACTCCGGTCAGAAACTTCATGTTGTCTAGATAGAAAGTCTCTCGGTCTCGGACGGTAAGGCAAGCCGATACACGGAATCAACTCCACTATTATCCGCACCACTCGGCGAAGCGATGTCAGACGTCCGTCCGTATGGGTCGCTCAGCATGGACAATCTAATGTCGGGTCGCTTGGATCTATCGTGGGGCATCTTTCACGGTAGCGCCGGGCGTGACTTCTGGATGGGATTCCGCTTGTTTTCTCCCCAATAGCCTTATAAATAGGCTCTAGGAGTCCCCTCGTTTTTCAGATGCAGACTCTCATTTTTGGTTCAAGTCATTCAAGATACTCTTTTCTTTCGCCTCACAACAGCATAGTCCGTCACAATGTTCCTGGAGCCCTCGCTACCTCGGGTTGGGGTGCTTGTGGCACTCCCAGTCATCTACTGGATTGGTTGGGTCGTCTATGCACGCACATTACATCCCCTCAGCAGAATCCCCGGGCCTTTCCTTGCGACGGTATCACGGTTGTGGTACATGTTGAAGATTTGGACCGAGGACGTCGAAAAAGATGAAAGAGCCCTTCATGAGAAATATGGTCCACTAGTCAGACTGGCACCAGACGAGATCTCATGCTCAGAGTAAGTATATGGAGTCTTAACGGGTTCTTGGTTTACTCGTGGCTGATATACGTTGCAGTCCTGAGGCATTTGCGGACATTTATCGCTTTTCCAACGCGTTGGATAAAGCCCAATTCTACGAGCCCTACAATACAACCGGTTTCAGCCCTCACGGCGATGTCTTCTCTTGCAAGAGCGACAAGAAGCATGGCCAAAGGCGAAGGATCACGAGCAGTGTATACTCCATGAGCAATGTTTCCAAGTCCGAGCAATACATCGACACTTGCAGCGACCTCTTGACCGAACGCTTGGGACAGTACGCTGACTCAGGAAAGCCCTGTGATATCGGAGAATGGCTGCATTGGTGAGTGACCATCACCACGTTTTTAACAAAGTCTTCACACGGTCAAGAAATCCGGACTAAGTAGTGCAACAGGTACACCTTTGACATCATTGGTGAACTCTTCTATGGCCGAGCTTTTGGATTCGTTGATGAGGGAAAGGACCAAAATGACTGGATCAAGTCTCTCGACAAGATGATTCCCTTCGTCTGCCTGATGGGTGTGGCGCCGCCGATCCTGCGCCCTTTCGTTGGCATTGGATGCATGCTCACATCTGCAGGCAAGGAGATTGCCAAGGGAGTGTGAGCTGATAGTCTGGAATTTCATGAAGCGTACTTCAGCTGACACCTGGTGCTAGAAAGAACATTGGCGAGTCTTCTGCACGCCTCATGAAGGATGCGTATGAGTCGCGCCTCGAGGCCCCCAGAAACGACATGGCACAGCAGGTCTTCTCCATCTACGAGAAGAGTGGTGAGAAGTTCGACTACCGCTGGGGAGATGTTGAGCAAGAGTCTTACGGTGCACTCTTTGCTGGCAGCGACACCACTGCCATCGCCTTTCGCTCCCTGTTCTATCACCTGATGCACAATCCGGAGGCGTACCGTAAGCTGGAGGCCGAGGTTGACCAAGCCGTCAATGAGGGTCGTCTCAGCATGCCTCCCACATACAAAGAGGCGAGCCAACTTCCCTACCTTTGCGCGTGCATAAAGGAGGCTCTTCGTATCCATCCTGGTGCCCAGCTATGTAAGTCGTCTTGCTTCATGATTCGGGTGTGCCTCTGACAAACCAAACACAGCTCTGCCTCGTATTGTGCCCTCTCAGGGCATGACGCTCTGTGGACAGTTCATCCCGGGTGGCTATGTTGTTGGCATCAACGCCGCCGTGCTGCACTTTGATAAGAAAGTATTTGGTGCAGACGCAGAAAGTTTCAACCCTGACCGCTGGATGGATCAGTCTCGTGCCAACTACATGGACAAGTTCATGATGGCCTTTGGCGGCGGCACACGTACGTGCTTGGGCAAGAACATTGCCTTGATTGAGCTGCACAAGCTTTCTCCTCAGTTGGTGTGGAATTATCGGTTTGAATTCTACGATCAAGCCAAGACTCAGTGGCACACCAGAAACACCTTCTTTGCCAGACAAGAAGGCGTGGTCGCGCGAGTCAAGCGTAGGAACCACTGAAACCACGAATTAGATTTAGGAAGACGGGGTTATTGCTAGTCTTTTGAATTTGTACATCTCTTGTCGCGTTAGGCGCTGCTGTTTAGAGATCCTTCGTCGGAGCATCACCTTCAGCTTTGCCAGTTCCATATTTCTTGACCTTATTCTTGCTTGCGTCCTTGTCGGCAATAAATACTTCGACCTCCTTGCTGTCCATGTACTTTGCAACGTTGTCCGCTTGCCACTTCTTGAACGAGAAGCCCACGCCCCTTCATAGGACATCGGCGGTTAGTGTTGTCATGTCTCCTAGCAAGTGTTAGGACTTACTCGTGACTGTAGTCTTTGTCATTTGCCTGATCCTTGTGGTACTTGACCTGGATGAAGTCGCTGTCGACTGTTCCAGGGTCCAAGCTCAGGCTGACGAGCGCGTTGATGGTCGCAGTCTTTGGGATCAACTTGAATGTCCAGCTTTGTTCATTTTTGAACTGGATCAAGTCGCGGTCGTTCTTGACGATCTCGTATCCCTCGTTCTTGCTGGCATTAAAAAGCTTGGGCAAGGCGAACCACTGTCCCGCCATCTTGTAGCGATCATTGGCGTAGACAAATTGGTCATCGTAAACACAGTCAGCAGTGTAGCGCTTCACTCGGTCGACGGTCGGCTCCATGGAGTACAACGCAATAATATCATCGACCAACGCTTGTCGAGCTGGTGAAAGAGGCAATGACTTTGATGGATCAGGGCGCCAGTCCTCAGACGTGGATGTTTGGCGGACTTCGAATTCTTCGCCGGGCGTTGCGGAGGTCTTTCCGGGGAAATTGATGTGAGAAGGTTGCGAGGCCATCTTGCGTGTTAAGCTGAATGCTGGACTTATGGTTGGTGAACGTGGGAAATTTGAAATGATAAAATGCGACCGTCGGAGGAGAATCATGTCTTCAAGAAGGTCAACAATTTGACCAAGAGCTGTCGCAGATATTTCATACATATATACACAACAACTCATCCACATCCGACGCAGCCGCAGAACGGAGTCATGACGCCGTCGACTTATTGACTGGCAGACCATGGCGTAACAGAGCGCATCCCTTTCACGGAAGCCACGTGGAACTGGTCCCAATGCGGTGGTTCTTGCTGCGTTGTGGCGCATCTGAAATTCCGTAGCACTGACGTCAGCCAAAATGAGATGATGCACGAGACATTTTGCTGATGAGCTTTGCTTCCGATCATCGATTTTATCCTTCATGTTCTTCTTTTCGATTTGTTGGACTCGATCAAGTTGTTTGACTACAAAGATTCGTCGGAGAAACGAGGATGCTCATGCTTGAAGTCGACAAGGTATGGCGTGCAACAAGAATCAAGCATGAAGAGACACTGCCGAGAGATCTTCAAGAAGTCGTACAACGGCAAGCGTTCTGCGTCCATATTTGGAGGGGTAAGTAAGTCAGACCATAGATCATTGTCAACTTTGACTCGATGCGTCTCACTATGTGAGGTTGGGACAAGCACTCTTCTTGATACGGAGTCGCGGTGCAGCATCCCACACAATTAGGCGAGTTGATTTGTGTAAGCGATACGACTCTTCTATCATCGTGCGACTCCCTCCTCGCATTTTGGGATATGGTAGAGACCACGGACTCTCAATGTCTAATGAGATAAAGGAGTGGGCATCGCTGAGCCGCATTGGAACACGATGGGAGGTCTGGCTACTCGCCGGACGCTCCTAATAGTCTTTGCGTGTCAACACTGGCACTTTCCCGACATTAAAGACATTTCGACTCCTTCTGGATCAAAATGTCTAAATGTAATCAGCTTGAACCGGCATTTGCAACACTCAGCTCGAGCATCACTGCGGGATACGACGAGAGTGGCTCCATGATTCAAGGGGATCTGCGTAATTTCCACACCTCTTACATCCCACCTGCCAGCGTCAAAGACGAAGACTCGGCAGCTACAGGAATGCTGAAGATGGCGTTGGTCAATTTCTCGACATGTGAGGCTGCGTCTGTGTGAAGCAACGACAATCAAGATCGTGAAAAACTGTCGTGTTGACGATCGGCCCGAGGTGACTACCTGTTCGAGCACGCAACCAAGCACCCCGTCGGTCGGCCAAGCCTGTCACCCCATTCGACTATTCACGCGACTCGCCAGACACCGCGTGCTTCTCCACGGGGAAGAGGAAACGAGAGTCATGCAAAGCAGGATGCGAGGGAACAATCCCCGGACTGATTGGACTGAAACCCCACCTGTTCGGCCCTTCTCCATGCTCCAATTCGGCCGAGTTAACGTCATCCCCAGAAAATTACCAAAGAAGCCAATCGAGCCGACTCTTTCCCCTCAATAAACACAACGCTCCGAATACTACATTGCGAGCCGACGATCTTCAACGCTCTACCTTCGGCTCGGGATTGTTTACCCCGCAAATACGCGGAGCCAGGCACCGCACGCGGCAAATGTACCGGCTCCGCAAATCTACCCGGCAGCGAGTTCGGAATCGAGACTGATATAAATGCTCAAGAGCAGCAGCAGCGATGGAGGCGGCACTTCAGTTCTTGTGGAGCAACGCCTCCTCCATCATGCAGCTCCGGACCTCTCACGCCCTGACCGCCATCTCGGCGCTGGGTAATCTCGTCGTTCAGAATATCTATGCGTTGCCCAGCACCTCTATTGAGACGCAACACGGCATAGTGAATGGCTTCACGGATGCATGGGCACCATCAGTCGCGCAATTCTACGGCATCCCCTACGCCGAACCGCCGGTTGGAGACCGTCGATGGCTTCCTGCCCTGCCGAAGGAGTCCTTCGGGAGCCTGGACGCGTCGTTCCGGCGACCGTCTTGTCCGCAGACGGATCCTCCGGGAGGCGGAGGCGCATGGAAAGCGGAGTTCTTGATCCGGCCCAACAGCACCAGCGAAGACTGCCTGACTCTCAACGTATGGGCCCCAGTCGACTCTTCGGAAGCTCTTCCAGTCGTCGTATGGATTCACGGCGGTGGTTTTACTGAGGTCAGCAACCCCTTGAAACCTATTTACAATTGTTGTTGACTTTGAGATTTAGGGTAGCAATGACATTGCCTACCAAACCCCGACTCGATGGGTGCAGAAAAGCCAGAAGCATATCGTTGTCGCCATCAAGTAGGACTTTTTCTCTCAAAAGCCGTGTGTATCTTACTGACCTTGGTGTAGCTACCGTCTTGGGCTCTGGGGATTCCCCAATGCTGCAGGTCTTGACCTCAAGGAACAGAATCTGGGGCTTTTGGACCAGCGTCTGGCTGTTGAATGGGTCCGGGACAACATCGCCAAATTCGGCGGCGACCCTGAGCGCATCGTCCTCTGGGGTCAAAGTGCCGGCGCCGCGTCGGTCTCGTACTACCAATACGCATACGCCGAGGACCCCATCGCCATTGGTTTCATCAAGAACTCGGGATCACCGTTCATCCCCATCGGAAGCGCCGACACGACACACTCTAGCTTCACGTCGCTGGCGACCGCATTCGGGTGCCAAGATGATGAGCTGGCATGCTTGAGGAAGGTTCCTTTCCGGGACATCCAAAAGTATCTCGGCCAAGCCAGTAATCTGACGTTCAACGTTGTCGTTGACGAGAGAACCAAGTTTTCCGACTATGCAGAGCGCACCTTGAACGGAAAGGTCGCCCAAGGGCCCTCGATCGTCGGTTCGACCAGGGATGAATGGAACTTCAGCGGTAGCTCTGAAGCTCCACCAACCAACGGCTCCGATGTGGTGGCCGACAACTTGTTCGGGTGCCCGGCGCACTACGAGACTGGACTGAGGAACATTGCCGGTCTCCGGACGTATCGCTACATGTACTCGAGCAACTTCACCAACATCATGCCCGGAGGCCAGGGGGCGTTCCATTCGGCGGAGCTTCCTCTAATTTTCGGGACTCACGACATTGCGCGTGAGAATTCTACCGCGTTTGAGTATGAAGTCAGCGACGAGATGCAGGACTTGTGGCTTTCCTTCATTGTGGATCCCGAAAACGGACCGACGAGTGAAGGCTGGGATGCCACGCCTTTGGGAGGCCTTGAGACGACCCAAACGGGTATCGATATTGGTTACCAAGGAACTCTTGTGCAGCCATTTTCCTGGGCTGCTTGGGAGACGGCATGCACCAACGCCACTGTTGCCTGATTGCCGATTTCCATGTAATTCTTAGCACTTGTGCAGTGTATCCGTATATATGTCAAACCCCCAATACAGGCACATCTTTCATCAAGAAGGCTGGATGAATGAGAGCATATGAGATAGTCAAAGGTAGGCCTAGACCGGGTTATCTTATTTTAACGACCTGGACACCCCAGAGAACCATACGCCCGTATTCGGTACTCAATGCCTCGGTATCGCAGTCAATGCGTCATCGCGATTGGAAGCTGAATGAGGGCAATCCCAATACTTGAGAGGCCAATATTATTCAGCATCATGATGTTCATTAGTCTGCGACATCAAACGTTTCTCTGCCAACGACAGAAGGAGAGAAGGCAGAAGCAACTGCATGGGATGAGACTCATGATTCGAGGGCTGAGTGAGAAGGCGGTGAGGTGAGACAAAGAGGTTCCTGGATGAGGGGAATAATTGACGCGAATTGATTGGCGGGCGGGTGTTGGTTGGCTGGAACCAACAATTTGGTGTGACCAACGCGTCCACGTGCAGGACAGAATGGCGCGATGGAGCCAATCAAAGGTGGGCGCTTTTGAGTAGCGGGTCGTCGGGAGACGGGCCAATGGTCGGGCGGCAGGTGGAACGGTGCTCGCTTACTTAGTACTATGTAGCGTGGTCGTCCACCTGTTTCCTGGCGCATAGCGCTGGATGTGGTACGTGCGCTGTCGTTTTTATTTTTGTCTGACAAATGAAACGGCGAGAAAGGAAGGTGCAGTCCTTCCTTGGGTACGGAATGGATACGTACTATCGGTGAGCGAAGCGTGGAAGGTGGTGGTGGTCCAGTTGGAGTGCGTGGTTCCAGGTTCTGATGGGAGGCAGGCGTGGCGTGGCAGGACAGACAGGGCAGGTGGCAGGTGGGTTTCCCTCCACTTTCTCCCACCTGAAATGGTCCCTGAAGAGTGAGGTGTGCACCTGGTTCGCCTATTTGTTGATGGAAAGATGGCCTCAGGTCATTCCCGTCCCATTTTCTGTTTTCTGCCAGAGAACCGAGAGAGAGAGAGAGAGAAGGAGCAGCCAACCTTGGAACAGGCGGGACGGGAAGCGAGTGGCAGGAGCCGAGCAGCCTGAGGTCCAGATCCATCATCCGGATCCAGTGCCTTCCAACCTAGGTTCCCTTTCCCTTCTTTCCGCCCGTCCCTCCGTGTCTAGTCCTCCTTCTTCTTCCTGATCTCCATTCTCCAAGCAAAGCATCAATTGGATCCGCAAGGCCACGGCAAGGTCACGGTAGCAGCGGGCAAGGAGGGGAATCCACGTCTCTTTTTATTTGTTCCTGCTCGTCGCTCGTCCCCCCTTTTTTTCCCTTCCCCCTTCCCTGTGTCGTCCCTCTTCCCCCCTCCCCCCTCCAGTGTCCCGTCCCCCCTTTGCTGCTCTGCTGCTGCTGCTGCTGCTGCTGCTGCTGCCTCGCCCGTACGTACCGACCGCGTCAAGGTCAGGTCAGCAGTCAGGTCAGTCAAGTCAGGCCAAGTCAGTTCAGGTCTCGCTCGTCCCTCCTCATCCCTCCCTCCAGCTCCTCGTCCTGTCCTCCATCCATCCTTCCACCCCCGCCCATCCCTGCTTCTGCTGTTGGTCCCGTCTGTTGGTTCTGTTTGCAGTTGATTCTTTTTTGCATTTCAGCCGCTCCGTTTTACACTTTCTTTGACAAAGAGGATCGAACCAACACGCCTGAACCCGGGCTGGACTCGACTACCAACAACGGATACAAACCAACAGCCAACGGCCAACGCTCTCCACGTGTCATCCCATCGGATCCTCCCATCATTCCAATCCCATCATTCCAATCCCATCTCATCCCAACCCTTCCCGTCCCTATCATCCCGTCATATCCCTTCCGTCGCCATCCCTTCCCTTCCTTATCCCCCCCCTTCTCCGCTCCGCCTTGTCTGTGTCGCCGCCGCCGCTGCCGTTGCCGTCGCCGCCGCCGCCCCTTACCTTACTCGTGCCGAGTTGCTTTTCTTCAGCGCGCAGGGCGGGAATAAAGGCAACCTGACCGAGGCTGCGCTGCGCTGCGCTACCATCACGTTGCGCTGCTGCGCGCTGCATTGTATTGCACTGCACCGCACCCACCGGCACCCGGCGCACGCGGCGTGTTTTGGACGTGGAAGGGTGCGAAAAGCGAAAAGCGCGGAGCGTAAGGCGTGAAGGGGGAAAAAAAAGAGGGAGCGTCGGTCGTGTCTCGCGCACCGTCTGCCGTCTGACGAGTCTGAGGGCCGCGCCTGCATCTGCGACTGCGTCCTCCAAACCAACACAAATATCTGCGGAGACTGTTCCGCAGAGTGAGACATGATGCGGATGCCCGCTGCTCCCGTCTTCGTCGCCGCTGCATCGCCCGACGCCGCCGTTGCAGCATCCGCCGCTGCGGATTCCCGACCGACTGCTGCTTCCTCTGCCACGGCGTCGCCTGTCAATGTGCTTCACGACGCCGCGTCCGACGGATCCGAACCTTATTCGTCTTACTCATCATCACCCTTCATGTCTGTGAGGAGAGCAACCAACAACACAGGAACCAACAACGCTGCCGCTGCAACCAACACCAACAGCACCAACAGCACCACCAGCATCGGCACCAACAGCGCCAACGCCAACGCCAGCACCAGCACCAGCACCAGCGTCGAGCCGCGCCATCCTACTCACCGCCGTCTGGCCCCGGCTCCACCGCCACCTCCACCGCCAACTGCCGCCAACAGCCGCCATCCCGACGCCCTCAGATTCCCGCCGTCGCCATCGCCAACACCATCGCATCCAACCCTCACAAGCAGCAGCAGCAACTACAGCAACGCAAGTCACACTGCTTCCGAGAGGCCGTCATGTCGTCCCGCCGCCCCCAAACCCGGCCAATGTCCCGTCATGGCATTGCAGAACGTCCTGTGCGATGACGACGTCGATGCAGCTGCAGATGCCGCACGCCGGAACGCATCACGCCCGAGTCAGCCCCCGACGCCGCCCATGATGCACGATGTTTCCGTCTCCATCTTGCCCGTCCCGGTCCCGCATCCCGCTGCGAGTCATGTTCTGCATCCGGGCCCGATGCCTTCGTCATTAACTCTCAATCCCATCCTGTCCGGACATGATGGCCCCGACCCCATGATTGTCGCCCGGCCAAACCCTTCTCATGTTGTCATGACTGCCCGTCCCCAACTACAGCCCCGTGTTCAGCCGACCGATCCCGGCTGCAAGACGTGCCAGGTCCGCAAGATGCCGTGCGACGAGAGTCGCCCAACGTGTAGGTCCCATGTTTTGCAGTTCCCTCGACGTGGTGTGCGTGTCAAATATTGTGGCGTACATACTAACGCGCTCGGACAGGTCTAAATTGCTCGCGCATGGGCATCAACTGTTTGGGCTACCACGACTCGCCGCCGAGTCATGTCCAAATGACACAGCCGTCGGACCGTCCCGTGCCGGGGCCGTCCGTGGTCTCCAATACAAGTACCTCTAATGGTAACGCCAGTGCCAGCCGCCAGGAACAAGAGGAGTATCTTTACTACCTTCTGGACCACTACCGCCACACTAAGCGCCACTGCATGTGGGATCTCATCACTCTCGACTTCAACGAGCACTTCCAGGCCAAGATGCGCAAGGAGGCCTTGCAGATGATCAAGCGGAGGCGTTTCAAGGACAGGGAGTGAGCAGCAACGCCATGGCTTGACTCTGATGAAGCTGACTGACTCTGTAGAACAAGGGAACCTTCACCAAACGAACCCACCACCGCAGGTGTGCAGCTTCCCCCTCGACCAAGACAAAAGAAGCGAGGCCGACGCCCAAAGTTCAGCCCGACAATCCCGCCGAATATGAGAGAATCGGGCACCGAATCAGGCACGGGGTGAACACGAAAAGCACCTTTTGGATCAGTCCGTTTACGTAAGCTTGCTTCTGGCAACGGCGGAGCCCTTCTGTCTCCGGGCCGGCGATAGTTTCAACGAACGTGTTTACTCAGCCTAGCGTCTTTGCACTGTAAAATGCTCAGCAACCGCAAACGAACCCCATAGTCAGCAGAAGCGACAAAGCGTTCGGAATCTGCCAGCGGCGGTGTATCAACATGACTGGAAGGCAGTCTCGATGAAGGAAGTCAAGGTCAGCAGCCGAACTTTATCGACCGTATTGTCCGTCGCATAGGCCGCTCTGCAGACCTAGTGGACATGCGATGGACAATCCGAACGCCCAGCAGGAGGCGTTGTTCGACTCGAGCAGTTGCGAGAGTGTTATTTTGGGACACGGAGTTGATTGTAGGAAGGCTTTCTTGGGATGAGAACCGAAGCTGCATTTATGCGCAGACGCGGGTGAGCAAACGTGTTGCTATTCGCGGACTGAGGCGATGTCGTTCAGGGTCGGGGTCGGGCTTACATGACGATCGCGGCTCCGTGGCTGTGGGGTCGTGGGGGCCGCAGGATTCGGATTCCGCCCTGCCATCACCATTGACCTCTTCTCCAGCGGCCCGACAAATAGACCCGACAGATGTTTGTCACAGGCGTGTCCTTACGTCGGTGGACCACGGCACGCTTTGGTCGGACTCTTGCTTCGCAGACAATCGGGTCCGGAACTTTCGCCCCGCACATCTACCCAACTGCACAATCAGCCTTATTCAGCCGTCCCACCGCCACATTCTATTTGCAGTCGCTGGCAAGCTCAATTTGCCATGTTTGAGCAGACTTCGGGTAATGCCAGGATCGGCATTCAAGAGCGGTCGATGACATCGGTAACTGCAAGGACGCGAATGGTTTGTTGGAAGCATTCATACATACTTGCCGCATGGCGCGCGGATGGCCTCGCTTGTTTGAACCGCATTCGAGTGCACGCCATGCTTATCAGCCAATTTCCAGATAGGCTGGTGGATACGACCACATCACCCTTTTGCCATGCAATGTCATGAGATAGCAAAGGGTAGCATTGAGGGGGTTCAATGGAAGTGGAAGATAGCATCTGGGGAAATACAATTGGATAACTTCAGAAATGTCCACGCCGCATTTTGTGACTGTCACCTCGTAACCACACCTCGGCGCTCGTGATCCAAAAGATGGAAGTCATAGCCAAGAGGTACTTTTGTGTGCAACCACGGCCAACAACGAGCGTTGCTGCTGACAGCGGATAAGGGGCGCAGACAGGTGGCGAAAGACTGGCCGAAAGGCCTCAACGTCTAATGGTTGGCAATCCAGCAGACGCAGCAGCACAGAGCGAGAGCCTATTGCATTGTCACACACGCACAAAACGCGGGTAAGCGGCTGTTGGTTGTGCCGCGGTCATCACAAGCGGCGGCGCATGGCGCGGGCGGCGATTGGTGGAAGACGGAGTCGCGACCCGCGCGAAGACCGGGCGGCCGCGGCGCAGCGCTGGGCGAAGCGGGGGGTGGTGGGAAGAGGAGGACACGAAAGTCACGCTGGAGCCTACTCTCAGAAAAGAAGGTCGATAAAACTGAGAAAAATACTGGTGGTGCAGAGGGACTCAAAGTAGAAGCTCGTCATCTCGGTTGCGGTGGTTAGCGTGCTTTTGGAGGGCACGGGTCGTGATTGGGTGGGTGCGTTGCGGGAGAGGCTTTTCGGGCCGAGAACGGTGTGTTTGCTGTGATAAAGTTGGGCGTGCCTGGTCACTGCAATGGCAGAATGGCAATGCGTCAGGGGAAATTAGATGGGAGAATCGGGCTACCAGACTCCCTTTTGGGTGTTTGCTTGTTGGTTGTTGGGGCGTGTGTGATTGGTTTGAGTATCACCGCTGCAGGTGAGCCAAGGGCGTGGAAGAGGATTTGTGGGGTTTGGGACTGTTCAACGTACCCCGGTTCCAACGACGGGTTTTGATAGGGGAACCGACGACATGGGTTTGGGGGCTGTTGCTTGGCGGTGTTGGTCCTGCTGTTGAAAGGCGTTCCAACATCCAGGAGACGGGTTGCTGGGCGAGGCTGGGGTCTGTGAGAGATTGGCAAACATGTCAGGAGCTGGTTCCCACGAGGCCGTTTGCTTCTCAGGCGGTCTTGGTTGCTTTTTCGAACCCGAGAGTCTGGTAACGGAATCCTCCTTTTTTTCTATTTGGGATGTGGCGAGGTCAGAGGTTGTGACAACTCCGCCCTGGATGCAGCTTTTCTAAATGAAAGGGCCTCGACCTGGACAACAACAAATTGCATTATTTCCAACGTAGGGAGACAATATGTCAAGGCCTTTTTCTCAACTCTTTGTCTTGATCTCGCAAGGGGCGAAGCAGGTTCCGGCCCGTTGCTGCGCCGGTTATGACGGTTTCTCTGGACACCACTGGCGTCATTGGGCTTTCCACTTTACAAAAGCTGCTGCAGTGACCAACCAACAATGCGGCCAGTTTTAGAGACCAACCCCCGTTGGTGCCGGCTTTGTTCGAGAAACCAACAGCCTGGCTCCAAACTCTGATTCGCCAAACAAGCAGTTGTTCTCCATTGTTCAATAGAACCCGGAACCCTGGACCTGACTCCATGAGTCCTCAGCTTTCCGCTTGTGGTGTTCGCCAAGTTGCCCAACGCCCGCGCCACCAACCTGGACACTCACACACACACAAATTCTATCCCTCTGTGCCCCCGTGACCCCGTGTTGCTGTGCCCGTTGGGAGGCTCGCAAACTGTTGGAAGTGAAATGAACGTCACCGGGTATGTTACCCACAGCCCATTTGCAAATCCTGCTGTCATCAGTGGTGGCCTGGCGATTTGGAATGAAGGTGCCGGCCCCCCCTCCCATCTGCTTCCAACGATTGGGACAAACCCACCCTCCCTTGCTTCCACGAGGCAGCGAATGAAGTCCATGCCCCTTCTCGAAATCTCCCGTCTCTCCTCCCCCAAACTGGATTTGCACTGCCAATCGTGCTCTACTTTGGAATTGGCTCATCTGCCTCGCCGCACGCTGGGCGTCCCTGAGATGCCTTGTCGTAGCCTTACCCGTTGGAGGACAACACCAGGCCCAAAGCTAGGAGTCACAAGGATTTTCTTCTTCTCGACGTTGGGTTTGCTGCTGGATCTGTTCTGCGCCTCAGTTGATGGATTCGATTATAAGATGTGTCTGTTCGTCGTGGTTGAGATGTAGGATTTCCGAAAGACAAATCAAGCTCTCAACTCCTTCAGGATCATTAAGACTCACTCCTGCCTTTGAATCGACTACCAGACACACACGGCATCCCGGTCTAGCTTGAATTCCTACCGCCACAACTGCCCCTTTTCCTGATTCTGCCTACCACCTCTGACACGGGTTTCAACCACTGTACCTGCAAGTAAGATAGACAACTGGATCCTTCAAGCCCTTTGAGAAGTTACGAACGCTGACATGCAGCCAACACAGTATCAAATAACCACTACCACACACTCTTCCAAACCGTTCAAAATGGCCGACGCTCCTCAGTGCAACTGCCCCAAGTACGAGACCCAGGACTCGGACGGCAAGCCCGTCATCATCTACCGACACGGAGACGCCTGCCCCAACAGCGGCAAGACCCCTCAGCCTCGCATGTACAAGCCTGCAAAGATGAGGGGCAGCCGATAAATCGCGACTGAAGAGGTGGAAGTTTGAAGAATAGAGGTGGTGGTTGAACATAAGATGATGCCTTGACTGTTGCGCAGACCTTTGGCAGAGATGTTGCGAAGAGAGACGAATGTTACGCATTTATGGCGGGGGCTCTGAGAACTGAGACGATGCTGGGTTCTTTTAGGGACCAGAAAGGGGTAGAGATTTCGCGGAGGCTGTTATGATGCACATACCCAAAGAGGGATTGGCAGCTGCATCAGTTGTCTGATTCCCATTTCACCTTCTTGTACATAGGGCGACTTTTTTGAGACTTTCCAATTACACAACACCAATCATTCACAACATTAAAAATCAGTCTTACATGTGGGGGTCAGGTTCGAGCTCCGGAATAGAGGAATGTCTGTCGAAACGGACGTAGATATCAAGCCCCTTTCCCATCCTGAGATCCGAAGTAACCATCAGAAGTACACCGATGAGGGACAGATATCCGTCAATTGCTCTTTCCAACGGCTTCTCAAGCAGCTAGAAAACAAAATAAGTGAGCCCTCGTAGTGCGATGCAGGACATTCTATTCTACATCATGCTCTTGGCGAGTCAAAGACTCTCAACGATTACCGGCGACAATAGTCCCGCAGGTACCTGCCTGTGGTACTAATACCCAGAAGTAAAGCTTTTACGGTAGTGACCACCGTGAAAGCTGCTAGTTGAAGTAAATGCTAATCACGAGTTTGTGATCGGGCGGGGAGGAAGTTTGGAGGCACATTCTGTGCGGGTTGACGAACATCCATTCAACCATGCCCTTGAAGGTTCTCCAGACAAAGTTAACTTTAAGTACTTGGACGTAGCCCATCAGTATTACAGAAACCCTGTGGCTTACCTTGATTCTGCGCCACAGCCGAGTTGTGTCCGAAATAGCACCAACTCCTGCGGATCCGGGGGTTCCGGAAAAGGTACCTACTTCGGATGTGATTCCTCAGTGGTCAAGTCTCCGGACTATCCACCGAGCGCTGTGTTATGGAGCTCCGCGAAAAGGCTTGGCTGACGATTTCCGAGGACTACTCCGGGTGGGCCCCGGAGATCTCCCACACCGGCCGTCAAGGGCTACTCCGCATGCGACCACTGTGACTAACAAGGCCTTCGACAACCTTGATCAGGCGGCAAGCATGATGCTGCATGGCAAGGAGTGCCCATTTGACTCTTTTGGTCTCTGCTTAGAAACCAAGAGCTACCCTTGGTGACGCTGGGTGCTGAAGCGGAGTTTCGGTCTTGGTATGTACTTCTATGTTCATTAACACCATCAACAACACCCAAAGTTGGACGACTCAGCTAGTAATACGGATCCAGACTGCTTCCGCCGCCGGTCAATTGACAAGGGTCCCACACTGATTGATAGTCCATCAATCAATTGCCATTTGCCTTCTTTGCTCGACTGGGTCATGATCCGATGCCGTCCGATCATCGCTCCAGCTGATCTCCACGAACATCCCGGGACAAGGCTGGGCAATTCTTTTAAGGTTGAAAGGCCCGAAGTGTATGTGGGTTGCATCGCAGCTGGTATAGTATCCCTAACGGCGGATCAGCCGAAAACAGCATAATATGCCGTTAAATCCTGGTGTATTGGCCACCGATGTGATTAATCCGGGTCATCAAGGATTTCCAGACTCACACTTGCATGAAGCCCCATCATTCAGTAGCAGGGATATTGAGCTGCGGAGGAGGTATGAGCTCCAGACAACGAACATCTTGGCACTAAATGTAGCGAATCTCAGCTGTGGAACGACATGACACGCATGTGTGCCTCCGGCGACAACCGTCTGTGGTGGCGTGGAAGCGCTCTTGTAGATATCATAATAAGTATTTAAACACCACCTATCCCCTTTCTTGATCTCTCGGTTCTTCGTTCTTCAATCCGCGCAAATCAGTCACTACCCTCTCATTCGTTTCTGGTCCAAAAGCACAAATCCTTCAAAATCTGCCTGCATCAGTACATTCGACAATGAAGTTCTCGATCACCGTCGTTCTCAGCGCCATTGCAACCATGGCTGCTGCGCAAAACTGCTGGGAGACCGGCTTTGGCTGGACCCCTGATTGTGGCCGTGGCCACTGTGCCATTGAGGCCAACGCCTGTGTGTGCGAGGGTTGCAACTACGAGCGGTTCACTAGCTCCAACATCGCTTGCTGCGGTTGATTGATTGGTAGCGTACAGGCAACCACACTCAAGGTGTGTGTGAGCATCACATTCAACAACAAATTCAGCCAAAGTGTTCACAAAGTCCTGCAGGCCGCTTGAAATAACTTCATCAACGATATCTTGGAGTAATATTGTCTATCTGTGGGCCTGACACTGTGAATAGTGGTTAGAACTTAGTCGACCGTATGTACACCATCATGCTGGGCTTTACTTTTGTCGCCTTGCAATGCATGCCCCAATTCACAACCGATAATGAGCATTGGTTTGATCTTTTCCAGATATCGTGACATCGGTCAAAATGAACTAATACACATAACAATGATCGATCATCTAAATCTTAAGGAAACCAATCGCAAGAATCCGCCACTTCCCAACACCAATGGATCAGGGTCTGTAGCAGAAAATCCATCAACAATTCAGTCTCCCTCAATCATCCAGCCAGTGTCTCAACATAACGCTTCCATGCAGTGGCGTAAGTGCTGCATATCAGAGCATGAGGATCGCCAGTACAGTAATTAGAGAAGTAATGAGACCCGTTCCATCTGGTAATCTCGTTCACAAATAATGGACCACCAACATGCTTAGCCGAGATATCAAGTCGACAGCCCACTTCAAGTGTCTCGAAGCGACCTTTCCACCCGTATTCTGGATTTCTGAGAGCTTCGAAGACATCGAGGGCGAACTCGTGAACCGCATATTTCGTTGTGCCAAGCCTCTCGTACGTGTTGTCTATGGCCTCAGTGGCATGCATGCCGCCCTCCTTGGGGTCGGGCCTGGTGCAGCACACGCGCACCACTTCTCCTCGCAGTCCTCTGGTGCCATGGAGATCAGGTCGTGTGGCGATGAATACACGGAGTTCTCTTTCGGCCAACATCTCCACATACTCCTGGTGAAACCAGACACCCTCGCCATCTTCTTCGGCGTTGATTGCGGCTTTCTTGTCGACCTTTCGGCGCTTAGATCGGGTACAAGTGAGCTTTGCAGCGTGTCCTCCGTCAGTTGTTGCATGGAGAGAAGAGGAACTCCAAGAGCGCTTCAAGATGTCTTTCTCATTGGCCATAGCACAGTCTCCAAAACCATAGCATGTGGTGGGCCTCCACATGCCCCGGGCCTCGGCAATCTCATCCAGGGCGCGGATGTCCTGCAGCTTGTACTCTGCTGCGTTCCTCTCCTCCCTGCTCGGATATGCGATCGTGTGCGAGTTGTAAGCGGAACCGATGACTTGAAGATAGTCCTCGATGCAGTCGTATTGTGATTGGATGGTTGACTTGACGGGAAATCCAGTTTCCATAAGAGCCAACACTAGACGATCTCTGTGGGGGTCGAGGTCAAAGTGTGAGTGAAGATCTCTGGCCTGCAGATGAGATTCGACCTGCTCCCAAGTTCGTATGGCACCTTTCACTTCATTCCCATCGGAAGCTGTTGCAATCACGCTAGTCAAGAGTGACTGATGGACCTGCACAAGCCCGCTTGATGACTTGAGGAATCCCGGGAATCTCTTCTGCAACTGTTTCCACTTACTCGCAGCCGGAACCCAGGGTTCGTGCTGAACCGAGGCAGGCTCTAGATAGAGGCTGACATCACAGAACGAAACGTCCTCCGGCTTGTATTTGTGAACCACGTCGCCCGCATCGTCAGTGTCTCCGATCAGAACCCAAAGAGTGAACAAACGAGGGCGGCTTGGATGATCATGATTCTCCGTATTTTGAGCTTGTTGCAAACGTTGCAAGCGGGTTACTGGTCGACCACTGACCTTACCTCCGATGTCCTCTGAAACATGCGGGGATGCAAGGTTGTTGTCCAGTGGAGGACGGCGTTTGTCGGCAGGAGGAAATTCCTCGTATGTTCCAACGCGATGGGTTGGGTTGGCCCTTGTGTGAGTACTCTTGACGAAGACGCCTTTGCAGTCGTAACAATAGCAATGCACAACTCCATAATGTCGTCGGACTTTATTTGGTGCTACGTTGATAGACTGACCACAGAGGCAGGTTGACCCGGATTGTCGTTTGGGCTCAGGTTCGGGCTGAAGAGGCTTTGGTCTTGATCTCAGCTCCATCTCTTCTTGAAAGATTTGCGTTTGAGTAATGTTGAATGGGAATGGGAAGACAACAGCGAGCGCTGCAACACAGAATACAGGTAATCAGCACAGATTTGACCTTATTACGACAGCTTTGAAATGAAGGCCTCCTCGTGGATGGGAACTTATGTACAGAAACAGATGCATCGTAAACGAAGCCATGGTCTTTCTCTGGTGCTCTGAATGAAGTATGATAGCATGTCTTGAACACAAGGTATGAGTAGAAAGGATTCCAAGTCAGAAATGGAACTTTGTCTGATACCCTTAAGCACATTGTGGTCTGGTCACAAAAAGAAAATCAACAAAGACTTTAGCATGTATGCAAAGAAAGACTAAACGAAAGCGCGTTTTTATTTTCATCCATCCTAGACAACGAAGGGTTGCCTTCTAATCCAATGTAAGGAAAAGACTGCTCGTGGCTTCTCACAGTTGAATTCTCTACGACCTCTAGTAATGTCATACTGGTTAAGCTCATCAGGCCCAAATCATAAGAACGCCCATAATTCATCAACTGTCTGCTTTGAAGCGTTGACGTTCCGAGGCATGGTATTAACTTGTTTTCAGCTATTCACAGAAGACAGATTCGAGTGCCAGGCATGTTTGTGCCAGGTCCTTGATAGGTGCTAGCAGACCGTCAGTTCTCTCCTTGTATGAGGCCCTTTACTTCTCAGGTTCTCTATTCACTCACAACGATGGATTGTCTCAGAGCCTTTGTGTTTATTCTGCCTCAGCCCGTACCTTTTGCGTTTCTAAGCATTACAATGGGGCCTTGATGAGACCAACATGTTTTGTCCTGAAGTCGGTTGAAACACCAATACATGGAACCTTTCACCATAACAAGTATGGAGAAACAGAGTGTATGTTTGGTAAGTCAGCGAACCATTTCCTTCCGAATCCACGGCGCGTTTCACCCGGAATCTGCCTGCTGAAATTGAGTAGCGCTCTTGGAAAGGTCATGAGTTTCCTAGTTTCGAATATCGAAATGCGGGAGTACGCTTGCCATGTGTATTAAAGCCTTTGTGCTGGCCACTGAGTGGGGCAGATCAGGAAATGCGACAATACGGTTTACTGAAATGTACTTCAACCCAGCTTCGGGCTTATATCCAAGCTGCGTTTCATCAACCAGAGAAAATTCAACATTCAAAATAGCTTCAGGGCAATGCCACTGACTTTATGATTTGAACGCCTGATACCACACGGCTAATAATGAGGACTGTAGTCATACCAGCCAGTCGTGATTGTCTCCTGTCTTTGATTCAATTGATGGAGTACAATTAAATGCCTGCAGACTATGGAACGAAGGTTCTGCTCATGAAAGGACTGTGCATCAGTATTGTTGACTCGTCGTCGGATTAAAGCCGAGTTGTTGAACTGCCTCGAAAATTTACCGGTGGGTGGCCATCGGCTTTCGCCCGATCAAATAGGAACCTAGACGAGTGTCTAGTCAATTGGATCCATTCAACGGCTCTCTTACACCATGACTACGAAAAACAAGCGGGAGACGTTTTATCTCTAATCAATGAGAATACCTAAGTATGCAATGGGACGAGGCTGAAGTTCGAAGGAAGATGTGGGTGGTTCAGTAATGGACTATGGGAGAGCCTTATGGCCGTATCGATACAGCAGCTGCAGGAGCGCATTATCTATTGTACATGTATGATCTTATCAGGCTGTTTATGATCATTAATCCTTTTGTGTCTGCTTCACGCTGTGCTCATGCTCGTGTGCATCTTCCGCCGTTACAACCATTACCTTCTCTTCATCCGACCCGCCGGACTGGGCATTCTGAGAGTTGACAATGGCAAGACTCGACTTTCCGACCTTGTACCAGGGCATCTGGAAAAGTTGATCCATTTTCTCCATGGACATTCCCTTCGTCTCTGGATATGCAAAATAGCAGTATGTCGTGGAAATGGTGGTGAATAAGGTGAACAGAAGGAACGGGCCCCATGAGTGCATGGCAATCACCATGTTAGGCTGCGCGCGTGAGAGCGCGAAGTTGACAAGATATTGCCAGGTAATGCAGATTGCCATGCAACTACCACGGACCTTCGTGGGAAAGACTTCGGCGTTGATGATCCACGGAATAGTTCCCCAGCTGATCGCATACCCAAGGGCAAAGATGTAGATGCATACGACTGCTACCCATCCAGCCGGACCAGTACCATTGGCTCCTGATGGGTTGGCAACAGCCAGATAGACGGTGATGTACGTCAGAGACCCAATGATAAGACCGGAACCAATGAAAAGTCCCATACGTCGTCCGAAACGGTCGATGAAGAACAGGCAGTAAAGAAGCACTGCGATGAACTTGACGAGTCCGTAGATTCCCGAGAAGAGATAGTTGACAGAAGGCGCCGTAAGCCCGATAGATGACAGAATCGATGTGTTGTAGTAGGTAATAATGTTTCTAGTGGGTTTTAGATGCTTGTTTCACAAAGGCTCCCTCGACTAAGGGGACTTACCCGCCACTGAATTGAAAGCCAACTTGGATAAACATGACCATGAAGAGGCGTTTTCGGATATTTTCGGAACATATTTCCTGGAACAAACCCTTGAGGCCCGGCGCAACTGGTTGATCTTCCAGTCCCCGTTGGATCTGATCAAATTCTTGGCGCACAAAGGGGTGGTCGCGGGGAAGAGATCTGAGAGTTTCGAGTACGCTTTGCGCCTTTTCGACCTTTCCATGATTCAGGAGCCACCTTGGAGACTCAGGCATGAAAAGGAGGCCAATCAGAAGGATGACTCCGGGAAGGGCTTGAACAGCCATAGGCATCTGCCACTGAGCATTTTGCGTACTGCTGATGTGTTGCAAGGAGCCAAAGTTGATCCAATATGCAAGACCAACCGAAAGCATGGTGTTGGCGTTATATAATGCAGTCAAGCCACCACGAATGCTCTGAGGAGCGATCTCTGCAATGTACCCGGGGCCGACGACACTGGCGGCACCGGACCCATAGCCTGACAGAGCCCTCCCGACAATGAACTCAATCCGTCCGCCGGATCCACCAGGATTCGCAGTCATGAGAACTGCTGAGGCCACGAACAGGATTGTAAAGATAACCAGGGAGAATCGACGTCCGAGTCTCTCGATGAATGGGGCGCAGGTCAACGACCCGAGACACGATCCGAGAATTAGCACAGAGGTTATCCATCCATTCCAGTTGGCGAGATCTGCGGTGTTCATATCTTGGAAGTCGAAGTGTGATTTGAACGGCTTCATGGCGAGCGCACCGGAAATATTCGCAGTATTGAATCCTAGAACGAAGATTATGTCAGTAAGTTCTCCGACGAGACGACGAGATCCATCGTACGGACCATGGAGAGCCCCGGTGAAGGAAAGTATTGTGCAATATGCCACAATCTTCCAAGAGATCACCTCTTTGGGGGTTTGTTCGTAGACCTTCCTGTCGATTATAGGCATCTTCGCAGAACTGTTGGTGACCTGAACATCGACTTGGCCAGAAAAGTAGTACCGGTAGCAAGACAGAACAAAAAGGATGTGAGGAGAGACCAATTGGAGGAACAGAGGGCGGTATTAATGCTTTTCGCTCTGGTGCTGTCAGTCCGATCTCCAGTTTCCAGTGAAATCAATCCTCAGCAACTCCACTTGCAGACTATGAAGTGTGCTAGGTACACACGTGGCGACTTGACAATATGGGTATCTGTTGAGAAAACTTATCCATGTTCTTTTCGGCATACAGGAGCCACACTTTGGACACTGAACGCATTGGCGAAGGGCGCTATTCGTAATGGCATCATTCCATGACTCGTCTCAGAGACGCTAATGATGAGAGATTCCTCCGGGGAACACGTCCTTAAGGCATGGTACCAAGAAAATACAATCGCTGTGGCCTCAATGAAGTAGACTTTGCCGCGAGTCCGCCTGTCGTGTGACTGGATGCATCTGCCATACGTTCGCAACTAATGTCTATGAGCGGATGGGGCCTCGTCCGATGTATGGGACATATCCACAAAGTCCTAGTAAATTTCTGGGGACCCCGGGACCAGTGAGCTTCCCCAGAGGTGCTTGAGTCCCCATTACTTCTCCGCGAACGCATGGATTGGACGGCGGAAGCTCGCAATCTTGGCAAAGTGCATATCTGGGTCACCCCCCTATCTTGTTTCGATCCTTGGTCACGGAAGACCACCAGTCGGCTTTGGCCCGGTACCAGGGAGCCCGTTGTCGGCTTTCAACCGAGGCAAGTGGGAAGATATGGAGTCACAAATGCGGCAACCTGCTTACACTTTCAAAATGGAGACATCTATGCCACAGTTACCAAGACCGACGAAAAGTATAAAGAGATGGCTCCAGTCATCAACTGTTACCCTGCCGAGCGGCACTCTTGCCTAAGAGTGAACTGATAGCTCTTGGCCAGCTAATGATGGGGGTACTCCCATATGACGTTTCGCGATGGGTCTACGAATTGAAGAAGTTTTTGATTCGCTGCTTTCGTCGACAGACTGCTCCGTATTCTGATTTATCTATGGCAGACCCCGTAAGACAACACGTTATTTGCTGTTTGAGGAGACTTGGAAGTTCCCATGATCTACCGAAGGCCTGCCTTTAAAATTACCCGCACTGGTTGAGGCAATGACTTTTATTCAGATTACAAGTTGTTCATTCCAAAGCTCATTGACATGCTACAGGTCGACCATGCGAAAGAGATCCGTCTAGCACGTATGCTGCACTATCTTTATCACCATGGGAACGTCAGTTGTTCGGACAACGTCTGACGAACTCGTTCGTCAAGGTTCAAAGAGTGGAATCATCAAATCTAGCAATATGCTGTTCGCACGTTAGGATTTGTGAACATTGCACCTACTGTTTCTTCTTTCAGGGAATTGGATGGCTGGTCAACAATCCAGAAGGCTGACCAGCAATGCAGTGTTCCTAGAATCTTTGACCCTGGTGGATCGGAATTGATACTTGTGCAGCTGAAATTTGTCGCGCTTCGTGCTGCCTAATCGATCCGTCGATAGTGGAGCTGTGGGTGGCCTCCCAACCTCCTCCTACTGTCCGAGACATCCGCCTAACCTGATTCGTACAACAGTAAGCAAAGGAGCATTGGAAATAAATCAGACCAATTTTCGATTTTTCTATGCACATACTCAACTTTATTGGAAGGTTGTAACTGCGGGCCAATCGACAGGTTCGACATGATGGAGGTTGACGGAGTGTTCCTGAGATATGCGAGTAAGTACTCTCTGCAGTTTCGCATCACAGCAAGGAATCAAAGATCATATCAGCTCACGTGCCAATGAAAGGTCCAAACGAACAGCGGACGATCAGCAGAGAGGACCTTGGGTTCTACCATGCAGTCATTATAGGCGCCATCTACGAGCGTGGCAACGGGCCTGCTATCAGGTCATCCCAATCGCTATTCGGGCCCCTGGCACGGTGTATCGAACAGCATCCATTTCTGGGCGTCACTGTGGGAGACAGGCACACCGATAAATCCTTTTACCAGCGAGTACACATGGTCAACCTGAATGACCACATCGAATTCAAAGAACTGCCCGTCTCAACGAAGCTCGAACGGTGGAACGCAATAGAGGAATTGCAGCGCTCCAACCTAGACCGTCCTTTCAATCACGCCATCCCTCCTTGGAGAATCATCATATTGCATCTCTCCAACTTGGAGACTTTCATCGCGTTTGCTTGGTCACACATGATTGGCGATGGACTTTCAGGAATTTCTCTACATCGATCTCTACTCGAAGCGATCAGGTCTCCAGACTTAGCCTCCGATGCCCCGTCAACTGTCAAGCCACCACAAGTTGCTCTCGGGCTCCCTTTTGACACGCCTCAACGCCTTCCGATATCTTGGTCATTTCTCTTGGGCCCTTTGGTTGCTGTGTTCTTCCCTAAGTTCATATCAGACTTGTTGGGCCTCCAAGCGCAGGCCTCTACTCTAGATGAAGGCACCTGGACTGGGTCTCCAGCGGCTTTCAACGGCGACAAGTCTAGGACCAAGATTGCTTTGAGGCTCGTTGAATCCTCTCTGGTGGACAAAGCACTCTGCCAGGCGAAAACACATGATGCCAAATTGATGGGACTACTACACCAGTTCATTGGCCGAGGGATGAGCAAAGCTTTCGGCGAAGTCAATGTCACCAACTTTGTGTCTCAGACGGCCGTCAACATGCGCAAGTCTGTAGGAGTCCCCAGCGACGAGATGGGAGAATTTGTTTCGGCCACATACTTGGTTCACCCGAAACTGACCTCGGCTGGTCCACTTTCCGATGCGGAATGGTTGGCAGCCAGTTCGAGCACCAAGGCTTTCGCCGAGACCGCCGCCACCTTACAAGACCAACCTATCGGTCTTCTCAGGTATCTGCCCAGTGTCAGGAAGTGGCTTTTGTCTAAACTCGGCCAGCGCCGCGATTGCTCCCACGAAGTGAGCAACGTCGGCGCCTTCGAAGGTGCGACTCGCGACGGTGAGAAGAAAGCTACAATCACGCACGTTGTCTTTTCTCAGCCGGGTCATGTGTCGAGTGCCCCGATATGCTTCAACATATCTAGCGTAAAGCAAGGGCCTTTGGTGTACACAGTGACCTGGCCAACTGGTGCATTGGGTGTTCCCGAGGTCGAAGAGGACGCCGTGGTAGACACGATCTGCACGTCCATTCAAGCCGACTTCGAAGCAATCGAGCACATGCAGTGCTGATTAACACTCAAAAAACTTCTTCTCAGCGAAGAAGCACTCCTCAGTTGGCCGTGACGATGAATCTCCTGACGAGATGCTTGGCCCAACCTCCATCCAATGTTGAGGACCCACCAAACACTGTCAATTGCGCCCAGATCCGAAACCGGGGTCCATCTTCAAAACTCGCAAGAGAGCAATTGGCGCAGGCTGAGAGTCCGGAGTTTGAAAAGACCTCATGCGTCCGGTATCTCCTTAATTTCATTCGTTTAGTATGATGAGTTCCTATATTTTGTAGCTAAAGATTGAAGAATACTTCAAGTTTTTTGGCCGACATAATTCCAACCCGGCGAGACTGAGCCAATCAGAAACTGTCCTGGCGTGTACATGTCGCCAAAAAGGCGCGATTGACGAGTTCATGCATTGCCTTAGTCACAGGTCACTAGACTGGCGCAAGCGTCGAACAAGCTTTCGACTCCGTCCTTCTCCGGACATGACTTTGTTATCATACTACAGCGTATCAATTTCTCAGTTGGGACCCCGTATTCGCGAGGGAGATATCTGAACCAATTTTACCCTTAGGCCACACAATGGCAGCCAACGAGAATGAGCCACCAACACCACGCGAGGAGCAACCCTGGTCACAGTCTCGGTGTCCTACGCAGGCGGATACTCGCGATGCGACAAGCGACAATCAACACCGTCCTGCTTGCCCAGTCTTACCGGTTGCCGACGAGCCCGGTTTTTCGTATGCCTCATCTGATTCGCCGAATTTAATGTTTCCTATCGAAAGTTTCGACGTCCTCGAAGTGGATCTCGGCCAGCAACAAACACCTAGTCATCCGGTCCAAGTAAGTCCTCCACTTCTTGCGCATCTCCACTGACTCATACTGTGTAGCCAGAGGCCGCTCAAGTCTCTCGAAACTTTGATGACCAAGTTGCCATCACACTATCCTCACAACAATCAGTTTCTTTGACACGGCGCGCAACAATACCAGGATCTGGTAGAAGCACAAGCTCCATTTCGGATATGGCTGCGCCATCCAACAGTGCCGTTCCACCCAAGATAGGAACGCGATTTTCCAGAGACACCGCTCGTCTTCTAAAACAGTGGCTTAATACCCACAGTCACTACCCGTATCCTAGTCAAGCTGATAGGCAGAGTCTTCAGTTGTCGACTGGACTTTCCAAAACTCAGATATCAAACTGGCTTGCCAATGCCCGAAGACGCCAGAAGTCACTCGCAAATACTACTCCTGCACGTTCTCCTTGGTCAGATGAGTCAGGCGCCCATGTACCAAGGCGCCCAGGAACTCCAATTCCGAATCGGACACGCATGGAGAGCCATTATCTTGACATGGATCCTATGGAGAGATGGGTTGACTCGCCTCCCGAGGATGAGCCCGCAGCAGTTGATGACATCGCTCGCGCAATAGCCTCTGGTAATCCGTCAGCCTCAGGTGAGCTCCGTTACAACCGCCCTACGTAGAGTAGGGCATTCATCCTACGCAGTACACATGGCTGAAACGTTTTTAGGTGACCCAATCAATGCAATCTTTCCAAAGGCTAGATCAGATCCATCATATTTCATGGACGAAAGTTCAGCAAGTAGTGTCGTATCTTCCAGAGAGGGCTCCAAGGCATCTGCAAGTTCTCGTGGTTCACTTAAATCTGTAAGTTTGCCGCCCTCTTTCAAGAAACGAGGACGACCCAGAACGCGTAAAGGAGGGCACAGCACGCCTCTTGTGCAAAACCGAGGCCCTTTCCAGTGCACATTTTGTACAGAAACGTTTCGCGCCAAGTACGAATGGAAGAGACACGAGAAGTCGCTCCACATACCACTGGATAGATGGGCTTGTGCTCCCAATGGCCCGACAAGCGTCAATCCCAGCACTGGTGCTCAGGCTTGCGTTTTCTGCGAGAGAGCCAATCCAGATCAGGCACATCTCAACCTTCACAACTACACGGCCTGTCACGGAAGAGTCTTTAACCGTAAGGACCATCTGAAACAGCATTTACGCCTTGTCCATGATGCACCAGGCGTTGGTTGGGTCATAGAAGGTTGGAAGACTGCTACCCCGGAGATTCGCTCGCGTTGCGGCTTTTGCGAGCAGTTGCTTCCGACCTGGGAAGATCGCGTTGATCATCTAGCGGACCACTTCAAGTCGGGGAAAACAATGGCATCCTGGACTGGTGATTGGGGGTTTGAACCATCGGTGATGGAGACTGTTGAACACTTTATGCCCCCGTGTGAGTCTCGGGATCTCATAGTAACCTGGTACATGTCTAACCGAGCCAAAAGATATCATTGATCACGAGCGTCACACGCCATTCCCATTCAATGCCACCTTAGTCCCTCCTAATTCACCACGCAGTGCGTACGAATTGTTGACCTTGGAGCTGGAGTACTTCATGCAAAGACATATGGATGAATACGGACAGGTACCGAAGAATACCGAAATTCAACTGGAAGCTTGCCGTGTCATATTTGCATCGGAGGTTCTGTGCACCTCGCCTAACGTTCAAGGGACAGACACCTCATCCTGGCTACGAGATCTCATTGAATCAAATGAAGACATCACAACAAAGGCGAAATTCGGATCCATAAGATCACAGGCGGAAAGTAGACTTTCAGTCCTCCGGATCAATGGAAAAAGGACACTGTTCGATTCGTGTCCGCTGGAGCTTCAGCTGCGAGATTACGTCCACACGCTTTGGGCATCTCAGTCTATAGTCCCAATGGACAATGATCTTCAAGCAGAGGCCTGTAGAATTGTTTCACGCATGGAGGAGGCACTCACAGCTGGGTCTCCCGACTTCGTCGCCAATTGGCTGACCAAGCTGATTACCAGCTCTACAACATGGCTCTATGGATTCAAGAAGCGCACCCGCCTCCTGTCCAACACTGAGCAGAAATTACCAGGCAGGGCAGATTCCAGTAAATCCCCAAATGATCTTTTGGGGCCACTGGATCTGAGCATGATTCACGCTTCCAGGTCTAACTTTCCCATGAACGAGAATGACACGCTGGGTCTGCATCCAGACACTCATGATGAAGGGTTGTTTTTGCGCCCCAAATCTAGATCTGACGCGTTTCTCTTTGAGATGGACGACATTCAGTACCCTCATGTGCTAGAAATGGAGAATTCGGAAAATGGAACGGCATCCGAGCTCCAACTAGCAGATGCCTCTTCTCGCCAATACCAAAAGTTGCCTGAAACTGCTCATAAAACATCAGGAAGTCTCCGCAGACCCGGTTGGCTTAAGTCGGGAGCCTTCGTACTAAACGACTGCAACTCACACCGATGGTTATCTATGGAGCTCAAGCGATGGGCGGCATCGACGATGTCCCCAAACAACCCCACCCATCATGTCCCATCAGACGAAGAAATTCGTCATCAGGCTCGTTTTCTGCTGTTTGACGAGTAAGTTCCCCCTTCATTTGACACAGAAAGCCTATTAAGCTGCGCCAGTGACGACCCTTGGAACCAAACTGCAGCCGATAACATGGAGTGGCTTGAAGACTTCAAACGCCAGGTTGGAATACCACGATGAGGTTTACCACTTCATCTCCCTTATCTTCAATATCCATTTTTGGCCCATGGAGATTTGTGACTAAGCATAAGAGAGAGTTCGAGGCCTGTGAGAATGAGTTCGCTGGATGCAGATGCATTTGCAGTTCAAGGCCAGCATCAATCACGACATACCATCGTCGTTCCTCCAAGTCTTCCTGGCACCCATACAGCTGCTGGGAAAGTCGAATCACAAGTGAACACTCAATCATTGATATGCGGGGTTGGTATTACCAGTCCAAACGATACATAGCTCTTACTAACCGGATGAAACCTAGGTGGGCATTTTTCAGGAACGCCTCCCTTTGATTAGCGCTTGTCTGCAGGCAGCAGGCCGCCAGACATTGCCTGGGGTGCTGAATAAGACAGATTGTCTCATGAAGCCGCCCTTTTTTAGATTGGCCAGGCCTACGTCGATCCTTTGTGACGTAACACTCAGGCACTGAACTCTCATCCAACGGCATCACGGCCCACTAGCTCTGAATCCTTCCAAAGTCAAAACCATCTGAACCGCTCGCGCTGCCAAGATATATAAGACCATTAGCCACCTCCGATTACGACGCCCTCTCCTCGTATCGTCCATCCCAGCATCATTCTATTTCCAAGTTCAACCATGGTTTATATCTCGCCGCCAACGAACGTCCCCAAGCTCAATGCTTACGTCACGACCAGCCTGCCCGACGATGCACTGGCAAAGCTCAAGAAGGCATTCGAGTTAGGTGCATGCTCGAGATTCAGCCCCATCCTCGAGATGGTGATCAAAGATGATCCTTCATACCACAACAAGTCACATGCCGAGATACGGCGTGCTGAAGACGCGGCTGGTCGAACAGATGGATTCGTCATCATAGACAGTCATGCCGCCTCGGATGTTGCAGTTTGGTATGTTGACTCATTTGCGACGCAAGACCAAGTCGACTCCGACGAGGCCGAAAGCGTCAACGTCCTCGTCAAGATACTCGTTAAAGCAGAATGCCTGCCACTTACTTGGGTCAACTACGAAATTGCCAACATAGACATCATGGAGGACTTGGATAATTGTGGAGTGGAGATGCCACTCACAGGAGACTACGAGCAAAGTACCATCAGCAACTGTGGCGGGATGGACATGGAAGAACAGCAAAGTCATCAGCAGCTATGGTTTACTGCAGAACCTGGTGAATTCGAAGAGTCTACGGATCCCAATCACCTCGACAATTTCAGACCACGCCCTGAGAAGGTTGCAAAATTGTATGAAAATCTGGCGAAGGAAAACGGGATTGTTGCACACTGGACCATACCCTCCCCTGCCCGCTCGGTCAAATTACCAGACGGCAGCAAGAAGACCTTTCCTGAGGGTAGCATCATTCTTCAGCACACATGGAATCCTCAATTCCCCTGGCCCGAGTACAAGTGGCCTGAGGGGTCACTGTAGCGTAATGCTGATCATGGATTTTACTACCTCTGCAACGATTTTCTTTGAAACGCAATTCATCTTCCTTATCCATTCAATGAAGAAGCCGCACAGTAGATTGGAAGAGTTTCTAAGAAGTGTGGCAAGCATTGTCTCCTTTGGCAATCAGGCTCTGAGAATGGATCATTTACTATCTCATCTCCTTTCAGTTTCATTTGATTTCCTTACTCTTACTGTCACAAAGGCCACTATATAATTAAGTTCTGGTCTTCTTTACCAGAGTTGCTGCCGCTTGTGCGTTGCGATTGGCCAGACCCATCCTCGTGACACTCTGCTTCACTCAAGACGTTGTCACTATATACTCGCACAATAAACCCCATAAAAATGCTAGTGGAGTGAAGAACTTCTACGCGTGACCGATTGTTGAGCGCTGAGCCTTTTCAATATCGAGCCAGCAGTCCGATTTAGAAGGTACTGCTTTCCTAATGAAGCGGTCAAGTAGGCAGGCACACGGGAGGCGCCATTGCTGACCTCATCTCTTGCCTCGTTCTCATCCTCCGAAATGTTTTCCCAGCTTCCTTCTCCGGCAACACATCCAACTTACCTGAGTCCCTTACCTTCAACCACGCAATCCAAGACAGCCGCGATGGAACCCGCTGGCTCCCAGCCTTCGAGCTATTCGTTGCTTGAGGATGACGATGATGAGTTCAAAATGCTCCCGCCCATGCCTGGAATACGGTTCGCGCCTCACCTGAAGTATTTGCCACTCTCAACCCTCACTGCCATCGAAATCTTCTCATTCCTCTTGCTAAAAAACGGGTGTGCGCAGGATTGTACACCTTCCACCCGACAATGATGCTCATACCGTCGCGGACTCGGACCATCCCAATACCGGCTGTGGGGGAACTATCATTGTCGCCGTAACGCAACTCACCACCTGGGCTACCATGCCTCTGTCCGCCATCTAGAAGGTGATGGACTCGTTCAAGCATGCCGTTGTCAATAGAAACGGATGCATGGTCAAAGACGAGCGCCACGGATTCGACATTCTCAACTCTAGGTATGGACGTCGATGGGCGACTGACTCCGGAGGTCGCCGTCCTTTTGACTACCTCGAGGAGGAGGACGACGATGATGATTATATCCTGCTGTCTCCTTCCACGTACACTGTACCCGAGACCGAGACGAATGGTCTTGGTCTCGGGTACAGTATGATGATTATATCCTGCTGTCTCCTTCCACGTTCACTGTACCCGAGACCGAGACGAATGGTCTTGGTAAGCGCATCCGCAAAGTTGTTGGTTGTTGATGGGCCAACATCTCTTTCTGCAAAGTGTTGCACAATAGGTTTGGCGATCGTACCCGTCCCGAAAAGCCAACTTGACTGACAAGATCGTAGCACAAAATTTGGCTGTCGATTGGCTGCTGATTGGGCAAACTTCATCGACGTCAACGGTTATCATACAGACAGCTTGAGAGAGAGGAATTGGCACAGGTGGTAAATACGGACCCCTACCTGGGGAAGAATGATGGAAGGGACAAAAACCAAGTCGCCAACTCTTCCACCAATTAAGTGCGTTCGTGTCCGGTACCATAGTCGATAGATGTGCACAGTTCAACACAGTTCTCTTTTCAGTGACGCACATGTGATGACCACTCTGGAAGCAAAATTCAGGCGCTATCGGCTTTTGTGGATAGGTTTATTGCGGTTATCCTCGATTTCGACTATCAACAGCATGGTGATAATTGCTGACTGAGTTGGTTGGACCCATGTTCGGCATTCCGATTTTTGCATGCCGAAATTCTCGGCTTACCGAGATCTCAATCCGAACGCAGCAAATGTTCTTCACTGCCACCAGGTTCCGCCCTGAGTTGTTGGCTGTAGAAAGACTCGGCTAACTGAAGTAGGCTTAGCGCATCTCGTGCTTCTCCGACTCGCCAACGATTCTTTCTTCTGCTTCTGCTCAAGTATTCTTAAAGGCCAGTGCGAGCCAGCAAGAATGAGGTTCGCATTGATGTTCGCGGTTTCTCCCTCTATCTTCTGCATCGATACGAGAGTTTTCTCGGTGTTTTGACCGAGAAAACTCTGCGGAGAACGAGAAGTCCTACGACCGCGCAACCACCAGTCAAAACAGGGGATCGGATGCAATATTGCCCTTCAGCCATGAGAGTATCTGCGTCGGCAGCTTGTTGGGGTTTTCAAAGTCAAAGGCCACCCCTTCACCCTGTATCTTGGCAAACAACCACCCATAACCTGTAGATCGAAAATTGGTGGACTTCCTCGAGAACAAAGTCAAGCTCAGCCATGCTCGCTCCTCAGTGGCATGGACCAACCTGGTGATAAGATTGGAGGCTTATCTTACCTTAGTAATGAGTCGGTGGGGGCCAACACCACCGGATCTGTTTGTTACCCCTCACGACCGGACTCTTGAACCACTCCGTCGGTTTCGTTCCTCACCGACTCCTGACTTAGCGCAGGTTGTCGGTGAGTATCTCAAAGACTCTCCGGCTCCTGACTGAGAGTCCCGCATCTTCAACTCTAACACCCGCCAAGCACCACACCGAAAGATGGTGGGCCCGTTGCGAATACGGTCCAGCATAGCTTGCGCAAGATGCAGACGCTCCAAGATCAAGTGCGAGAACACTGGCCGCCTAGATGCGCCATGCGAGAACTGCATCAAAGGTCGGAAAGAATGTGTGTGGCCGATGCCCGCCCCGTCGCCACTGAAGAGACCCGATCCACCTTCCGCACCTCGGGATTCACGGGAGACTGCGACACCTCATTCCGGGCAGAAAAGGCCGAGACGGGCGACCCACACGCGGATGGATGGGGCTCTCCGTTCCGATGACATTGACATCGTTCGTCGTATTGACAGAACGCTGTGGGATAAGGCTCTGGTCACATTTCAGCGTCATTTCGCCACAGAGCTCTCATTCTTACATGTTCCGACTCTCAAGAACAGGATATACGACTTGACTACCGGCCACGCGTCGGTAGCATTCGATACCCAACTAGTCCTTCTCGGTCTTCTGGCCTTAACCGGGAGGTATCATGGAGAGCTCGCCGATTACTTCGACAACGGCTCTGAAGAAGTCTCATACGATCCCAGTCTTGGGGATCAAGGTATTTCCGAAGCTTTTGCAAGAACGTTGGATAAGTCTCTGGGCTCGTTCGTATCGGCGTGTTCCATCGGATCAGTTGAGCGTGTGCAAGCCTTACTCATGCTCGGTCTCTACGAATGGATCTCGCCAAATCACGAGGGTCTCCGGGCTTGGATGTTAGTCGGTTCGGCAGGACGGATGGCGCAGGCACTCAAGCTGGGGTACGAGGCCAATTACAGTACAACAAACCACTCCGACTCAACACTTGAAGACGCTATCGTGGATCGCGAGATCAGACGCAGGACTATGTTCAGCTGCTTCATCTTCGATCGACTTATCTCTTGTGGCAAAGAACGGCCATCATTCATCCGATCAGATGACCTCCACGTGCGATTACCCTGCGCCAAAGAGGACTTCGACTTGAGCCGTCAGACTAGCACGGAGTGGTTCCCGGGTGACATGGACTCGTCACTGCACGATGAAACCAGCATCCTGGGTCGATTTTTCCAACTAGTCGACCTATGGGGTCGCATATCTCAGTATTCTAGTGCTGGCGGTCGGTTCTTGGACAAGCAACGTCCTCCTTGGAACCCCGAGTCCCTTTTTTTTCAGCTACGTCGAGAAGCAGACGCCTTTAGTAAGACTCTAGAAGCTCCAGGTGCATTTCTGAGCCTCAGTCCTTCAAACTACTTCCGCCATGAGAGCACGTCCAGCACATTCATCATACTTCATCTTCTAATGTCTCTTTGCAAGATAATGCTTCATCGGCAATATCTACCCTTCATTCCAATCAAATGTACCAGACCATCTGGTCCTTTGGATGAGCCTACATTCCCACCGGAGGAGGTTCCTCCGGGATTTTGGGAAGAAAGCGCTCGAGAGCTTTTCGGAGCCAGCAAGACGGTCGCCAACGTGATTGAACTGTGCGAGGATCGCCTTCCACATTCTCCTCTTGTGGCCTTCGTCATCTACACTGCTTCTTTCACCGGAGTCTACGCACAACATTTCCCTCGCATGGACACAGAAGCCTATCTATGTAGCCGATCCAGCGAGCAAGACGAAATGGCCGAGAATCAACCCATCAGTGCTTCGTTCGGCCCAACAAAAGTAATGTTCGACACGCTTTCAGAACTTGCCAGATATTCAGGGGTTGCAGCAGCGTTCGTCGCGAGGTTTTACGAAGTAGATCAGTACTTCTCTTCCATGGTTCAGGATTACCACCGCAACCTCCGACATCGCACCACGTCTCAACAATCTGGTGAGAGGCTAAGCATTCGGATGGGAGGCGACACAGGCGGGCTGGAGGAGTGGGTGGTGAAATCCGACAGAATTGTCAGTAACAGCTCCATTATCAGAGACACCGAGTCGACGGGCCATCCCACGCAAACCGATGTCCGAGGGGTCGAATCGCTTGTTCCGGGCCATCATCGGAACAACAGTCGCAATGCCACAAGCACAACATTCCGAACGCCTCCGAGAGAGCAAACTTCTGTTGGTGGCCGCGCAAACATTCAGATTATTCCACCACCAAACGATGAAAGGACAGTTGGGACAAGTCGGCAAATGCAGTCTCCTCCTTTATCTTCGGCGCCATCACATATCGCCGGTGTTGACCCTTTGCTCCTGGAAGGTGGAGACGATTGGAGTTGGGCATTTCTTAATGATATGTACTTGGGCAGTGTTTCCCTTGACCCTGTTGATGGCGGTCCTAGCTATTCATTCTAACACAAGGACAGTGGCAATGTCCATTAATGTCCATTGTCTCTGGTCTTGCCTAATTACTCAAGTTTTTCATATGTAATTGAGTACCGGCAGTGGTCTCCATTTATCATCAATAAAGGTGCACCGTGCTTGAGATTTATGCTCAGCACGAAAGGCAAATTGATGAACACGCGGTATGCTTGGAGCTGCATATTGCAACACGAAGATTTCGCGGGCCTAAGCTTGCACATGTTCTCAGACCATCATGTTGGCATGCTCTCCTTAAAATACCAAGGTCATGCCACGTCTGCACACCCATTTTCACCGCTAAATCCGCTGATCTTGAAACTTTACCCATGCCTCTGGAAGCTCAATTACATGTGAGTCTCCGGTAATGCAACATGCACGTACGGAAGCCCGCCCGGGAACGCCGCGAGTGCCGAAGCGGATACCCCGTGTTTACTCCTGTCGATCGGTGGGGTGTCTCACCGAGCACAGGCCCGCAAACCCCGCTGGCTGGAGAACATACATAGATGATCAACCGCGGAGACAGCCCTTCGGGGCGCCGGAAACAGGGTCGCGTTCATCAGATCGTATTCCGTTACTCTTGACTCAATCCGTCTTGACGTCTGAAGTTTGTCATTTGCTAGCCTTACCTCCTGACAGCACATCGAGATTTTGAGTGTCGTCGACAGCTGCAGAGGTTTAGCCGCACCGAAGTCTAATCATGCGTCACCTATGACCAAAGTTTTCGGATGCAGAGTATTCAATATTGGCCCTGAAAAACTGGAGCAATGCTGCGTGTGCAAAGGATGTCCAGCATTCCCCAACGCCCACCGAATTGAGGCCGGAGTGTCCATCCCAATACCTTACAGCCTCCACTTCCACATCCCCTTGTTGAGGGCTGACCGCCTGAATGATCATCGAGATTTCCTCCACCTCGTATTCAGGGAGACCTGGAAAGTTCCCATCATATAAATAGCAATGGTTCCTTTCTTCTATTGTGAATTCCTCCATCACAACACAGCATCTTCTCATCTCCACTACTCCGCCATCTCAATCGCCATCATGCAGTTCTTCCAGATTGCCTCCATCCTCGCCGTCATGGCCTCCTCCGTCTCCGCCGCTGTCGCCGTCGGTTCCGCTTGCGAGGGTGCCGGCTACGAGTGTGTTTCCGGAAACGCGGCCATTGCCTCTTGCGACGGCGCTAAGTGGCAGCTCGCTGCCAACTGCGGAGGCTGCTCCGACGCCTGTGTCAAGCCTGATGTCGGCACCCCTTACTGCAAGTGCTAAACGAACACGACTTCACAAGCAAGTTAGATCTCAAGAGCACATTGATATTGTAGTTGACTAACTGGGGTAGCAGGTCTACTGAGCGAATGAAGACGAGGTGTTGTGTGGACGGTTCACGAAGCGAACGTTGCCGATGCAGCTTACGCTAGATATCCCAAAAGCTCTCAATTTCGACACCCAAATTCTCACCCGCTATGAACCCTTTCATGAGTGATGCTGTAGTGCATATCACCCTCCGCCTTCTGACTTCATGTACAACTTTGTATTGCCTAGCTTTTTCGGTGCGCTTATTTCAGATCAGTTCCGGTCCCGAGTGTGTGTCAAAACCAGTCCGACTTCCAAGTCTTCAGTTCTCAAGCTTCGTCGTCAGGAGTTGCTGGATTTGCCGGAGAGTGTCAACGGTCATAGTGATGTTCACCATCTTTGAACCCTCCAGGCCATTGGAAGTGGCCATATCAGGGTTCGGATAATACCAGCATGCAATCGCGATAATCACGTAGACGACCTGCAAAAGTTAGAATACAAGGAAACATGCAGCTAGGATGGCATGTGGGCGACTAGAGCTTACCACGAGCAAAGCTCCTTCCAGCCAGTTTGATTCTCCGTCCCGCAAAAAGTTTCCCACGACCAGAATGGAAAGAACAAGCAAGCCGATCATGAATATTTCGAAATTCAGGTCCATCGGCTTGCCCAATGCCCAGCCAACAAGGACAACCAAGGGGCCGTTGAAAAGAGCTGTTTGGATTGATGGCGCGAGACAATGATAGAGCGCTACGTTGATAACCCCATCTGTACGTGTATAAGTTAGAAAGGTTCTGATACACAATTCTCCCTGAAGATGGCGAGGGCATGTCAGACTTACCCCAAGCTTCATCGATGGCAGTCAAGTGCTCGGCAGCCTTCTCAACCAACGGGAGGAGGATCAAGCCTAAGAATTGGTCGGGTATCCCACTTTCTACGACCTCTTCAATGCCTTCAACGAGGAAAATGAGGAGCAGTGTCACTAACACAAGTGAGATTGTGAGAGCCAGTGCCGTTTCCGTCATGGTGAACTTGGGCTTTTCCATGTCCTCCTCACGGTCGGCATCTCGGTGCTCATCCATCTCAATTACCTCGTCGAATATGCTGTGCTGGCTGCTGGCTTGATACCAGATGTAGAGAAAGAAGGCCACGATCAAAGCAATTGACGTGGCTTGGCTTATGCACAAGACATCAGCTTGAAGTGTGCCTTCTGTGAACTTTTCATGGAACGTAACCCGGAGACCTGGGAGTTCCGGCCATGTCTCAGCCTTAAGAGCTGAGTAAAACGCGCTTGGAATCAAAAGTCCAAACGCGGCAACCAAGAGGAGCCCAGTCCCTACTTCAGAGACGATGGCATGGAACTTTTGGCTTGAGTTGCGAACTCCACCAAAAAAGAAGCAAAGCCCAAGGCAGAGCAGAAGATTTGTCAAGATACTTCCGAGGATGGCAGCCTGGATGATGGGTATCAAGTTTCCCTCATCTCCGTTGCCTTCGTGAGTATTGTGCTTGACAATAAGAACCACAAAGAGAATTATCTCAACGATGGACCCGAATGTAGTCTCGATCAAAATACCAGCTACTTTGGGCATCTTTCGGGCGAATTCCTGTCCAGCAAAGCCCAACAGATTTGCCGAGGGCACCACGGCCACGTATGCTGTTGCAAATTTCCACAGATGAAGTCCAGGGAGGCTGTTGAGAACGATGGCGACTGGTACGATGGGCCACAGGAAGTTGACCAGCATAGAAGCGGTGCACGAGCTCCGCCACAACACAATCAGGAAGTGTCGGAGATGAAAACCGCTTCTTCCGCTTTCGCCTTCGTGGGCAATGCGGCTTGAGATGGTCTGATGGACAGTTCGGAACGCGGTGGTAGGGAGAAGCGGGGTCGACTCGTGGCTGTGTTCCGTGACACCGTTGCCGGCCGGCTCCGATGGGCGGGGCTCGTGGATGTCCGTCATGTTGCGGGGGACAGATCCTGCAGTCGGATCTGTGGCAAAGAAAATCTCACGATTAAGATGGGTTAATGGCAAGGTTAACGTTGGATGCAAATGAGATGAAAACGGTTGGAATTTTCAGCATCAACCGAGAGCGAAGGAGGCTTATTGTGGGCGCGAGATGAGCGCGACGTTAAAAGTCTTGGCATGCGTGAAAACTTGGCACCACTGCGCGGTGTCTCACACAGCCCATGTCAGGCACTAAGATAAGCGATTCCCTTTCGAGAGTGGCACGACGTATCATCGGCACAGAGTGCGTGACCCAATATGTTTGCAATAATATCATCTTTATGCTGCGTGTTGCGACCGAATGGTCTGGATCGATCATGTTGCTGCGGGGCTGTTTGGGGTTGAGGCGCGTTCCTTGAGCAGTTCACGAGACCCTGGAGAGCCGTTGATTAGATGTGTGCCATTAATCGCGGAGGCAACCAACTCATTGTTTAAGGTGGTCTATGAGACAGAGCCGCACTTCAGAGGAATTGACTTCGTAGCACCTTCTTGTCTTCCGCCGGCCATTAAAGAAACAGAGAACAGGCTATCCCAGCGCATGTCAACGCGCTTCGGTCAATCGGAAGCCGTTCAGCTTCCCCAGATGCCAAGTACCTTGATCTTCCAGAACAGACATGAGACATGAGATGCTTACGTACTCCGGGCGTCATTCGTTGCGGTTCCCCGAGAGACTGGTGTTCTGTCAATGAAGAAACAAGGGCCGAGCGCCGTTGTCTAACTCCACCTGACGCCGGCAGCACTGGGCCCCCGTCTGCCGGGATGGGTCCATGTTCGCTGCCTTCCCCGCAGTCCGTCCGCGCGAAGGCTGAACACCCCTCCCGAGCAACACACTCGTAATCAAGGAGGCTTGGCTTGCCACGCGCCGGCAGTGTCGGTGCCAAGAGCTCCAGCCACATGAACTGTGTCGGCTATGGTGTCCACACGATATCAAAAGTAAGATGTTTAGTAGTCATTGACGAATGACTGGTGATTTGACTGGCGAAACCGAGTCGGCCGAGTTGCTGACACGTATGTCACGCCATATAGTTCGATGCTGCGTTTTTCAGTTTCTGATCACGGGCATATAATTGACTGCTAAACGCTAAAAACCTTAAACGGAGGGTAACGGCCGTTCGCTATGGCGCCTACGGGCGGAAAGAGCTCTCGAGATCAGATGATGTTTGATGAGGAGACAGACGCGAAACTCAGAAAGGCGCATGATCTCGTGATCAGGTACCCCGCCGCCTTCTGTTTATGTGTTCATACCTTTGCTCCGAACTCGAGTACATTAAAGGAACCTGTCACCTCCCCTCTTTTCTCTTGGCTGCATGCTACCTAGCATATCAAAGCATCTATCTATCCACTTCCACGTCCTGAGAGCTCCATTCACAACCACTCAGCAACCGACTTATCGCCAAGGTATACATCTCCTCCCTCTGATAAACTCGCACTTAGCTAAGCCCTCATAGTTTGCCTTACCAACTTTCACAGTGGCGTCCACTTCCACCGAGTGTCTTCTCCCACCCGTCAAAATGTCCGAGAGCCCAACAACCCCCGGACGCCCCAGGGATCCCCAAAGCCCTACAGTGACGGGCATCCCTTCCATCCTTACGGTCTTGAGAGAGCCAGAGTCTTTCTCTACCGATGATGACCGTCGTGTCTACCGCCAATCGTCCCCCGAAACAGCTTCAAGGCTGGCACGAGAGACCTTAATCAGCATGTGCAAGACCATAGGTCTCGTTGGTGCGCAGCTCAACAACGGCACGAACGACTCCGACTTCCAGCTACGGCAACTAATCCACCTGGCCCGCAATATCACCAAACGGTTGGACAGTCCCGATACGAATGGTAATCCTTCTCGATTCGAGTAGTCGAAGCACGAATAAGGCAGGGCATGAATGAATTCGAGTAACTCAATACCACCGTTGCGAAGGGATCATGGAGTTCAATATTGCTACTTGGGCGGCGGTATTCTAGCATCGGACATGTAGGCTCGGAGTTTTCTCGTGGACAAATTGAGACTGTACTACTACGGTACGCTTCACTTTATTTGACCATCAGTCTGTGCTGTGATATGGCTATAATGTGATGTTGTTGATCCATGTGATAGAAGAAAAATGATCCTTTGCGATTGTGCTCATCTAGAAGAACACCAGCATTTGAACACAAAATTCGACGGTTCGTCAACTGTTAATGTGCTGTTTATCCACAGTGACGCCTTATGTGGTTACCTTGATAAGGCAACGTGGCTCTGATATGTGAGGTTCATCATAGCGAGCGCTTCACGCAAATCGAGCGGTTTAAAGTCCATCGAATGCAGTTTTCAGAGACTGCTTTATTTTTGCCATGGTCGCAGCCTCGGTGGTGCATCAGTCAGGCTCAAAGTCGGTTGTTCTTCTAGACGCATGGTGGCTCGCTCCGAAAGCGGCACATGTCTGCCAAAGCTTAATTGATGCACAGTCATCGCATGAAGATGCTCTTTATTTAGCAAGGCCAAATGCGCTGATGGTCATTAGAAAGAGGGACCCGTTGTCTTCCTCGCATCTCGTCTGAAGGGGGCCACCCATTCTGACTATTGTCACCACTATTACCGTATCATGCCTGCATCACATTCACCGTAAACCGGACTTCGGCTTAATACAATTAAGAGTTAATCCGAAAAGGCGGAGCAGTCTGATCAATTGGCATGATAGCCGCATGGAGGTAATTCTGGGTTACTTGGGTATTCAAAGGGCATGGGGCAAATATGCACTGCTATCGTCATTCACCGCAAACTCGAACCTACTACCTCTCGTTCAAAGAGCAATCAAAGCATCGTCCTCAGAAGCGTCGAGACAAGAATGTACAGCCTCAAACCGAGGGCCCAGGGCTTCTATGTAGGTACTGTCGTCCCTTTCATGTAGAATTCTCACGGCTGTAGACTGCAGAAAATGCACCCATCTGGTCAGTCATTCATCGCAAGATTTCAACACCAGGATCAGGAGAGTCGCTCGAGGATAAATCATCGCTAGTACAGGCTGAAGTGAAGTATGAGATGCGCATCCGGTGGCTTTGGCGGATCTTCCCCCGATGCATGGGCTGATATTCTCAGGCAGCAGGCTCAATTCGGATCCGATGCTTGGACTCCTGTCGGACTTGTTACCAAGGACCAGGCGAATCATCACTGGCATTACACATGCTGAAGAATCCACGGGTTGAAGTTAGAGACGAAGCTACTTTCATGGAAGGTATTCGTCCATCATGTTTTTCTTGATGTGTGTCTGCGATAGGGCTGGGTCATTCGCCCGAGCTGGATACTGTTGCGCCATTGCTTTTAGCTTGACGGGAAATACCAGATCCCCAGACTCACCAGCTCCATCGGAATGAGATGGTTGAGCTTGGCATCAAGGATTTGCTAGTCGAAGATGCCCATGGTAGCTCCCGATATCTCGTGACCCTGAGCAGTTGTGTAAGGTACAATGTATAATTAAGCCAATTCATCCCTCATTCTGTTAAGTGACATCAAAACTAGACAATCTTCAGCCAGGACCCAGAATAGTATTCAAGCTCGTCAACTCGCGTATTCGGATATACTTCATAACGGTGAAGCCTCGAGCCCGTCAAAGAACATTCTTGGCGTGAGAGAAACCGTTTTACAAAGTAAGTCGGTCATGCAATCCTGTACCCTGCAATTGCTTCACGGGTGGGTAATGAGGGCAACATCTTAGTCACTGCATATTGTAGAGAAACATCAACCCAATCATTTCGTGGGTCTGGAATTGTTTGATAATGCATTAGAAGTTGAGGCTGGATCATCCTGCCAACAGCGGTATGCTAGACTGGATCGAATGGCTCCAATGTTTCCGCTGCTGTTTGAAAGTCTTATGCTCATGGGAAACAAGCGGGTCTTGTCTGAATCCTTTACCATGCGTAATCACTGTCCATGGAGTCGTCAAAGCACAGTATCGGCCAACTGAAACTTGAGGACTTGAAATAAACCGCTTTTAGCATTAAGCTGAAGATGAAGAAAGGGAGGCGAAGAGTCAAAGCGGATATGCAGGTTTTCTCCGAATGTCATCTGGACTCTGGACTTTCAACGTGCGTTGGTTGGTTCTCCAATAGGATCTGGTGGATTCCAAAGCTTAATATCAGGACGAAACGAAACCAAACATTTTCGCTGGGGCGATTTCAGAAAGGTTCACGCTGAATCGGATTAAACGAGCATTGTGCTAGCAGCACGGAACCTCTGGAGGCGCATTAATTGGATGTTGAATGGATCTTGCTGTCGCTGGACGTTGTTGTTGGTCTGGGCTTCATGGAGGGTTGTTTTGTTTGGTCTGGCGAAGTTGAGTGCATCTGAACATGCAAAGCTTGTATTCAATTGAAGGCAAGGGTCACCTTCAATAGCGACCAGCTTCACAGTAGATACCGTGCCGTCCAGGCCAAGTCATGACCTGGAACAGAAATTCGCTCCACCATCTCCGCAAAATAGAGTAAAAGAGACATGCCCCAAGCCTGTTGGAAGATGCACTTGTCGTACAAGTGGAACCACTTTGTTTACCCATGAACCCTTCGGAGTGCACCTCTCGGGACTAGTTTGCTCCTCGTGATATTGTTTCATCCGCCGGCTTCTTCGGACTTGCCCATGGTGGCTCTTTTCCATTAGAGGAACATAATACATGATTATTGATGAGCTGAATGCTTTGTTTCTCTACGAGACAATTCAGAACTTGTCGATATCCAAACTCGTCAACGCTGTCAAGACGATGACGGGTCCCGGCTCGAGACTGCCGGGGACAACCCTCCGAACATACTTTGCTTTTGGAAAGGGCCTACACCATCTTCCATTACTAGGCAAGCCGTTCGGACGTTTGGAGGTTTTCACCCCCTGTAATTCTAATACCTCAACCTAGATAACAGTTGCAACTGACAACGATAATCGCATGAATCAGCGGGAGGCGTAAAGATCCACAGCTTTTGTTTAGCAAATGTGTACGTGTCGTAATGGCTTGGATCAAGCTTGGGGTCATGCAACCCCCCTCCCCCTTTCAAGATTGATTTACTTTATTTTCTCGTTGTCTTCGGGTTGACGTCTGGCGTGGTGGTTGCCCCTTCAGCAACGTAAAGAGCGAGAGACGAACATGGTCAAGTGCAGAAAGGTGGTTGTGTTACCACGTCACAACATGGGCGCAGCTTCATGTAAGAATAAGCCGAAAGATTATACACACTGCACGCTGTCGTCAAATTAAGCGTCTTAGTAAATCCAATATTCTACAAATGAGGCAAGACAGCTTAGTGATACCACAATCTCGATCACCGAACCCAGTGACTCAGCGCCAATGTGACGATATACTACCCTAAACCCGATGAGCAATATCGCCGCTGCCAAGAAATTGATATGCGTAGCAACGAAATCGTGCTCGAGATCACGCAGCAATTCCTCCGGCGACCGGTGATGCCACCAAGTTGCTTGCCAAGCTGGCCAGAGCTCGCTTTTGGCATGAACGACCGGTCAATCCTCGTGAATTTTCACAGTAGTTTGAAGCCAGGAGGCTTTGGGAGCGTTTCTCAGAAAAAGGAATGGGTCCCCTGGCCCGGGTAGCAGCGGAGGTGCGAATCGACCAGGCCAAGCTGGGCAGCACGTTCATAATTCTCCGAAGAGAGAATATCAGACGGAGTTCGCTTTCAAACTCTACGACAGCCTGATTTCGCTCTTACGCGGACATCCTTCACATCAATTGCAGCCTCAAAAATGGGTGGGCGGCGGTGCCTCCCGATGGTCAGTGGAAGTCGTCCGCGCACACCACGCAGATCTCATTGGCTCCGGTCACTGCCAACATTGCCCTTTCTGGGGTGCCGACCGCATAATAGACTTTAAGAGAAAGTTTCCTGCTTATGCTTGACTGTGGCACTTGGGGAAACGAACTGTTGGAGATGGAGGTACGGAAGCGATGTGAGGGTGCAGTCATCACTGGAGACATGGATAGCAAAACTCACGAGGGTCAAGGAGGGGTGCTTCGGAAACTACTCAACTTGCAGAACACCGAAGAGATATATAAGGTGCACAAATCCGCTGGCTAATTGCTTTTAGAATCTCCTCATCACACTCAACAGTCTTCATCACATCTTCTATTCAACCTACAATCAAAACATTAAGCGCCTTTCAAGGTCAGCTTTCAGCTCCTCAAAATATCAAAGATACCCCTAGTTTCTTATTGCTCAATCACCGAGTCCAACATTCAAAATGCACTTCAGCAAGTCTCTCATCATCATGGTGGCTGCCACCCTCGGCGCTAATGGTGCTCCCTTTGGCGAGCAAAAGTGAGTATCCCAAGCTGAAAGCTTACAAGAGACCTTTAACACCATACTAACTCTTGCTCCAAGTGGCCTGACCCAGCCCAACGCCCTGGCGGCCAGACAAGCTCCCGTTGCTCCTGCTGTCGCTCCTCCCATGCCCATGGCTGAGAACAAGGACAAGGGTGACAAGAAGGACGGCGAGAAGAAGGAGGGCAAGGACCGTGATGGTGACCGCGATGGCGACCGCAACGGTGACCGCAACGGAGATCGCGATGGTGACCGAGGCCGCGGAGGACGTGACGGCGATCGCGACGGCGACCGTGACCGCGACTGCCGTGACGGCATCGAGGGCCGCACCCGCAACGGCGAACGTTGCTGTGTCCGCACCGACGACCGCGGTAACAGCAACAACGGCGACCGCAACGGAGACAGGGAGTGCATTCTTGATGGTGGCCGTGGCGGCGGTCGTGGCGGCAACGGTGATCGTGATGGCGACCGAGGCCGCGGTGACCGTGACGGCGACAGGCGCCCTCCCCCTCCCGCCGGCCCGGCATTCCCTGCTCCCTTCCCCGTTCCCGGCCAGGGTGGCGCTCCCGGCTTTGGTGCCCCTCCCCCTCCCGGCTTCGGCGACCGTGATGGTACTCAGAAGACTGCTTAAGCTGTCTGCTCAAGTAGCAGCATCTCAGCAAATCGCCGAGTTGGATTTGATGGCCTCTGGTAATGGAAAGATTGGAATTTGAGACACCCCAGTTCGTTATGTTTTGTGGAGGATATCAGTAGTAGTAATTTTAGGTAGCTGAGTATACGAGTAATGCAGTATTGTTCAACTTTCTTTGAAATCAGTTCTGCTCTTGAATCGGTTGGAGTCTTTTTCTGTTTTTCAAGAAGGGATGGCCTGGTCTCGTTGACAACGCCTCTCTGACTTTAAGCCACTAGTCGCACAACGCGGGGCATTTCCTAGGCACGCGACCGGCTTGACTGCTCTAAGCAACTGCTACGGCTGGATATCTGGATGTGGAATTGAAAGACGCTCAAAAAAGGCCTTGCAACCTTTGGTACGTGCTAAACTCAAACCCTCAACAAAGATCTTGTATATCATAGTGTGCATGATTGTCAGGGAAGCTTAACATGGAGCGGGCATCTCATAGATGAGCTTTGGACGAGATCTTAAGAGTAGGGCTTACTTGGGAGATGTTTTGACGTTGGTAATGTATGACTGGTGTCCCTTCACAGCGGCGTAAACTTTTTGGGCCACATTGAGATACCCGCCGTCGGCTCTTGGCTCAGCATGGCCCGATTCAGCGTTGCAGTCTGCTGCTCTAGGTCCACGGGCATTATCATCTGAGAACGAGTCGTCGAAATTCTTGTGGATGCTTGATCGCCGCGGATCCCGCGCCGCGGACTCCGCGGCCAGAGGGAAAGGGGCTTCACTGAAAGACTGCCCAGGATCGCCGAAAGATTCTTGTGATGGCCTTGAAAGCACGCTCTGGGTCAAAGTCGGAAACGAGTCTCTGGATTGAGTACGTCATCTCCTGGGAGGGTTTCCTTCGACCATGCGGCAGCTCTGTCTACATCTGGGCTCGGCGGAGGCTTTTGTATCATGTTGGTGCTAGAGTCCACGAGCGGTTCTGAGTGCTGAAATTTGAGCTGAGTCAGTTTTGAGGGTCGATTCAATCTCACCAAGCTTTTGTCTTCTCCTGTGACATGGAATTGGGGAGACAGACTGAGGGGCAGACATCGGCAATACCGATACCTATGCCACCCATCTCAACATTTGGCTCTCCAAACGACAGAACGCCACTTATAAATACGCTGATTATTCTCGAGCCGGACTCAATCCTCAGTCCTTCTAGGTTCATCCGATCTCCAAACTAGATTTCAAGCCAAATACTGCATCAGAGCTCCATATCACGGTTTCTTGCTGGTATGTCGGTTAGTTCATACTCGCGTAAATAGTAGCAAACTAATACTTCAAAGTGTCTTTAAACGTCATTAGCTTCTCAACATGAAAGTTTCATTCGTTATTTCAATGCTCTCAGTCGGTTTGACCGTCCAAGCCTGCGACCACTACAAGATTTGCACCTGCACAAACGAAGACGGTAGTAGAAACGATGACTTGACTGGTAAAATTTGCGACGCCGGCCAATACAATCGCATTTACGAAAAGGGTTATCTAGAATGCAAGCACTATAAGAGTGAATTCTTGGGTTATGAAGCTTTTGATAACTGTAAATTTCGGAAGGCTTGTGAGGCTGTGGGTGGCACGGGTGATTCGAGCTGCAGAGCCAAGGTCGGCATCTTCAAGGCTTAAGCGATCGGGTACTCAAAATCTATAACATTTCAGGCGGTCATGTTGTCAGTATACCACAGAGAAGTTCTTGGTTCATGTAGGCATATATTTGGTATTGAGACAGGCAGGTGTTCTGAGCATGGTTCTGAACAGGACATGATTTCAGTCAGGTGCATGAAGACAATTTTACATATAGTCTCTTACATAGTCAACGGGAGACGAACTACAACGAAGACTGAATTCAGATCGAACAAGTTTTTGCGCTGCTTGTGATGGGCACGCCGGGGTTTAAAACGAAAGACAACAAAAAGCAAAACATACAACACCGGGCATTCGCCGGTCGTCACCGACCCGACTACTACTCCAGCCCTCATTGGCTTATCTATGGGAGAGCGGACGGGATCCCGAGTTTTCCAATGGGTATGGTCGTATGTGACATTCGGCAGCAGTAGAGCTCTCTATATACCGCGAAAATGCGCTTGCGAAGCGTACTTCGCGTGGGGATGGCTGCGGAAACGGGCCTCTCAACTACCCTCAAAGCAGGCTGGGCTTCAGCCTATGACTAGAATTCAGAACTTCAGCGCTCTAAGAACTGGAACGCGCAACGTTTTTAGGGCCAAGTCCCATAGTCTAGAAAGTTCAGTTGCAATTCAGTCAGGAAACAAAGGGACTTTGGGAGTTAACTATAAAGAGGCCCACATGTTAGGGACGAAACTTGTGAGGAGAGCTTTGAATTAGGTACAGTTCAAAATCTGAAAGAGTTTGGTAGGGAACATCGCAGCAATGAGGGTGAGGGGGGCTGGACGCAATTGTGCATTCCATGTTTAGAGCCAGCTAACCACGCACAAGCTGTTCCTGGCGAGAATTGACTTTCAGAATCCGCCTAACCAAGTCTCATCTCTTTTTTTCCGTTTTCCTCTAGGCGATTACAGCACAGGTGGGTTCAATGGGACGATCATGGTACTAGGCAACGACGATGCAGTCAGCTGGGTAACACAAGAACCGCTTGGCATATAGGGAACACAAGGCTGAGACTACTAGAAGTGATGGAAACTCAGCATCACATTGGTCTCATTGGTCAGCGAATAAATACATGGGTTCCGACGCTTCTTGGCAGGTTGACGATCTCGGTGTGTTCTGGGTCCAGCCTCACGACTTTAGCGGATGCGACTGGCCCATTTGGCAGTCAGTGAGGGGGCTGACCTTGGCGATAATGAGTGCACCTCTTTCCTACTGAGAAAGTAATTGAAATGCAAACCTCTCGAGTGCGCGGCACTTTGCTTCCAAAATAAGAGGTAAGTATAGGGTGGGATATTCAGGCATCTCTGCGGTAGAATCCGCCGCCTATATAAACCATCGAGGCCTCTCAACTTAAGACTGTTTTCCTTCTCATCTTCAGAGCTCAGAGTCCACAAGCACCAGATCTCTCTCCTCTCCTCAAGACTCAATCTTTGTCAAACCTCTCTCCTTCTTTTTTGTTTCACCAAACACCAAATACCAGATACCAAATACTACCTCAGCCACTATGCGTGTCTCGTCCATCATCATCTCCGGTCTTCTGGGCCTTGGTGCTACAGCTACCAGCTTCACCTCCACCGGCACTCTCGACGGCGGCTTCAGCATCCCTGATGACATTCCTGACGGTGTCTACTCGGTCTCCTACGACGATTCCGGTCTGGCCGTGCACACGGCCATCGAGGATCTAGAGGTTCGCGACATCGGCGCCGTTCCCTCCATCGAGACGCGCGATCGTGCCGGTGGTGCTACGCTTGGCAAGCGTGACTGGTACCACGACGTGAGTGACATTTCAAGGGCCCTCCAGAACAAAACCAAACCCCCCTCTTCCCGAAATTCATCCTAGATCTGGAGTACACTATGAGAAGGGTGCTCCGTAGAATTTGCGCACCTTGGTGTCGAGGAAGAATAAACGCTGACTTGACGTGGCCGTGAAGTGCGGCGGCCACCAGAACATGGACCACGGCGCCACCGACAGGGCGGTAGACTCACTCAAGTGGGAGTGCGGCGGCGGCAAGGAAATTGGGGTCGGCGAGCGCCTGTACGGCATCTCGAGCGGAGGCGGCCAGCGTGTCGTCGCCTTCTTCTGCCTGTTCTCCCACGGTGGCAACCGACGCAGCTGCTATAGCGACGAGGCCGCTCAGCGTTTCGCCTCCATCACCAACGTCTGCGGCTGGTACGTCTCAGGCTGGACTGACTGGTGGTCTGGCAGCACTAAGGAGTACACCTACGGCTACCACGTGCTTGGCGACAACAACAATTTTTGCGGCAGGGCATAAGGCCATTCGGTCTCTCCAAGTTTTTCTCTTGGCGAAAGAAAGGCGCTTACACAATGAGGGTACTTGGAAGTCTGCTCCCTGTGGCATTTCGCGGGCTGCTGCTCTCGAGCACACCTTGACACATACGCATCACTACTCAATACTCAACCAGTCTGTGGTGATAAATGTTATATTCTTGGCGACGGCAGGGCTCTCAAGATGTCTTGCACTGAAGCCTGTTTTGGCGGGTGATAGGGGTTAACATTGAATAAATTAGTATTGAAAGCGATGTCTCCATGGTGCAGCTCTAAAACCTGGTTTTGGTCTGGTATAGTCGAGCTTCCCAAGACAAACCGTATTTTACCGGCGAACTGGGGCAAAGAGTGAAAATAATGGAAATTAGTTGAACGGTTAAAGGAGCCAGGACGTGGAAATAATTTGCGGCTGGTCTGATGTTCTGAAGTTCGAGAGAAGATGTTACGGGATAAAGAATCTTCGACACTCTCTGGGTATGGAGGAGGAGAACGAACAGGTTTGGAAGTCGGTGAGTTCAACGCCCAGAAGACTTTGCATTCTTCGAACAAGCCAGGCCCAGCAGATGCTATCTACCACGAAAATTCGCCCACTCCCTGTTCCTGACAAACTACAAAATAAGATGAAGGTTGAAACTTTGTCGCTAATTCGCCTCGCGGCCACCTCCTTCCTTCGCCCACGGAATTGGCAGCAAGGAGCCTAACAAGCCTGATGACCCTTTACCCCTTCACGAGCAGCTTGAGAGAGTGGCCGATTTTCTTGATGGGGCCACCTTTTCATCAGCATGGCCGATCTTCCAAAGGGAAACTTGGAATCGGGAGTCGTAGAGCCAGGCACATAACGAACAGAGCATGAAACTACGAGGTGCCAGGGCGTGGAACGATGCAGTTGGGACACAGTCAAATTACTCGGGTTACTATTTGTAAAAGGTCTCCGGTAGCTTGGGTTGGCGGCATTCCGCTGCCATGATAACTCGTCATGACGACTTGTCATGGCGCGTCCATGGCCAATTTGAGTGCTCGAATTTGAAAACACTTCGCAACAACATAATGACATTTGCCTCACACAAGAAAGTAGAGCATTGCAATAACTGCAAGAAAAAGTAGCATGGACGATAGCTGGGGCAACCTGTGAAGACTGGATGAACCCTGGTGCGGCCAGCCAACCAACCAATCCAGAGGCCAACGTTTCGAAAACACCGGGGCGGGTCCATGCGCTGCAGTGGGTGGCACCTCGGTGACTCGGTGAGCTCACCGTGATTTTTCCAATTTGTACCCCGCCATCGCAACCCCGCCATCCATCATCCGTCCTCTGTCACACCACCACCCCTCCAAACGAAAACTTTTCCCACGCCCCAGCCAGCGGCCATGGCAGACCTCGCAGCGCCGCCCGTCCTCTCGACGCCCGCCGAGCACACCTTCGAGGACCCGACGCCGGCCCCCGAGCCCCCGCCCTTCGCGTCCCGCAGCGACGATGACCTCTTCGCCATCTACGAGACCGAGCGCACCGCGCGCGAAATCACAGAGAAGGGCTGGACCCGCGTCGGCCTGCAGTTCCCCGATGCCATGCTCTGCGACGCGACGTGGGTCGTCGAGGCGCTGACCAAGGCCCTCGGCACGCCCGACACCCACAAGGTCTACGTCCTCGCCGACACGTCCTACAGCGCCTGCTGCGTCGACGAGATCGCCGCCGAGCACGTCGACGCGCAGGTCGTCGTGCACTACGGCCGCTCGTGCCTGTCGCCGACCTCGAGGCTGCCCGTCATCTACGTCTTCACGCGCCACGCCCTCGACATCGACCAGGCCGCCGCGGCCTTTGCGAAGGAGTTCCCCGACAAGGACAAGAAGGTCATCATCGTCGCCGACGTGACGTACCAAGACCACGTATCCCCGCTCTTCGCCAGGCTACAAGACTCAGGCTACACGAACCTCCTGCACACCGAAGTCGTCCACAACCCGGCCGGCACGATCCCGAACCGCAAAATCGTCGGCGCCTCCGCCGACGAGACCCCCGAAGCCGACCTCGCGCAGTACTCCCTCTTCCACATCTCGACGCCGCCGCCGGCGCTCCTCCTCGCGTTGCAGACCCGCATGGCCTCCCTCCACGTCCTCTCCACCGCGAACCTCTCCACAGACGACCCGACGCGGGTGACGAACGCGCTGCTCCGCCGCCGCTTCGCGCGCGTGCTGACGCTGGCGACGGCCGGCGTGGTCGGCATCCTCGTCAACACGCTCTCCGTGTCCAACTACCTCCCCAGCATCGACCTTCTACGGCGGCGCATCGCGGAGGCCGGGAAGAAGAGCTACACCATCGTGGTGGGCAAGCTGAACGCCGCCAAGCTGGCCAACTTCGCCGAGGTGGACGGGTGGGTGGTCGTGGGGTGCTGGGAGAGCGGGCTGGTGGAGGAGGACGCGGGCTTCTTCAAGCCCGTTATCACGCCCTTCGAGCTCGAGGTCGCGCTCAAGCCCGAGAGCGAGCGGGTATGGGGCGTCGAGTGGTGGGGCGGCATCGAGAAGCTGGACCATGACGCGGCCAAGCCCGAGGAGGAGGACGACCGCTCCGAGGACGAGTCGGCGCCGCCGGAGTACGACCTGCGCACGGGCAAGCTGGTGAGCAGCCGGCCGATGCGGATGCCGGTGCGGTCTGCCAACGAGACGGCCAAGACGAACGGGGAGAGCCTCGCGAAGCCGGGGACGCAGTCGGCGCTGGTGAAGCGGGAGGTGGGCGAGGTGGCCACGATCAACGGCGTGCTGAGTCCTGGCGCCGAGTATCTGCGGTCGCAAAGGACGTGGCAGGGTCTGGGGACAGATTATGACGAGGAGGCCAGCACGGTCGTCGAGGAAGGCAGGAGTGGTGTTGCGCGTGGGTACACGGTTGGCGAGGACGCCGGCAGGTCGTAGATGTGTGTATACCTTTGACGGGTTTCTGTTTTTTTTCAAAAGTTCAACAAAAATGGCGAGGGAACAAATGGGGTCACATAGAAAGGGGGCGGCGGGATACCAATTCATTTCATGATCATGTCCATTCTTCTTCTTCATTGTCTGGTCGGGAAATTCATTCTGTGTACATGAGAGAGAAGACGCTCGATCGGTCCAGCCAGACCGATGCATCGTCATCGAGGATAGGGAAAATATTAAGACAATGGTGCAAAAATGAGACGGGGAAGAGAAGGATTGACTCAAGGTCGTCGATTCGTCATCATGAATAGATCCATCCTCCAACAAATAAATACGCCAGGCTGTTGCTACTTTCAGCAATCAACTTTGAAATTCTTCTCTCACACACAAGTTCCTCCCATACATCTTAATCGTGTCATTCCATGGTATAGTATATAGTCTCATCACACATTTTTCTCTCATTCTATAGCTTTGCGCATGTCGCATGCGCTTCGTCGGACCCGCGTTGTCATCTTAGACATAAACGCGGCGGGAGTGGGAGCTGCGACGGCTGTGGTGGCTGTGGCTGCGGTGACGGCGGTGGTGGCCGCGGTGGTAGTACTTGCGGTCGTAGCTCTTTGACAGGTGGTCGCCGTGCATCCAGGCGAGGGCGGCGGTGAAGAAGAAGAGGATGCAGTTGATGATGCCAAAGACCCAGGAGGCCTTGAGCATGGCACAGGGCTTGTTGGTGATGAAGCTGAGGCGGGGACCGGAGATGGAGAAGAGGCCGGGGAAGTTTGCGGTCCACTGGCCGTTGCGGGACAGGTCGGTGCAGTCGACCCAGTTGATGCCCCTCAGGTACCAGACGGCGGCGATGAAGGCGCCGACGAAGCCGAGGTCGATGACGGCGACGAAGAGGGCGTTTGCGCTGCTGCGGTGGTAGCTGAAGAGGGTGAAGATGGCCCAGGCGAGGGCGAGGACGGAGACGATGAAGAGGACGAGGATGGAGTTGGGGACGATGACGTTGGCCTTGACGAAGCCGTCGACGAACCAGGCGAGCATGCCCATGGTGGGGATCTGTTGGGCTGCATGTTAGATTTTTTGTTTCTCATTCTCAATTCAATGTGGTCGCAGATTGTCGCGAGAATTGAGTTGGTGGTGAGGTGAGAGACCCGAGGTGGGTGAGAGGCTTACCAAGGTGATGATCTGCAGAAATCGCGTTCCCGCGAAGGCCATTGCGAACAACATGATGGGCGAATTGTGCCCCGAGGGCGCGCTAAACGGTCAAAAAAGTTGCGACGCGTCGGCGAGGACGGAATGCGCTTCGAATGCGCTTGCGACGGTAGTGTGGCCGATGAGGGCGGACAATGCTTAGTTGGAGACTGGGAAAGTCCGGCGAGAGGGCGCGGGAGCTGTCGGGGATGGACGCTACTGGTGCTGCTGTTGTCTGACACGGAGCAGAGTGAGTGAGACAGACGGTCGGGAGGAACGGTGAGGGACGGGAAGGTAGAAGAGGAAGCAGAACCTCTAGAAGGGCTTCGGACGAAGGAGGGTGGTTGGGATGGGGGTGGTTAAGTAGTTTGGGCCGGGTACGGATTGGATGCCGGCGCCGCAGCAGCAGATTCGAGGTGCGTCAACGAGGCGGTGGTCTCTTTGGCGTGTGTCGGGTGTGAGAGAGCAAAGCCAATGTGTCAATGTTAGGGGATGCAGGTCAAGGTGGTGGAGGATTGGTTGGACTGGACGGGGGTCAGCAAGTCATGACAAGCAAGGACGGGCAGCAAATAGAAGAGAGTCGCAGTTGCGTAAGGTAAGGTAGTGGTGGACGAGGGCAGCAAAGCAGGGCATGGTGGAATTGGGGGTGGTTGGGCTGGATCACAGTGGTCAAGGTCATGGATGGTGAAGCGAAAAAGATACAGAGTGGTATTGGAGGCTGTTCTGGCTGGCTGCAAATGCACAATGCACCGGTCTGCAAGATGCGACCCTGGAGATGGTGGCATCGTCGAAAGAGACTGCAGAGGTGGGAAAAGGAAGCAGAAAAAAAAAGAGGTGGCAGGGATGGTTCCCAGTTTTTCTGCTCGCGGGCTGGGCTGGACAGGGCTGCCTGGCTTGCTGCTGCTGACTGACGAAGTCGACGACGAAGACGACGACGACCGATGAAGTTGCATGGGACGGGCAGCGAATAGCGGCAAGGCAAGGTAAGGCGGCCTGATGTGCGTCTGTTTTTGTTTCTGCCTGTGTTGGTGTTGACTTTTGATCGACTCTACTTGGTCCCAGTATCACAGCGGTGTTGCGGATTGCGAGAGACAGAGAATCAAGACACAGACACAGAGACAGAGAAGGGGAAACAGAGAGAAACATGGCGCAGCTCGGTGCAGCAGTTCCTTGGGCTGAGAAAGTATAGGCGAGCACGGCCTTCCGATCAAGGATTGACGGCTGCCATCAATAGCACCCACGGAGCTTTTGCTCTTTCGCAAACCGCCGTCAAACGGTGACACAGACAGGTCCTTCCCTGCGTCGGTTGCTATGACGTCGAAGATCGGCAGTCGCTGCTTCCCTTTTCGGTCCCCCATCCAACGGCAACAGACAGCCACACTCAGAAAGAAGGAACACCACCACCACCACCACCACCACCACTTTCCGAAGATGCATCCCATTTCCCATTTCCCAGGGCAGCTTAGCTCAGCTCCAGGTGGTCAGCTCCGAGGCCAGCACCACCTCTTTTCTGCAGCCAAACTGCATCCATCTGTCTGTCTGTGCGCCGTCGTCATCCAGCATGGCAATAGCAGATCAAGGCTTGCACCTGGCAGAGATGCGCTCATCATCTGTCCATCGGCCCTGTCAATCCGGGAGAGCAGCCCCCGTTTTACCCAACGGTATCTTGCCAATTCACACAACCCATGCCCACCCCGTCCATCGCAGATACGTACTCGACACCGTTGACGGTCTAGAATCATCTCGAGAACAAAGAAACACTGCGACCGACATTCATTCCTGTCTCTCTCGCTCCGTCTCCCGTTTCATTTCAGGGTCTTCCCAGATTGACCACCACCAAGGTACACTACTGCCATCAAGGCTACCAACCTAGGTAGGCTACCAAGTAGTCTACCGCCTTGGTTTCCCGGCCAGCAGTGACAACACACCATATGACACCCGATGCTCACAGGACGAATCAGCCAATGACAGGCGCAACCCCCACTCCACCATTCGAGAAACCACCAGCAGACTCCCGCTCGAAACAAACACTCCCGTCCTGCTCCCTCACCGCCGGTGAAACCACACAAAAAAAAAGAACAGCATGAAAAAGAATAGCGGGGACCCGATGAGGTGGCTGGGCTGGAACCGGACACCACTCCACTGACTCGTTCGACTCTGTCCACTGATTCTGCGTCTCACCCAAGCACCCAAGGCACCCTCTTACAGAAGAACCACCCGGCCGTCGACGGCTCTGGACCCGTCCGCGGCATCTCCACACCGCCGCCCGCCGCCGTCTTCCAACTGGGCGTTCCCAATGTTACGGCCCAACGCGGTTCCACGTGGGGTCGATGCCATGCGATGCACCACCGCGATCCCGCTTCTAGCTCCGTTTCCTCCTTGTCCGCCGCCCATTGATGCCTCACCGACACACTACCGATACGGTACTGTGTACACCCCATGAAGAAGTCCCGTCCCGTCCCCTCGTTCATCACCAGCCCGTCGCCAGCCGTTCTATCCTTCCATCTTCAGACCCAGACTTGTCCACGTCAGCAACAAATGCACCCTCGGCTCCCAACGGCGCGCATCCCTAGCATCGACCATTGAAAGTCTGATATGGTGATCTGTCAATCAGCCCAGAGATGCACACGCATCATGTGGGATGGGAAAGTGATCCGTCACCTTGCTCCGTCTGCGGAGCACAATCAATCGCAGTACTCCCTCCTATCGGGCATTAATTAACTCTAACGAGCAACACTGCACTAATTACACAAAAACACCACCAGGGACCTGCAATCGCCGGGTATCACTCTAGTAAATACAGCTACATCCAACTTTTGGGTCTATCGTGACATGAGCCTCGTAAGTGAAATGGTAATAAATCGAGGAAACCTTGTATCCGTCGTTCGTCTCATATCCCGCTTGCCCAGGTTCCGTCCAAAACATCCTCCTTTTAGGTCCCCTTACACGTACATGGTTCTGTCATCCCGTCGTACCTGGCTGGCGGCTCATCCAACATGCCTCACTTCACTCGCCTCTTCACGGCTCATGGTCATCGATCACGTCCAGGTCAAAGTCCCGGATCTGCGGCGACATGCTGTCCGTCTCGACACTCTCCCGCTGCGCCTGTCGGCCATATCCGCCGCTCCTCGAGCTCCTCGAGTCCACCATGTCGTCGAGAACAAGGAACCCTCCCGACCCAGTAATGCTACCAGAGAGGGGCAGGTGAGCATGGCTCGAGGTGTTCGACCGCGCATATCCACCGTGAGAACTGTTCCCATCGTTCGCCGCGCTAAAGTCTCGTCGGCGAACCGGCAGCTCCATCCCCTCGCCACGATCCATGCCGAAGGTGCTGCCACTGCGCATGCTGCCCGGCCCGCCGCCGAGCGTCTTGGCGTTGTCCCGGGACTGCGCTCGGCTGAGGTTGGCCGCGGGGCGGTGGGAGGCCGGGGTGCGAATGCTGCTGTTCGTGTCGCTCTCACTGACCACGCTGTACGCAGAGCTAAAAGGCGGTGCAGACCCTGCCGAGTGGACGGACCGGGCCGCCGGGGTCTGGTATCCGGAGCCCCGCGACGTCGTAGACGGTGGAGCCCGCGTGTAGGCAAAGGGCCGACCGACACCTTGGATGGGGCTGGTATTGCCTGAGCCCCCTTCAGAGCTCTCTGCACCGCTGCTGTTCTGGTTATTCCACGTGTTCTGCACAACCCAGCAATGCGACAGCTCATGCGACGCCTCGTCCGGTGTGCTTGATCCCTTCCAAGGCGGCACTCTGGTCCCCTTTAGGCGCGGGGACAGGTGGTAAGGGACGTCGTCTCGGTACCGAACATTGGGGG